AAAGGCCTCCCGCCACGCTCCGTGGCAAATTTATGGGCCGTAGGTGCAACGACCGGCGCCGGCAAAGACCTGGGTCTGCCGAGCCAGCCTACCGTGCTGCCACAGCACTAAAAAGTATAACTCACCAGTAGATTTAGGATCCCCGGGGGTTAAGTCTCCAGTTTGTATATAAGCCGAAGCTGTCGAAGTTGAACTTCCTACTTTTTGGCTTGATCTTCGATCCGTATCCAACCACGACTTGGATTCATCTAATCCTCGCTACCTGAGTCAGTGAATAGTCCTGCTTTCGTGGAGGGTTTGGAAACGCAGGCATCGCTTCTTCGCCAGATCGCAGCACTTTCCTCTGCCAGATCCTGTTTTCCTGATGACGGTATCCTAGACATGAACTCCATCGACAATCGGAAAAAGAGTCCTTAGGGAAGAAGAAGATAGCACTCTATCCAAATCGGACAAAAAATTAAACTACTTATAGACACTTAAAACTTTGATCGTTTGCTACTGAATTCATACGACTAGCTATGGGTGGGGAATTCGGATCTTTATCTTCTAAAACCTGCTCGAGCCGCTTGCTGCAAATGGTCAGTACGCTTTTATCGCCAAACAGCTCCTGGCCGATCTCAGCGAAGCTCTGCAGCTCTCTGGTCGTCCGAGAATCCAGCTCTACGATAAGAAGGCGGGCATGTCCAAGGATGACGCGACCTCCGGTGGAAATGCAGCTGCAGCGATTTCGCACAACGCTGCAGTTCAGGAGGCAAACAGGAAAGCACAACGGACGAAGCGGTGCGGGAAGGGTTGGAAGAGAGCGCAACTAGGAGGTCACGGAGCGGCGCACAAACAAGATCTGGATGAAGTGGAAACCGCCATTGTGAAACATTATGGCAAAGGTTTACACAAGGAGTTAGTCGGGCTCCGCGATGTCTTGCGTAGTCGCGCTGGCTTGTTGAATATGCGTGCTCTGCTGCGCTCGTACGAGCGACGACCAGACCCGCTGCGGCCTTCGAAAGAGCAACTTCTGCTGTGGGAGGCCCATGTCCACGTGGGCGTGCAATGCGAAGCCGTTGAGTTATGCCTAAAAATTGTTCTGAATTTCATCTTTCACTGCATATTTGGTCCCTTCTAGAGACAGAGAGTTCTCCTACTACTTGAATACCCTCAAAGATCAGATGCCTGCAGGCCAAAGATGCCATGTGCACTGGACAGCCCTAATTGTATCCCAGAAGTACTTTGCTGGTCGAGGCCATTATGTTCTGCCACGCTTGCATCAGATCTCCTTGGAACAGCGCAAGGCCTTGGGCAACTTCGACTTTTTCGAGAAAAACCCACGTGCACTGAAGGCTGCTCTGATCATCCCTTCTGACCTGGCAGGTGTCCTCGCGAGATTTGAAGCCTCGACGCGTAACACTGATCATGGCGGTGCTGCTAACATTAAGGCAGTGGTGGTCATGACTTTAGCTCTTTCTGCAGAATGTTGTATCTTCTATCGATAGACCCGGTAATGTGGGCTTTTATGATATGACCCTATAGATTTTCAGACAGTCACATTTCGAGTGATTGTTCATTCTAACAACAGCCATCAGCGTGCGATGCTTTTGGGCGCTCGCACGGTCCCGGCTCCTGCATTGCCTGCAGTACGGCCCGCGCAGTGGACTGACATCTTCGAGAAGCCTCTGGTTAGCACAGGCACTGTCGCGAGTGATGGCGGACTAGACAAAGTCACGCAGATCATCAAACTGGCACAGGGCATGATCGCAGAGGCCGAGGAAGCGAACGCGGAGAACAGGAGAATGCAAAAAGTGTTGGCGCAAGACGGCTACAACATCATGGACCAGGAGCAAGAGCTTGATCTATTGTTACGGCTGTAAAACTCAGTCGTGGTTCTCTCTACATTTGATATTTATTAAAATTTTCCTAAAGCAGGAGAACAAGTGCTTCGTGTCCCTCTAATTACCGATGAAGACAAGAACGCAAAGGACCGCGAGAAGGAGGCTCTGTTGCATATCGAGCACAAGGCTAACATGGAGCATCTCTTCGTGGACCTCTACATCATGGCAAAAAAAGCTGCAACACTCCCAAAAAGTGACACAACCTCAGGACGCAGTAAATTTCGACAGCTACTCGCTTTTCTGGCTTTGGAATTTCCCTTCTACTCGGACCTCATCAAAATCCTGCAGTTGATCGTGCATTTTGGGGGACCAGACTCAACATAAGGCAAAAATTGTTGCTGCTCTTGATTCGATTCATGAATTATCTTCGTGCCATCGCGTTCATGTTGTAGTTGGCGTTCATCTTGTAGGAACTTTCTTTGACATTGTAAAAAATTTATCGTAATCTTCTCTATCTCAGTTGTCTGCTTTTCCAATCCATGCACTCTGTCCTCTGAAGTGAAGCTGCTTATTTAATGTTATAAGTAATGTAACAAGTAGTGGCGCAGTATCTGTATCATCTCTAACACACACCACAGCAGTCACAGGCAGGTCGTGCAAACAAGGACTTCCCCGATCCGCCGCGACATCGACAGTATATGCAGCCGCAACAGACACAGTTTCACGGTGGTCAGATCAAAAAATTGGCTACAGAGTGCAGTTTGCAGTTTACAGAACCAGCACCGCCTGAGCCGGAGTCTCGTCATGATGAGCACTATGATGAGCGAGACGACGCGTTGAAAGCGTGGAAACAGCGGCGCCAGGAGCATCAGGACACACGCAGAAAATTTGAGGAAGAGGCTTCCTCCCGCGCCAGGCTGATTTTTGAAGCGAAAAAACGCACAGACTTTGCAGCGGAGCACTTGAAGAACAAGCTTCCCTCAGTCGAGGGAGCACCTCCACGCCGTGAAGAACCTGCCATGGAGAAAATGTTGGATACTTCCAAGACCACGCAATTGGTCAAGTACATCAATCAATACTTTGACGAGTGGAGAGCCGCTGCGGAGCTGAAGAGCTTCCTGGAGAATCTGAAGAAGGGACTGTGGAAGATCAAAGATAGTATTCCAGATGTTCCATTCGCGGATCGAGCTCAGAATCCATGGGACTCAATCGAGCAGACAGAAAAAGTCTTCGCCGGTGAAGCTACTCGGGTGGTTCCAACTGCAGGGCAAAAAGATCTATTTGTGCAGACGAGGGAGGGAGACGCGGAGTTAGGAGAGCGGCCTACCTGGCCAATTTTTGAAGGACCAACACTCGAAAGGGTCGAGGACCTCCTTCTTTGCTCCGAGAAAGTTGACTCAGAGGAACACGAAGTAAAGTCGCCTCCAGCTAAACAACGAAAAATAGGGAGTAGTGCTGAGCCGCCTCTTTCGTCCTTATTTGAGAAGAGGGGTCCAGTAGAATCTTCTGGTGCAGGAGCAACAAGTAAACATCTTCTACCTAAAGCCTTTAGTAGTGGCGAATACAAGGAGCTGAGTGCTGAATTCATCCGAGAACTCGAAGAGAGCTGGAAGCTGGCCGAGAAGGACGAGGCGAAAGCTATGGTCTTGCAGGTGACGCAGTAGTTCGTTGAAAATTTATTCATAGTTTTTCCTGTCCCTTCATCATTTCGTATTTTGTCTGGGAGAAGGGAAATCGTGGAGTTATCAGTTACAACATTACTACAGTTTGTTTGATACAAAGTGAGTGTTAGTGTCTGTAGTACAAAATCTTCTAAGCCCTACGCGATGGACGTTGGTAGCATGGCGAGTTTGCTTGGCAAGGCATCTGTGGACGGGAAAGCAGCTGCTTCAAAATATCTTCAAGAGAAGACAACGGAAGCGAAAAAGCTATTTGAAACAGGATGGCGCTGGATGCTGCAAAAGATGCAGCTACGGGCGCCAGCCCCTGCGACTGGTGCTGGTAATACCGTGACGCCTTATGCGTTTTTTCAATTATGACTGAAATTTTTACAACAGCTTCGTAGTACTAGTAAGACTTGTAGCGTATGCGTAAGCCTAGGCCTACGACTCATTTTGTAGTATGTTGCAGCTAGGAAGCTCAGGCTTGTCCTCTACTGGAAACGAAAGCTCCCTCGGGTTTGATGAGACGTCTGATCCTCTAACATTCGAGCATCTCTGCGACAGAAGCCCCTTGGTCCATGATGCCATCTTGATCGCTCTCGCCCTACGTTCTTGGCAACGCAGTCGTCGACTGCTTCAGTTACTCAGTGAGGGCAAAGGACATCAGCTAGGACTTGAGCTCGAAAAATCTGACAAAGTCTACTACTCGGTGACAGAATTCCCGGAATGGCTGGCTTTCGAGATCGACAATAACGTGTGCATTCGAGAAACGCAAGCAGAGGTGGCTATAGAGCTGGTTCGCGGTACGACGAGTCGCGTCTTGCAGCTAGACATGGGAGAGGGGAAGACGGCTATCATAGTGCCAATCGTCTTAGCGGCGTTGGCGAGAGCCTGTGCTTCTACCATGAGCATGAACATCAGGAGTGAGGATGAAGAGCAAGACAAGAACCCGATCACCCGCTTAACGGTGTTGTCTAGTCTCTATGCGACGAACGTGAAAGATCTACAGCAGCGATTGGGTGGACTGCTTGATCGCCGCGTCATTCCGCAACTCTGTCGACGCGACCTGCACCTCACTCCGCAATTGCTCAACAGAAGCTTGAACATACTGGAAAAAGCCCGTCGACGTGGAGACGTAGTGGTTGTTACGGGAGTTACAGGAGTGCGAGTAGTTTTAGTTGTCTAGATCACTCAGTATATACAATACTAATTTTTTTGAGGTTTTCATCCACCATTCTTGTGGAATACGAATAGCGAACATTTGTTCCATCTCTGGTTCAAGATTTTGAAGAAGAGCGCAGTCACGTCAGTTTCAGTAGTCGTCAAATCATATCATCAAGGTAGATTTCTGCCATTATTTGTCCTCTAACCTCTCGACCCCAGAGTGCCGACTCAGTCTGGAAAACAAGTCTTTAGAAGCGAGCGCTGAAGGTCTCAGTTCGCATTACAACGAAAAGACTTCGCGTGGCCTACGCAAACTCGTAGCCTTCTTTGAGGAGCACGGGCGCGAGCTCCTAGACGAGTCTGACGAGTTGTTGTCGTCGAAACATCAATTAGTCTACTCATTGGGCACCCAGTCCCGTATGGATGGGGAGCATTGGCGATTTCGGCTATCCTCCATCGTCCTAAGCGTTGTCAGTGCAAAGGCAGAAGAGTTACAGCAGAAGTTCGGCTCTGACGTTGTTGAAGTGTGTCGTGGTGCTGAGCGCGGCGGTGATCGTGACGCTGGCCCTGACTCTGTTGGCAATGGCAACAGTACGAGCAGCTCGTCCTTCACCTACTACACCTCTCTGCGTCTGCTGGAGCATCCACGTGCCACCGAAGTTTTTGAAACGATTCGGACGCTTTGCGTCGACGCCTTTCTGTCTGATGAAGCCGACTCCGACTCGTTGGTGAAAAAAGACGCTAGTACAGCAAATCTCGTGAGCAAGCATCTTCCGGACGACAGCTCCCGTATTGTGTTTCGTGCTGCAGTTTTGGACTCCGACTTTAGCGACTTTACGGCAGAAAGTGGCAACTTCCAAAAAGCCCTAGACTCTGAAGCAAGGACTGCAGCGCTGGCCTTCCGCGAGTTGCTCACTTACAGCGTGCTTTTCAGCGTGTTGAAAAAGCGATGGAGAGTCGATTATGGACAGCATCCGACGCGAAAGGGATACTTTTTGTTATGGCGAGTATCGTTGTCTTACCTAGATGTTGTCTTTCTGGAAGAGACTCAGTTGCAGTTCTGTTTTTTAGCACACGACGACCGAGCGAGCGTTTTCCCTTAGCTTTGGTGCATCCCTATTCTGCATATACTTCATTATCGCTACCCCGTTCTTATCCACCCTCTAAGTCCCGCTGTTCCCTACATCGCAAAAGACGTCGCAAGCGAAAAGAACGAATTCGCACATGCAGGAATGCTGTGTCTGCTCACTACTGCCAATTGGTACAGTAGTGGTCTGCCTCCCACTCAGCTTCGTGCCGCACTTCGGAAATTGGCAACCTTGCCCGCAGCAGAAGCAGACGCTCTCTACGCCTCATGGATTCGGGAAGTTGAGGACTCCACTAACTCAACATCTGCGACGCATGTACATCAAGAAGCACAACAGCGAGAGAGCAACGATCTGCAGCACGTTGGCCAACTTCTCCATGCTCTTCCTAAAGTTCGCACTGGCATCAACCTGCATGATCGACATCTCTTCGAGGAAGTTCTGTATCCGGTTTTCAGCCGTTCCCTTGGTGTCATCGATTTTTGGTTGCGCCGCGTGGTCTTCTTAAGGCTAGTTTTTCACTATCTCATTTGAATTATGCTGAGCGGATTCCCATTCCCTCTTATTTCAGCTTCAAGTGGATTTTGTTTCTGAGAGAGGATGTTGAAAGGCAAGCCGCGCAACCACATCAGATAGTAAAAAACTAGCTGTACTAATCTTCCCACAACAAGCAAAAGTCTTCCCGAAGAAATTAGTCGCCAACGCCTGGGACCTGTGTAAAAGCACTGAGTTATCAAGCAAATGGAAAGGTCTGACGCAAGGCTTTAGTGGCACGGATGATACGAAACACGTGCTACCTTTGACTGTGAAGCAGAAGAATTTAGACCAGTTGAAGGCCACAGGGGGAAGGCAGTTGAAGCGGCTACTACGGCCGGAGAATAACACGCTGCGTGTGTTGAATGGCGCTGGGGAGACTGGTAGTTTTGCTAGTACTACTAGAAGTAGATGTCCTTGCACCAGTTACAATTACTTATATGCAATTAAGTAGACAATTAAAATTATACTAGACGAATAGGTGGATGATAGTCACAGCAGCTGAGCATAGTAAGTTGTGAGTTCTTTTTCGGCCGCAGTGAGTAAGTAATATGCACATTCGGACTCGCTTTTTTCATCCTTTTCATCTTCGCCCACACAACTCACCTTCCCAGGAACACCTCTATCGACGACCAGCACACCTGTTTCGGCGGCCGCTCAAGTGATCAACATCGCCAGTAAGGATGCCCAATGTGTTGCTATTCTGGATCCAGGAGCTCTGATTCTTGAGCTCGATAATGAAAACGTGTGCCGCCAGTGGCTAGCGCGGCGACCAGATAAGGACTACGCAGTTTTTTTCGATGCTACCAGCGGAGAGCGGCGAACTTTGTCTAAATTCACAGATCGCGTGACATCGTTTCACCTCAGTCCGTGTGCAAACGACATGTCAAGCGCGTTGCTGTTTATGAAAAGAAATTCAATATGAATGTGAATATTTCTAGTCGAGATTCTACGTGTGCGTCAGGGTCCGCATTCAGCTCATAAGTCGTGATCACAGAAGATGAGGTGATGTACTTACTTCTAACACAGGAGGAGGAGCTAACCCTAGAGGCATTTCTATTTCAAATTCAATATTTCACATGATCTAGTACTTGTACTTCATCCCTCCCACAAGCCTGTCCCTTTTCATTTGCTATCTCGACGATCGACACTGCCGCGGTTCCGACTTTCAGCTTCCCGCACACGCAGCAGCAGTTGTCACTCTTGGTCGCGGGCTCTGCAAGGACAAGCTCCTGCAGTCCTGCATGCGCATGCGACAACTTGGCAAAGGCGGACAGCGCGTCGCTTTCTTAGCGCCGCGTGAAATTGGTAGTGCAATTGACAAGATCATGATGGAGCAGGAAGGAGCAGCAGACGAGATGATAACTTCAGAGGAAAATACCAACAGCACAGGCACAGATAAAGTCCGTGCTGTCCTATCCTGGTGTTTGCAAAATAGCTATCAGCGCACCACTGATTTGCTGCCACTCTTTGCATCGCAGTGTAGGAGTGCTTTGACGAAGGCAGCTTCCTTCGAAGAGTTTCATCAAAAGGTAGCTCAGTCCTCACGCCAGGAGCTAGAAGAGGGCGCAGTCGCAGCGGCTGCAGCCAAACAGCTAGTTTTGAAGTGCATCGAGAACGAAGGTGGAAACCTAGAGAAACAGTACGGTCATGCACGAGTGCAAACCAAGCTTCCAGATCTTGCGAAATCACTCCTAGCCAAATTTTTAAACAACGGAGATGGAGTAGGGCAAGGCCAGGGCGCAGCTGGTAACTACACCTGATTAAAACACTACTTCTAGCGAGTTCGATTTCCCCTTTTCCAACGATGGCACGTTGTGAGGACACCCAATAATAGCGCTCAATATTGTCTTGTGCGAAATTCCTTGACTTTTTTCTGATTCTGGTTCCGATGATTTTTTCAATTACTCGTCTGCTCGTCTTCATCATCTCTTATCCTACTTTAAATCAACACTACCAATCACACACTCAGGCTCGCTCGCTCAGCATGTGATCAATCGCGTGCAAGAGTTGGCTCCATCGGTAAAAAAAGGGAGCGGGAGCCATGAGACGGATGAGGAGCAGGAAAGAGAGCTCGAGCACGAACAAGAAGAAGAGCGCCACGCCTTTCGGCCCCCGAAGGCTACGCCTAAGGACGAGAGGCGAATCTCTCCCGGACTCGAGAGCTTTCTCAAGAATCCGCGCCAGCTTGTTGTCGGTGGCGACAATCCAGACCATCAGCTGAAGCCTTTGCGTGAGGCCTTCCGAAACGCCCCAAGTCTGTACAAACTTCTACCCGCGAAGCTCTTTGCATTTGCGGACGAAATTGGCCAGGACAAGCAGAAGGGTGTGGTATTTGTGTATGGCGCGGGTCGTATATGCTATCGCACTGTGGCGGGGAGTAAATAATTGGTAGCGCGACTACACTAGTAAAGTTTGATTTTGTAACTGTGCTTTCTGGTCGACTTATTTGACCTTAAAAATGTCAACCATTGTAGTTACGCCTTATTTATTATCTTCTTGTTCAGCTGTAGCTCTAGCTTTTGTCTATCATTATCAGGTAGTTGTGCTTGTGGACGGCTAGTTTTTCATCTGATTATTTCGCATTTCTTCCTATTTTTACGAATACGATCTTCACCCATCTACTACTCCTATTTTTTCGTCTATCCATCTTTCTAGATTTTCTAGAAGGACTCCCATCTTTCATTTTCGCACTCCGAACTTTTGCACGTCGGTAACCGAGCCCGACGAAGCGTTCTACCTAAAAGCACCGAGATGGGTGATCTGGAGTAGGGAGAGAAGCATCTGGGTCCTCATCTCGAACTACGAGGCGGAGCAGTGCGCTGCGTATCTGATCCGTAGCCGCAATGTGAATTAAGGCGCTCGTATTATTTAGCTCTCAGGTTATTTATCTGCATCAGGATCCCGCGAAGCATCTTGCAGGAGTAGCCTTTCATTGGAAAACGACTGCCAAGATGCTGATTGTACTTGTAGTTGCGTTTCGGACTCGGTAACTAAACTCTAAGTCAGGAGCGACGTCTTGCTGATGCCGTTTCTAGCAGTACCCGCATGGGCCGCTAACCAAGATGGACACGAGGAAGCGCGAGACGGAAGAAACTCGCTGGCGCAACTAGCACCGCCGACACTGGCACAGAGCAGCTTTGCAATGGACATCAGCCCTAGCCCCGGGATGGGAGGCCTTGACTCGTTCTTGTCATTCGGTGGAGGTTATGCCCGCGCCAATGCGACACCGTCAGGCCATCGCCGTAGTGCAGAAATGTTTCGTCGTTCGGGTGCGGTGTTTACTGCAGCAGGCAGCTGCGCCAACAGCTCTGCTGCGTTCCCGTATGTCTTCGCTAAAGGTGCCGAAAAAGAAGCGACGAAATTCGCCACGCATCCGATACTACATACCTTCGCGGGTAGTATCCACGCGACACTCAATAGCGAGCTCGGCATCAAGATGCTCTATGGTCTGGCGTTGGCGCCACGGTCGAACGAGATCAAGCCAAAGCTGCCACTAGATCACGAATCGAGCAATCAAAACCAGCACGCGGCTAACATTAAGGCTAAGTCTGTTACTCTTACTGCTACCGTTCAGTTTGTTCATGATAGTATGCTACTTACTTCTTGCGCCCGTGTAGATCGTCTTCAAGCATGATCTTCCTGTACTAGCATAAGTAGATATTGTCACGCCGTATGAGGATGGATAAGAGGCTTGAAGATGAACCAGATTGCAGTATGTACAGCTTGCTCCTCTAATCCTCACAACATGATCAAGATATGGGACAAAGAACACAGTAAAGGACTGGTTTTGCGGGATGGATTCGTGCCTCACCAGAGGAGTTTGCCGCTAGGGAGCAAGAACAGGGAAGAGATTTTGGCAAATCTGTTGGGCAATAGAACCCGCCTGGACTTCCATCAAGATCGGCACTTTTTGAGTACTGGTCTACCAGCAAGCTCGCCGGTCCGCTTTCTTTTATGGCTTGCTTCAAGAAGCTGAAACGCAGCGCGTGTTTACCGAATACGATCTCAAGTACAAGTTACTAGATCAGGTTCTATTCTTTCGCCCTCTCACTCTAATCTCTTTGGAGCTCTTTACGAAAGGACGGCACCTGACGCATGAACTTGAGGCGAGCCCGATGGGGCAGGTGCTTGGCTATGTGGGCAGCTAAGATCGTCGTCGCAAAGCAGGTGCAGGAGTGCTTGGGAAGGGAAGAAGAAAGCCGGAGTGACTAGTGAGTACTAAATTATATCATCAATCTAACTAGTGCTTGGCAGTAACTTCGTCATCGTTTCGTCCATATGGAAGAGATACGAGGAAATAGAGCATTCTTCAACACAAATAATCTCGATGTCTGCGGCAGAAGGAGAAGAAAAATTGAAGTAGTTTTATATATGAATATGATCTAAGTTGTAGCAACATCATCCATCATGATCATTCTCGAAGCTGCTGTTGATTTTTATTCTTATTAATTTCTAAAGTCAGTGACAGTGTCGCAAACAAAACTCTTATATGTAGTAAGTCAAAGCAAGTTTTTCAACTACGACTGACTTTTTTATTCATCTAAATACTGATTTCTAGACCGAATTGCTGTTCATCTAGTACAGGGTGCTGCTGTAGTATGTTGTGAACTCTTTTTTCGACGCGAATTTCTTTAAGACTCTATCAGCCTCCAACGTTATGAACTGCTTGTTGTGCGATGTTGCGTAACACAATGTAGAGCAGTATTGAAAGAAGTCCCATTCATCGTATATCGGATTTACTGTTGTCTCTTACTTAACAATATTATCGTAAAAATCCCCTCTATCTTTTAGTCGTTGGTCAAAAAAAATCATATCGTTGGTCGATCCTCTGATCTTCTACTCGATGACGTGACTCCAAAATCAAAAGGCATCCTTTCATCTTAGAAATAGAAGTACTGACTCTCCTAGTCATTTTATGAAAGAAGAATCATCACCAAGAACGTCACCTCCTAGTATTCCTTCTTAGTCTCGTTCTGAATAATTTACATTTTTTTCTCGTCTCGGGATCCATTGGTTCGGCGCATAGAAGTACTACAGTAGATTTTCAAAGAGTAGGATTAGGTTTAGGAACGTTCTCAACAAGCGGGCTTCCGTTTGTGAGAGCTCTTTCGAAGCAGAGAGCTCTCAAGAAAGTAGAACTGATAGAAAAACTGACTCAAGAAAGCAGAAGTGATAGAAATAGAAGTACTGACTCATATACTCTACTAATGGTTTTATCAAAGAAGAAACACCTCCACTAACGTCACCTAATTGTATTCCTATTTTCCATTTTTTTCTCGTCTCAGGCCTATGAATGATCGAATCCTCAAGCAACGATCCTCCTCATGAAAGCCAAGTATCGTACGGTATTGCTGTCTATTCTACACCCGCCAACCGGAGCGAGGTGAAACATGCGATAAAGAACAGCATTGCGGGGTAGGACACAGAGACAGGAGTAACACGGTTGCTATGAAGCGTGACAGTGATAAATGCCCGAGTGAGAGGCTTAAAACATCGGTCGTGAGGTAGATACACAAACTGTACATGCTTGTACCGGCAAAGGTACTCCTGACGAGGGATTTCCTCGAGTGATCAAGAGAGCCGCGAGTGAAAGTTGTGGATGCTGAAGAGCAAGCGAAAGATTGGCATGAAGATAATTGACAAGGTGACTAGGATCACTCCAACACATTATAGTAGCAATTTCCTACTTGTCGTGCTCTATGAAAGCAAAAAGTGTTTTTCTACATCACGACGTCCAGGTGCAAAGGGGCTCTTCATACAGGTGGAAAGGGCGCGAACTATGTTGCTACGACTACTCGTCGTCCTTCATTTTGAACCTTCCTCGTTTCATCTCCCCACACGACCAGCAGCGAGACATTAACATGTACACTAACTACGTATAGTTTCTGATCAGCATTCAAAAGATGTTACCACGACGCCCGAAACCTCTCTTGTCCACCTTTGGTGTCGGTCCATCTGGACAGCCCCAAGAAGATCCTCGTTCCCTACAAGCACAACAGGACATCATCGACGAATACATTTATGTCGGAAAAAGAGCAAGGGAGATGTTGCGGCCTTGGGCTAGTGCGCCTTATCAAGGGTTGTTCGAGAAGTACTTCAACGATGTGATCGGAGTACATGAGGGAGTTGGGATTCTTCTCATGGCTGCGCAGTTGGATCACGAGTATTTGTTTGATTCGCGGAGAAACGCAAACGCGACAAAGGCAACGTCAACAACAAAGGTTGTAAGTCCTATGAGAACGGCAACGGAGGATGAAAAACTGCAAGCAGGAGGAGAAGCACGACAAAAACAAAATGAGGAGACTATGTTGAAGAAACAGGATGACTACGACAGTGGATTACCCCTTAGCGATGGCATGTTGAAGTTTCCGACACAAAAGAGCCTTCACTTTCGTCAGCAAGACGATATCCATTATCAAGCTGCAGGATTGACTGAAAACCTTCTAGGGTTCATTTCAACGCAGCTAGTGATTTGCACTTTAGCTCTTGCGGTTTCTATCCCGCTTTTTGTGCATGGGGTCAACGGTGTGTTTGATCCAGATTCTATCGCGTTGAACGGAAAAATAACGGACGAGACTGTAATTGTAAAGGGCCTTGCTGATGGTGGACAGTCGAACTCTTCGGATCGTTCGGGAGAAGACGATACACCTACGAGTACGACATCAACTTCATCAAGTAGCTCTTGGTTTGAGTGGCAATCTTCGTCTCCCGGCTTTCTATTTGCGTGCCATATAGTGGAGGTTGTTTTTCTGACTCTGAGTATGTGGAACTCGACGCGGGGGGTCCTGCATGGTTTTACCCTGTATGGTGGCGTCGCAGTCTATTTCCCGGAGTTGCATCAGAGTATGGCACTAAGCAGAATTGTTGTTGTTCTCAAAAAGGACTACTGATACTGGACGACTTAGCTTGTTAAGGTCCTGACAGCTTGCTTGTTGTTGTTCATCAGGATGATGAGTGGAATAAAAGAAAGCGACTGCGACAGACAACAGAAACAGTGTACTTAGAAGCAATATGTGTGTAGAAGTACTTAGAAACAAATATGTATGTATCCAGGTCCAGCTCCAGCAGATAACTTAATGCGGCTAGATATTAGATAAGCACCAGAGTTTCCGCCTTTATCGTGGTCGTGGTCGTAAATCGAAGCTCTCATACCACAGTACAAGTTCCTGCTGTCGGTGATCACCCAGCCTGGCGTGCTGTTTTTGAACGCCGCGAACTCGGTTTTTTTCATGTGCTGTGCTTTACCGTTTCTGTGCACACGAATTTCGCCGATTCTGACCATTGGAGCTTTGGTCTTCATGCTGTCGATCTTCTACACGATCATCGCACATGTACTCGCTACGGGAGACATGATTGCACGACAGATGCACGAGCGCGCGCAGCAAATATGCAAAGTGTATTGTACGGATGAAGATCGAGAAGACGTAGGAGGGGGTGGAGATAGAATTAGAAACGAAGAAGATGACAGCAGCACTAATCTTGTTATGGTGCAAGATGGTCATGGTAGAAGGGCAGTGTCAAAGGCCAAGGATGGAGGAAGAAGAGTATACACAAGCTCTGGAGGAGGTGCCGAGACGAGGCAGAAACATGTTGAAGAAGAAAGTGGAATTATAAGCAAGTATGCGAGAAAGGTGAGTATTTTTTTCTCATGAGGTGGAGGATGGAAAACATTTCTTGGAATCAGACTGATGAAAGTGGACTTCTTAGTCTTGGGTTTGTGTCAGGAACAGAATCAAGGCCTGCCACGTGGTGTTCGCTGATGCAGATCGTGCGGAGAAGTCGTACTTATGCGCTGATGCAGCTGGATGCAGATCACGAGAAACGACAGAGAACTTTTTTAGGGAAAGTGACGAAATTGGAGGTCTATCTGTGGCTGCAGACAGGTGGATCACGACGGGGGAGCAGATTCATGGACTCATGAATACAGCGCTAGGGTGATCGGCCTCTCAGATGCTGGCTGACTGCTGAAGAAAAGGGGGTACGCTACTTCTGGTTCTGTTGTTAATGCACATAAGAAATCGGGGTCATTCATGCACATGGTGCCTGGGAAACATAATTGTACATTTTCATCTTGTTGTATTTTTTGACAGACGATTCACAAAACTCGAAAATCATCTTCGGATGTTACACCAGCAGGTCTCGAGAATGTTATTAATACGCCATTCTCACCCTCTGCAAACTTCTTGGAAGCTTGTTGTTCTTGTGTGTTCTTGGACAATTGTTATCGAAAGAGAAAGATTCTTCCTACGCCTTCCCAACGAGAACAGAAAAAACAAGTTGGACACTGCCGATATGTTGACAGAGGAGGGCTACCTGCCGCCTCCTCCTCTTTGCCTCCTTACAAAACCAAGAGAGACATGTGGATTGAATGAATGGACCTGTTTCTTTTATTTGGGTCGTGCACCAACGATTTTCATCGGCGAATAAAGGTGTCTTAGTTTCGGCGTCAGGTGGTCGATCATTGAGGAATGCACACAAAAGCTAAGGTCTAACGAGGGCTAGAAGGCAACTGAAGAGGGAATTTCTGTTCTCCGAGTCAGCGCGCCTGCTTTACATTATGTGTGTCGAGGCCGTTTAGATGACGTGGAAGAAGTTTGGTCCATAGCCTGAAGCCTCTTGAGCAACTCTGCAGTGGTTAAAGCTGATAGGTCCTGGAAATTTTCAAGGCTCTGGAGTCTACCAACGTTTCTGTTGCTCTGCACCATGCCCATACAGCGACGGGCTTCTTTGACAGTCTGCTTCAAAGACGGCGCATGCCATCTGATGGTAGTAAAAGTAGACTAGTCCAGCGTCCTCTTTTAACAAACTCCTTGACGTCCTCATCAGAGAAACGTCCCAACTCCGTCTGCATCTTCGTCGTTCTCAACCATCGGCAATGCTCTACCCAAATATCTTCGCGGTGCCATACTTCTTTCTCTTCGCAATTAAAGAAGACCTCGGAAGTTTTCCAGTTGTTCCCTGGCTCCTCCTTACACTGCCCGCAGAGCCACTTTTCCGAATATCCATCTGGACAAGGGTTTTTGTCCCTTTGCCAATCGCCGTGCTCGTCACGCGTCGATTCCGTCTTTTGAACGGCTTTACAAGTGTCGGCTTTCACCTCCAAGCGATTGAAGTGCACCCGTGCAGTGTTCCGCATTTCGTAGCGATATTTCAAGGGATCTCTTTTCCATCGATCGACCCTCTCCACCCACGCAGCACGGGTTGTAGATGAGCTGTTACTAGTTGCCTTTGCCACTCGTGTTACTATTTGTAGTCCTTGCGGGAAGTTTGTCCAACTCTGCAGGATTCCAGAAATTTGGTCTCGCACTTTGCGCTCATTGTCTGACTTCCGTTGGCTACTTACTTTATTGCTCTCGCATGCGGTTGACGAGATCGTTAGTATCTTGAGCGAAGTTGTACCTTTTGAATTAGGAAAAAATTGGCGTAAGAACGCCCGAAGCTGTACTTCTGTCCAGCCCAATGAACATTGTCCGCAATACTTGAAGAGCCCAGTCGCACGCACTGAGATACTCGATGAGGGTTTCGCTGTGAACAGCGTGGATGGCATCACAGACGACGACAGCGCTGCAAGATGTGCGTCTTTCTGCGCGTGGATTTAGTCAGTTTCTCGAGCGGGCGCGTTCCTATTTGTTGGAGTATATCACGTACAACTTCAGGCAAGCCAGGGTCACTCAACAACGGAAACCAGTCCGCGTAACACTCTATGTCTTGGTTCCTGCCTAGCCCTATTTTGTCCAGGTTCAGCTCTCCAGTCAGTGGGCGCCACGAAAGTCTTGTTCAGGTCAGCGGCAATCGCTAGGAGAACTTCTGCGTCCCTTTTCAGGAACGGACTCGCCCAGTGCCATACTTGTATGCTACCTCCGACTTCTATGTCGCCACTCGCCCTAGTAATATCGGCCAGGACGACCTCCTTCGTGTTCTTCATGCGATCGGATGCCAATCGCAGGGCTAGATGGCCATATTTTGAGCAGGCAGCAAGAACTTCGTACTCTTTTCTTATCTTTGAGCCGCTCTGATGCAAATTCCAAAGCCATCCCATGATAGATTCTGACAAGCAGCAAGAACTACTTCTGCATCGTCTTGCAACCGACTGGATGCATTTGCCAGATTCTTGATGCAGCCCTGAGATACAGCGACGGCCAAAAAAGCTGCCTCCACTTGATTTTCTTGCAGACAGCAGGTATAATTACTTCTTTGTCGCCGCTAAGCTCAATCGACTGACGAATATCGCCCACGACTCTGTTGAAATCCAAAAAAACAGCTCCCTTCCTGAACCATCTTCAGCACCTGCGCCGAAGCGCCAGTCAACATCATCGTGAGGTAGATGTAGAGTATGAGTACTGATGAAACGAAATAAAAATGACTGACAGTTGATGTAGATGCTCAAATAAGTAGATGATAAAGAAAAAGATGAACACTTAGTCTTAGTAGTCTTTTTACTCTTGTTTTACAAGTTACTTCTTAAATTTTTACAACTCGATGAGGATGATCTTTACTTGCAACTTCTGACGCATTACGACTAGAACTAGATGAGGATGGTCTTTACTTGCGTCGATGGATATTCTTGAAAACATCAGATCAAAAGTGAGTTTTTAGAGTTTTATAAATATGTTCACTCGAGCAATTCCGATTGGGATGTCCTTGTTTCACGAATGGGTCAACGCTTTTTCTTATAGTCCAGGAGAGGTAGACCATTACCCATACCCATAGAGCATAGCTAAGCATACGAGGACTTTAAGCATCAACATCCATGAAGTAGTTCCATCTTTGTCGCCTTTGCCACTCGGTGCTCTTTGTCGACTTTACTCAGGTCACCGATTCATCCTCGGAGTCAAGCCAGGTGCCGGGGGGCTTTGATGTGCAGGATTCACAACCTAACCTAACCATCTCGAATATTTCACCAGTCAAAAACTCCACATCCAGTCTGCTGCTCTGAGCGTCCATGTCAGTGTCTTCTCCTGCGTGTGGAGTAGGTCTAGCATCCAGTCAAAGAATATTTGTGGTGGAGCCGACCTAACTAGAAAAAAGAAAGACCAGAGGTGGAAGATACTTAGACAAGTATCCTTTTTTTTTGGATCTTGGTTCTACTTTGTAACTTCACGACAACAGAATCAGAGAAAAGGCTAGGGCAGGTGGGCGATGATAAAGCGGAACCGAACCCGAAAAACGATCTTGTTATTTGACATGCCGCAGCATTCACGCCCCGTTCCTTCATCAAGATGTGTCTCTGTCTCCCAGCGAGGATGCTTTCCATGGCTGCTTCTCACAGTCAAATGTGCTAGAACAGAACAACAAAGCTAACGCCATCACAACAAGGGTGGACGTGGAGTCTTGTCCTGCTCATCAAGGACTCCGCGGCTCAAATAATAGAAGCGTACAAGAAGATGAGCATTCAATTTGTATGAAAACTCGCGGTCGGGGGCGGTCCCATCGCGAGGAGAAAAATAGCAGTATGGAGATTCTACTCTTTCATGTCCTCCTGGAAGCATAGTATGAGAAGAATCATGTCAGTGTAAAAATAGGATTGGCGGATGAATGAATGTAGATCATGACCATTTGTCACACCACGATACTAAGCCAGAAAGCAATGCTCGTCCTGCTTGGTATGAAAATGAATGTGTGCATCTAAATCTACTTGTCCCTTCTTCTACTTCGCCACTGCTGCTCGCGTAAGCGATCTCGTCGCAGTCCCCGTATAGATGGCAGTGCTCATAATGATAGCAGTACTGATACCTGTACAGAAATAGATGGAGAAGATCGATGAGTGACGCATCGTTCCGTACGAGGTGAACGGAAAAGAAGATTTTGGTTTTTTCTGATATCATCATGTCATGCGAAGATCACACATACACTACGACGGATTATATAATAGAAGAACAATTTATTTGCTATAATATCGACTGGAACAAGGGTGGACCATAAACATAATCGAGTACCTTTTTGTTCCTGGCTATTCGTGCTCGTCCCCCGAAATGACGTTCTGTAAAAGAATCAGGATCAGCATCAGCCGTCGTTACTTCCACGTCCACAATGGAGGATAAAAGCGGTGGGTCTCAGACTCTGGAAGTTTAGGATGTCGTAGGGGTCGTCTCTTTCTTGTCATATATATCGTCGCCCCAGTACTCACCAGTTCGTATCTCCAACAGATACCGACGTCGCAGGTCATGAATCAGATCTGGCGAAACCCCGAAGCGAAAACTGGGTCCCTTTTCGGCTCCTCGGTCACGATACTGCTGCGCGAGTTGAACCGCGAAGGCGATCGTGAACATACCACAATCGTCGCTGTTATCTTGACGCGGAATTCGAATGCCTAGCTCTTTTTCGAAGTCGCTCGAATAGAGCTCTGTCCATCCGTCGAAGGAGAACTCGCCTGCACCTTTTTTCTTGTCTTTCCACTCATCCGATAAGTATCGGCGTACCACCTCCATAAACAGGGTCTTTCTGAGTCCTAGCGAGCAAATGTGTATCAAGCGCTTGCGCCGAAAGTCCACGACCCCCAACGACCAATGCGATCCAGAGCCGCAAGGCACAATCATCAAGTCTAATCCAAAAATGTCTGCTTTGCGACGGAGAGACCACCGCTTCACGTTGGCGTAGCAATACTGTGCTCCTCCTGAACTCTTAGAGATCATAGAGCACTACTTCTAGAATGAATGTCAAATCGTGATTCAATGTTCGTTGTTCACTCACGACACTCACTTTCACTGAGGTGCAAGGAAATCAATCAGTCTAGTTGGAAGACTACCACAACATTCTGATTCTCAGTGCCATAAGACTCTGCCCCTCGCCGCTTATCCGCATCCACCACTGTGTGTTCCAGCAGAGGACTTTTTTGTCTACTACCTCTGTGCCCAAAATTTCGCGCACGGCTATCTTGATGTAAAAATCGATAACGTTGTCGTTAAGCCACGTGCGCGGAGCAAGAGTGCGCATGTCGTTGACCCGGAGGTCGATCTTCGTCCAATGATCGTCACCCTGGATCTTTTCCATGCCGTTAGGTCGACTTTGGTACACTGCTAGCATCTCATCCGCCATTCCTCGCTGCGCATCACTCAGCACTGGCCTCAGCGCGCCAGAGTAGATCGATGATTCTTCCTCTTCATCTTGCATTCCAGTTTCAAGAGCAAGTTGCCTCTTCTGATTAGTACTATCATCTTCAGCTCGTCCCTCCTCGTCTACTTTATGAGACACGGCTTCCACCTCCTGCTTAGCTCGTTTATCTTCCTCTTCATCAGAAGTATCAGGGATTTCTATGACTTCATTTGCTGGCGGTCGTGGCACACATTTTGGTGATAGCGCGACTGGCTTCCCGCTCACCCGCGTGCCTCCTTTCACGCCAGAAGATGTCGCACTTCGTGCCAGATCTTTCCCCGCAGCTGCGTCTGCACTTCGTGAGGCGGAGGCTGCATCGCTCACCGTAATTGAAATTGTACGTCGAGTTGTGGAAGTTATTCTTGCTTTCTCCCTTCCTTTGTCTTTGTGGTCCGTCTCGCCAAGCTCAAGTTGTACAGGAGTACTCTCTTCTTGACCTGTTTTGCCATCCACCTTCTGATAGGGTATGTGAAGACTCGCAAGAGTTGTTGAAGATGAAGATGCCGACGCTCCCACCAAATAAACTGTTTCTGCTTTAGCCGTGTTCGCAACCACCCGCCGCGTTGGACTTCGAGCTCGTTGTAGACTTGCAGCCTGCGCCGCAGCCTTCCGTCGTGCTTCCGACGCGAGCTGGGCAGTGCGCTGTTGAGCTGCACGCGCTGAACACACTTCTGCGTTGCTGTCTCCACTTTCGAAATAATTGCCCCATTCATCCTCGTCAGAAATGGTCACCACTACAATATCGCCTGTTCTTGAAGCTGTAGCTGCTGCTCGACCACCACTCATTTCGCTGGTAGCTACCAACATAGCACTTGGATCGACGGCGCTGACACCGTCCTCAGGCGAGAGGAGGTAGCCAGGACTCCTCATCATGTTCGATGTATCGGCTGCCCTGTTTATCAGACCAGTACTAGGATGGCCACCATCTTCTGCCAAGTTCGTCGAAGACAGGTAGTTCCCATTCCTTATCTTCGTTAGCGTCCTCGCGTCTCGACGCTTCTGACGTGGAGCCAGAGGATCGTTTGGAGAAATCATCATGTCAACATCATTGTCCGACTCCTGAACACTCACCTCCTGGCTGTGACTCACATGTTGATCGTGGTCCATCCGCTTCACAATTTCTGTTGACTTCCGGAGTAGGAATTGCGCCCTTGAACGCTCTTCCTGAAGTTGTAAGTGCTCTCGCTCCTCAAAATACGAAGCGTCCACACAAGTAATAGAGGGTGGCACTTTATTCCTGCTGCTAGTCGTGTCAGCTTTGCCACCTGTCTTGCGAACAGGGCGGCTCGCGCTACTCTTGCTCTTCAGATCGCTTGTTGTTATTTCGTGCACTAAATATTGTGCTTGCTTACTTGCGCTTGCTATTTTTCGACCACGTTGGTCTGGCAATGACACTCGTGGCTCCAGCACCTGTAATTTCGAGGAAACCGCGCGTCGTGGGTCATTACGCCTCGCATTTCTACTACCGGCTTTGGTCTGTCGCAGTCGTTCTACGAATCCTGGAGTGAACGAGCCTGTAGGATCAAATGCTCCTGCTCCATGTACACTTGTTGTAGCAAAGCTTGCACGTGATGATGATGCCACACTTCCACCTTGAGCTCGCGGCCTATGAGTCACGCTGAATGGCATAACGTGCTTTGATGATACAACTGAGAGAGGAGGAGGAGAGATGCGTCCAGCCCCACTGCTTCTAACTGGATGGTGAAATTGTTCGCCTACACGACGGTAAGGCTCTGCGCGAAGGAAACCTCTTTGCTCTGCACTGGCTGCGCTGGAATAAAGAGGAAAATGGCCTTGATAATGTTGGGTCTCACCTCGACTAGGCCTGTCGTAGCCCTGTTCCGCAGTGTCGGCTCCTGGAGGTCTACTTGATGAAAATGTAGATTCCTGTTCATGGAGGTTTCTAGGAAGTAGATGGTACTGGTGCTGATGTTCTTGTTCTGGCCCAGCCGCCCGATTCACGACTTGTTGTTGCTGTAGTTGCTCTTGCTCTCTCCTTCTTCGGTCCGCATCATGTTGCGCTTGCGCACCGTTGACTGACGCTGCACCACCGACCACGGCGTCTAGAACTTTCTTCGATAACGACGCCCCAACCGATACAGTCTTGTTCCACAGCGTCGCAAGAGGGCTTTGATTTTCTTGATTTAGAACCCCCCATGGTGTCTCCGCTCTACTCCGCCCTCCTCCTCCCCCTCCCCCGTTACTCGATGATGAAGGGCTATTGTGATGGTTCGAGCCTCTTGACTCCTGACCCTGAGAAGTAGTGCCATTTCCTCGTCTAGTATCCAAACCACGTTGCTCCTGTTTACGCTGTTGATCATTATTCCTATTGGGGGTTCTGCTTCTGGGGAGGAACATTGTTGTAACTGTCCCTCGAAGTGACTGTCAACTTCAAGCGAGGACAGATTATTCGGAATCCACTTCTGTCCTATCGCTAGAACGCTTTGGCGAAGCAGCAGAGCGAGAACCGACAACCGAGGCTAGCCAATTTTAACGACTATGATTGTTTCTTTCGCCCGCGCGTCCGTTGTATCCATATTTTTCCTCTGAAATTTCACGTCAATACTTCATTCTGCTGATATGACGTAATGTAGTTCGTTGTATTAGTATAGATGTGTGCCGCGTCGTGTGGTCATGAAGATGATCATGCTAACCGCTACTAGCTCTACTCGCCTACATTCTCCATTACAGGTCAGATAACAAACACAATGATGTTCCAAACATTTTCTTTGCGATCGACGATTCGTGAAAGTTCTAGTAAAGGACGATGTGTGACAAAGATCTAGCACAGCACAATAATAAGTACCGAGTAAGTAGCAAGCAAAAAAAAGGATGGGGATCTGCTCGACGTTTTTCTACAATCATGTTGGTACTGGAGGTAGTTCGACTTTTTTTTGCCTCTACATTCTTTGATTTCTTTTTTGCTCCTTATAGATATATGGGGTACCGAAGAGGGGCTCCCGATGAAGAAATAGGCGATCATCATCTTTGCGGCTCTGCCTCGACAGTTAATGTACAAAAGCCTAGCAGATCGACGTCAGAACACCACAAACACCCACCCAATTGAACGGAGTGCAGTCACTCACCAGAAACGAACTAGTAGTAGTCACTAAGTAGAGACCACGACTTGTAGTTCTAGATATAATATTTTTCGAATTAAGAGTAACCGCCAAGTCGTCCAAAAATCACTGCACACAAGATGACATTTGGTCATCGGCGAAATTGTTCTTTAGCGTACTTACAACATGCATTTTTTCCCAATCAAATCAATTAAAATTCTTTATTATAAGACTTCATCTGAAGATCATCTTGATGTTTATCATGTTCTCGTAGGTGGAAGAACTTGTCGCCTTCTTCGATTGCGCCGCACATGATACGTACAAGATTTTCACCTGCTTGTAAATCTTCTACACGTTCTGGACACATGATTTTTGTTTTATCGGTAATATTGATGTTCTAAAGATTCTTGTTGTTCATCTTCCTTGTTGAAACATGCAAGAATATCGAGTTGTTGTAGCCCTCGATTTCAATTTCTGATGAATGTAAGTGTAACCTAGATCATAAGGAACAAGATGACAATCGAGCTCAGCAAATACAAGCAAACCGAATTTGCGAGGAAAATGTACCCTTGATTATCATAGTGAATGAAGTCTGATGATGAAACTGGTGGTAATTTGAACTGTTGAAGATGAATACAACGATATCATACCATGAATCTTTATGTTGGAGTTGGAACTTGTGCTTGTCCTTGTGATTGAAAGCTGAAATGTAGTACCTCTTACTTGAACTTGTACTAAGTGGAGCGACGTAACTGTAGCAGCACTGAAAGCGCTGAGAGTGCTCCTCAATTATCCTCTCTACTGTACTAGAAGATGAAGACCTTTGTCCCCAAACCTTGTTTCGTGTAGCTAAGACCCTACCATATTAACTAATCTATCGTGACGCAAAATATCAAAAATTTCATCAACCTGAACCTAAAGATTTAACTCAAACTCTACTACCCACTACATTTGTTCGATTTCCTGCTGTGATGGCGTAGTATGTGTATCTACTAAGGAGTACCACTTGCACTTAAGGTCCTCGCTTGACCCGGCAGAAGCAGTTGATATTCTTGCCGAAGATGAAGCCCAACAACACCTTGGTCCATGAGTCGTAGTACGGCAGGTTGTCGTAGAATTCTGGCGCCATGGCTCTCACCTGCGGCAGCAGACGGCCTGGAACTCGGGGAAAGTCGTGGTGCTCATTGTGGTACCCGACGTTGTACGCGAAGACGTTCAACGGACCGTAGTATGAGTAGGTCTCTTGGCCTTCGATAAACTCGAAGTGCTCCGCGATGAAGTGGCCAGCCATAGGGTGCAAGCCCAGTCCAAGCACCGAACCGAGGAGAGAATGAAGGAGAGAGATCTAACAGGGGGAGTAACAGTGGGCGTGGAGGTGCGACTTCTACACGATCACAGGGAAACCTTCTTATTCTTCAGACTGAGTGCTTCTGGTTATCATGTTCTTGGGTTTATAGTTCATACAACTTACTAAGTACCTTCTTATTCTGAGTGCTTCTGGTTATCATGTTCTTGGGTTTATAGTTCATCCAACTTACTACACAAAGTCAAAGACGAAGGCAAAGAGTACAGCAGCAATGCATGTACATTTTTCTAGTACTAACAGAAGGAGTACTTATCCACATCGATGATCACCATAAAAGAGGTAACAGAACGCTTTCAAGCCGAGGTTCTGCACGACAAGGTAGTCGAAGGTTCCAACGACAACCCAGTTCATGATCTCGTTGACGCTGACTGGTTTGGGTTTCACTAAAATTGGTCTCAGACCATAGAAAAACGGCTGTAATGCGACCCACAAGGCCTTGGTAGCAGTGTATCGAAAAAGTTTTCCCTCTAATGCAGTTGGCAAGTCGGCATCCATCTTCTCGCTGCCTTGGTAAGTGTGGTGCTCGAGGTGATACCTGTAATAAGATGATGGGGGAGTGACCGACGTTGTTAGATGGTGTTGGTGACAGTGACAGAAACCCTAAGAAAGTTAAAGTACAGCTAGAGATAAGGGAATGCTCATCCTGTTTCTGATGTCCTGGCTACTGAGGTAGTAACCTTGATATCCAGCAACTCACATGAGTAAGTCTAAGTACTTACCTCTTAAATGTGCTCGCTGATGCCACGCATGTCGGGCAGTTGATGAACCAGCCGAAAACCAGACCGAATTTCTTGTTTTTGAACCACAAATCATGGCTGAGCTCGTGCATCGCAAGCACGAGACTGTGATTCATAGTCCCACTGATAACGTAAGCCAACACAAACACCACTGGCCAGGAAGCATCATATATTGAAATCAATGTTGCCACCGCAAGCTGCACAAAAACGGTGCCGAGACAGAAGACCTGAAGGGAGCAGATAGACAGCCCGGAGTGTTGTGCGTGTACACAGAGACAGACACCGTCACAGATGGTGTCTTCATTTTCTAGGAAGAGGTGAAGCAGCGAAAAACATAGAGAAAGATTGTGAAAAAGAAAACCAAAACCTACGAGCTCTAATTTTGTAGTAGGCAGAAGTACCGCACTGAGCGGATCTGGTTTGTATAGCTGCAATATCTCTGGGTGCTTCTCCAAAATCTGTCGTCTCCTCTTGACATGAGGTTCCACGTCTTCGGAATAGGTGAAGTCGTCAGCAGGCTTACTCCTCCAGAGCATGCGGTCATGGGCGACGGCTGCAACATTTAGCTCCTTACTGCTTTCATCCTCTACCTTCACAGCCTTGGTGGCTTCCAGAGAGCTGGAAGACGACGCACTTGCAGTGACTCGGAGTCCGCCTTCAGACGAAGGTGAAGGACACATTTTTAATGATCTTCTCTTCTAGGTACAGTTAGGTTGTTGTAGTTAGGTTCCTCCGGTAAAATGCATTAGGAAGTTCAAGTTAGAGGTACTAGTTCGTCGTATCTTTCTTCATCAAAATTCAAATAGTTCTTTACTTCTACCACCATGTAAAACCATCAAAAGCGCACTTTCCTCCTATTAACGCTATTCAATATTCATCTTTCCACCTCATCCCTGAAAATTATAAAACTAAATATTCTACAAAAATTATTCATATGAAAAATGAACTAGTAACGTATATCTCACGCATTTAACCGATTGATGCTTCTGACTTTCTTTCCATGACCAGCATCTGAGTCCCAAGCTCCAGCAACATTGCACGAGATGACAGACCGCACTTTTACACCTGTTAGATTTGTGTCCAATACTCCCAGCAGTTTATTAGCAGAAAACGATAACCGATCGGAAAACGTAAGGAATCTGAGCCTGATATATGCGTTTTATTCTTCTGGATTCGCATGCCCCAGAGCTACTTATAGAATATTTTGAGAGAAATTGAGGGAATACTTTCCAACATTACGAGTCACACAGAAAGCCATCAAGGAGAGCCTGGCGAGAATACTCGAGGAATACATGGTGTGCGTTCTTTGGGAGTGCTATGCAAGAGGTGCACTGAGTGATGAGAAGTTTCAAAAAAGGCCAAAGCTCAAAGTATTTACATATCAAAATCAAGCGCAAAACTGACGGCAAAAACAGATCAAGACAACCGAAACAAAGTACATACTGAAGCAAAAAACTAGCCCACTTAGCTGGTACTTACTGACTTGCAAAAAGAGTTCGTTTTCTATGCTGTTCAACCTTCTGTACATCCGAAGTCGGCGCGTGGCCTTGTGTTGAGATGATAGATGACCCCCCTAGAATTCACGAGTTTACGTCTCTTCGTCACATTCCATTTGTTTACGTGCTTTAAATGTCTTAGTTCTTCCCCAGAATTTCATGGATTTATGATAGACACACTTCTCCACGCAGTGGCTGTCCATGCCGATGAGCTTCTGAGTCGCGACGTTGATGGCGCATGCGTGTACCTTGTGTAGAGGCGCCAACTCCTCACAGTTTGAGTAAGACCAGAGCTGGCCTTTTTTCCACCATCCACACATGCACGACACCGCGCCATTCTTCTCCAAAGCACTGAGGTGCCGAGCTGGTCCGCAAGCTACGGACTTCCACGATTCACCCTCCGCGGGACCCTTGTACAAAAGCGCAGGCCCATTATGCGTGACCCACACCTTCTTACACCATCCGATGTGCTTCGCACAGGTGGGACATCGGATTTTCATCTTGCGACTGAGCTCTGCTATATGCATCCCGGCTAGGTCAACGTCGTCACGGTGAAACGACAACACCGAAGCAGCCAGCTTTGCCCTGCCTTTGCCTTCTTTGAGATCTTTCGCGACAGCCTCGATTTCTTCAGGCGAGTACTCATCATCTTCAACGAGATCCTCCTCCTCCATCCTGCCAGGGCAATAATCCATCGGGTCCGTACTGTAGAACATATTTTCATGGGGTCTCTTCTCGGCAACCGGAGCATCCTGAAGTTTAGAAGGGTAAGATTTTCTGGGAAGCTCTCCAGTTTGATGTCAGAAAATAGGAGTCAAGTAGTCAAAAAGATAGAAAGTTGTAGAATGAAAATGGTACAGCTTTCTGCCGGGTCTTCGTCGGCGACTTGAGTCGCTCCTGTCCCGGGAGGGCAGTCGGGTTCTTCTGGGCTTCTGTCAAACCTTCGACAAGATTGTCGAATCTGTTGTTGCTGCGCGCAGCTGGCTTCTTCTCTTTCGGCGGATCCTCCTTCTTCTGCTTTTTTCTGTTCACCCGCTTCTTCTGCTCAGCGATATTCTGACGCGACTTCTTCCCAGCCTCTTTCAGAAGTGTGACTGCTTTTACAGCGGTGGTCGACAGTGTAATCACTTGCATTGTCTTCGGCTCATTGTCAACGACGACTTCTGTGGTTTCGAAAAATTGAGACTCGAGGAGGATGTCTTGCGCCCCCTCCATGCCCCAGCGGCAGACGTAGTACACCTCGATCCACTCCCGCACAGTTAGCCCGATCTGGTCGATGAAGCACTTGTATACCTCCAAGCCTATCACGTCGTCTGGAAAGTCATCTTCTGGATTAGGCACGATCTGGCCATCTTCTTCTTTTGCAACAGTGTCTGCCGGATCGTTCAGAGCTCCAACGGGGGCTTTCAAGTCCGCCCCATTTTCCTCATCACTATCCTCGATCACAACGACGCCCTCATCTTTGTTTTTCGCGGGTGGCTCCAGTTCCACACTTTTGCGACGCTTGCGAGCACCTCCTGTTGCAGAAACATCAGCAGAAGCGTCGGCGTTTGGCCGCGTGTTCGACGTAGGAGCGCCAGGCGTGGCCGCGAGGAGCGGCTCGTCGTCGCTGATGTCCTCCTGTGCGTCAACATCTGGCTCCGCCTCCGCTGCAGAGTTCACGCCGATATTCACAGTTGCCGTCGGTACCCAAGCCGCCTGCAGCCTCCTGGCTTCAGCCAGAGCTTTCTCACGCAGCTTGCGACCATACTCGACGACGCTGCCATCTTCCTCCGTCTCGAATACAGTGACGCTGAGCATATCGCCAGCCCATACCAGTCGAAAAGCTGGCCCAGCTAAACAGTTCAGAATTGCCGGGTGTTCATGTACAAGAAGAGCAACTAACTCAATCAGCATCGCCTTCTTGGCGCCACGATGTCCCTGCGCGAAGGTGTCGTCAAGGATGAGGCCCTCCCTCTCAGCTACATACAAGCAGGGGCGCTGGACCGTGTCTGGGAGGCCTATTGTGACGATGTTCGATGGACCAGGTACAAACCTCGCATTATCCAGCAGAAAGATCTCACCCATGTCCTCGCCCTGGATCGTGCAGATGGAGTCGCTCTTCAACATGAATGCCTTCATCCTGCTCTCATTCTCGGATACCGCATTTCGCATCGGAAAAGGAACTACCCAGTGCTCTCTCCCTTGAGGCACAACCATGCACTTCTCCCTTACATCTGCCGGGAAAGTGTCCGGGGCCTTCGCCCCATTCACGTCAGCACCTGAAAGAAGTGGAAAAGTAAATAATGAAGGTAGCCAGCTATCTTTTTCGTCCGACAGACAGAAGCTTATGCCCTTAAATGATTTGAGAGATTCAAGTCACGAAGCCACTGGGCAAGACGTCATAAACTCAAAAAGCGCTACGCCATGATCAAGAAACAAGGTGCTACAAAGCAAAAACTTAGCACCGTTTCTAGCTTGTGCGCCCGCGCTCCCTCTGTTCTCATCTACATCCATGAAGTTCTCCAGGTCGTCCCAGACAATGTCCATTCGAGTTTCCTCGAAGAAGGCTAATTCTACAGCCTGAACTATGTGCAGCTTGCAAACAGTCCCATACACCATGAAATATCGCGGGCCTCCTTTTGGTGACCTATTTGCAACGAGAACAGTTGGCCGGTTCCGCGCCATGTTGTGGTCCAGAATGCCCTGCACTTGGATCGTCAAATGATGCCCCCGCCTCCACTGTGCCCGCGCCACCTCACTTTCGTCAGTGATGAATCGCCCGTGCTCCATCGCGATGAACTCGCAGAAGATGATGTTGTTCATTTTGTCAAGAGCACACGTGAACTGCGCGAGTGATTCAAGCTGCTTCTCAGTCAAAAGGTGACTGTGCGGCTCCACTTGCAAACTGTTCTTGACTTCTTCCCGAGTTTCTTTCTCTGTAGCCGGTGGCTGGTTTGACAGGTACTGCCGCAAAGCCTCGATAGCAGAAAGGCCTTCTGGCAGGTCAGCAGACGTAGGATGCAACGCTAGAAACCGAAAAACGTCCCCAATACTCGCTAAACCGATAGCACGCTGCTCAAACGAGGTCTCTCCTTCCCATAGAAGTCGATGTAGATCTTCGATCGACTCACAGCCGAACTTCGACAAGAGCTCACGACCGTCCAACGCTGAGAAAGACTCCGCCGTTCCTATTTTTCTCGGTTTCTTGATACCTGACTCGTCAGGCTTCATCCACGGCAAGTAGGTCGGCGCCAGAGTCTCCGCCGCGTGCCAAGGAAAGAACTGTAAGCGTTTTCGTGGTATCTAGTAGGAGCCTCACTGAGGGAGTCAGAAGTGGTCACGAGTGGTCTGCCTCTCTTAGTGTAACAACGTGCGCCGTCCTGTCTATTAGAGGGCAGTCTTTTTGTGAGAAAATCTAGACGCAAACGGTGAGGCTATAACTGACAAAGATGCTAGAACGTTCCTCGATGTGTCTAGTAAAATAGTGAAGTACGTCACGCATGTAGCCCGGGTTGCTGGCATGCTTAGCTGCCCTGCTCATTGCCGCGAATTTCGCTTCGATATCGCGGTCGCCCTGCGGATTTGCTTCCTGCCACTCGTTCAGAAACTTCACTAGTTCATCTGTCTTGTTCTGCATGAAGTGCTTCACCATTGTGGAAACAACGTAGGTTTTGTGGATCTTCATGATGTGCGCTGTTACATCCCGAGCCTGTGGCGCGTTCGAATTCGACACGAGAGCAAGCTGCACACTGAGCATGATCTCGTACGCCCTGATAGACTTCAGCTCGAAGCTCTGGAAGCAAGTAAAGCCTTCACAACTACCCTGAGCTGCGAAGACGTCGCCTTCTTCAACTCCTTCCTGACCGAGTCGGCCTTCAAGCACGACGTCATGCGCATAAAGTGGCGGCGCCGTCCCATACTGCGCGGTCGCGCCGTCCCTCATTATATGGGACTCCTCCTTCGGGTACAGTATCCAATTTACACTCGGCCCCAGATCTTGCTCCTGTGCCATCCTTCGCAGGTCCTCAAGTCCAATCTCCATGCTATCGAGCTCCGCATACATTAAAGGCCGGAACCAAAGACTCATGCGCATGAAGTGATTCTTCGCTGCGATTGCTATCATCTGGACAGAAAAATTTATTAAGAGTTTGGCTCTCCATCAGAAAAATCAAGGAGGGACTATATCAATGCCACGCATCGAGGCCGCAGCATAAAGCATCAAAGTGTTTGCGAAGAAGTGCTCTGACCTAGAAAAAGACCTTCAATATCTTGCACAGCCAAAGGCTGGCGCACAGAAACGCTCCAGAGAACGCCATGGACTGCCAGATGTTTGGGCAAGCTATAAGTCTCAGAAAAAGTACCTGCGTCAATATCGTCCCCGTCTTCTCTGCTAGAATGTTCACACTGTGACGGAAATGCGATCGGGCGTGAAACTTCAGCTGCTCGGGATGCTCCTCGTTCCATATGATAGCAAACTCGTTCATTTGCGCCGGCCCCTCTGCAAAGAAGCATTTTCGAGACAACAAGTTCCGCCACGTCAGTGTGATGTTTAACATGTGGAACCACATATGTGGACGCGTGCATCGATGCAACACGCAGCAATTCAGCTTCTCCTCTGGATTCGTGAGGTACTTGTACATCACCACTAAAGTAGAAAGATCAAGCACAGGCTCCTTTGGCCGCTTGATGTCAGTAGTTCCGTTCTTCGCATTTTCCAGCTTCTTCTCCACCTTCAAGTCCTTGATCTTCTGGGCCCGCGACGTATCTGCCAGAAAAAACCCGTCTCCTCCTACTAGATCGTCGCTTTTATTGAACACGCCGAACCTGTTCTTCGCCGCTGTCTGCTCACGCAGCTCGTCCTTTTCTTTCTGCAATTCATCCCGAAAGTCGTCGGTACTCGTATGGAGCATGTTCGCAACTGAAGCAAAAGGGATTTGAGTGGCAATTTTTTGAGGTGACAAGGAAAAACGTCAGCCCAAATCATGAAAAGATCTCCACTCTTACAAATTTAGAGCGGCGACGCCTCAGTCAGAAGGACTGCGTCGCGCGTCAATCGATCACAGCAGCGATCATCTCTAGATAAGTGACTCAACAAAGAAGGTAAAAATACGCGCTGTCTCCATTTCGCTGGCCTGATCATCCTGGTCGAGGCGAAGGTACATCAGCTTCACCTGGTCCGCACTGAAGCTCACAGGAATTGCAGCACCATCCGCCACCGGCTTCCCCATATATTGCCGCAAGGGGATGTCAAAGTACTGCGGTCGAGTTTGCCGAAGGAGAGCAATTACGACGATCAAGAAAATTTCCCACTGTCCGACGATCAGCTCCAACGCGTACCCTTCCTTTGCGAATCGTTTCTGCTTACAGGCAGTTGTCATGTCTGCTATTAATCCGAAAGCCCTGTCCTTTATCTTCTTCTCCAATTGGTTCTCATCTACTTCGCCGAACTTGACTACTAGGTCCGCCATGCTCTCTGCGCATAGATCTAAAGCTGCTCCCTCTGGAAGATCGCAGAACCTGTTCAGAAAGTTCGCCATTTTGATGCTCTGGGTGCCTTCCGCTGTAGTTCTTATCTTCAGCATACGATTAAAATCAGGATGCAAGAAAGCCTTGACGATGTGCTTCACGTCGTTACTGCTGATGTGATGTGTGTCCGGATTGAACAAGACTGGCAGATGAGCTTCCAACATTGCCCAGAAGAAGAATCCACACTGCGATGGCCCTCGGTCCGACGAAATGTGAGCTGGAATATCGAAAACCAAGCGGCCGTCGAGAACTAACGCAGATACGCGGGCAAGAAATGCCGCCTGCATGCACGTCTCTTTAAACTCCTTCTTCTCTTTTTCGTTTCTTCTGAATCTGATGTAGGTCTTGCAGAAGTTGTCTATTTCCTTGTCCCCATAGCGCGGCGCCATCAGTGGTGGCATTGGCAGTGTCATGTAGCAACCACTGCCAAACCAGTCCGACCTGAGTCGACAAGCTTCGAACTGTCTGCCGCCTATTGAGACGCCGTCTCCCTTGAAGCCTATGGGCTTGGTCTTGTTCCGGAAGTCAGTGCTGTACTTCCGCACTACTTTGAAGGAAAGAAGCTGGAGTAGATGCCCCCACGTCAGTACTACACGAGCCTTGTAGGTTGTATCGTCACACTCGTCACGACTCGCCAAAGGTTGAATTCTGTCCGCAAAAGACATGCGAGGCCGCCCTGGTCCATTCACGTTCACATCTAAACCTCCACAGACAACTTGGTCATCAATGGCAGCGGCCGCGCGAACCCAGCCTGATTTGGATAAGGAGGAGTTCTTAGATCAAGCATCTAGGTCGAAGCGTAGCAATAAGTAGTTGAAGACTGGGCTTGCAGAATTTTTGAAGAAGTCGACTAAATGAGAAGCCCTATGATTATTTCTTAATGAAGCAGTAGGTCCACAAGCCACTCCCGCAAGCTTGCGCTTGGCTGATGAGCTGAAGCATCGAGGCAAGAGAAGCAAGCCAGTTCTCTCACTCCAAGCCTTTAGCGCGTCACCCTTTGTCCCTGGCCTGCCTGAGAGCTTTTTGTTACGAAGGAGCTGTACTTTCTGCATGATTAAACAAGAGGCGCAAGCTGCTTTCACGAAGTTCCAAGTTTTCATGTCTACACAATCACAAAGCAAGTTGATAAAAACAAAATTTCCACTTTCATAAATTTTGATCACCTTTCTGCAGTTCGAGGCCTGGATCCTCGATCAGCTTTCCATAAGAGCGTCGCAGAAGTCTTGCAGTCCTGTCAAGTAAGCCGGCGTACCCAAAGGTTAGAACATACATCAAGTACTCTCCTACCGACATCCGGCCAAGCGTCAAGTAACCTGCGGAGAGAAGAATATGAAGCAGTATGGCGCCGTATGTTGTCATATTTGGACGGAACTCGTCGAGATCTCTCGATATCTCACACATTCCAAGATTCTTAAGTCAGCCTGGGGAGTGTTCCCCTTGAAATATGAGGTCATACAGAGTCATACAAACTAATACATATTCATACATATCCATACATACTCATAAATATTGACTCAAAATAATACAGCTCAACTTGACTGATCAAATTGAGTTGTATTTTTCGCCATATGCTCTAAGAAGAATCCTACTTATATACAACGGAATATAAAGCGACAACTCTAACTAGTCAGGTAGACGAGTCAAGAAGTTCTGGAAGAATTTTACGGAATAGGCTGTGCAAAATCGAAAAGATGCGCTACAACCTGATCACAGAAATCCTGGCCATATAATCTAAATTTTCTAAATCTAAATTTGAAACAGATTTTCTAAAAAATCTAAACTCTAAATTTTTGACTTTATCCAAAACCAAACTTCATGAAGAGGAATATGACGAGTTCCGATATATGAAGCAGCGCACTTGTGTGGTAAGAAAAGTCAGTGGCTTACGAGCAGTGTGCGGACAAGCAAGAAATCGACGAAGAAGCATCACATGCAACTTGAGCTACGAAGCCTATCAAAAGGAGGACCTGAAGAAGAATCAAGAAGCCTGGAGTTAAGGGTTAGGCTCAAGCAGGCAAGACCCCGAAGTCCAGAGTTTGGCTATTCTGTCTCTGCTCGTGCTTATCTATCAAGACGAGATACCGACTCACAGCGCAGCTCTAGACTAGGCAAGATTACAGCAAAGGATACTACCTTCGAACGCCTCCATCTGTGCAGAATGGACTAGGTCAGGGATCTCGTTGCAGCTTACTTGCGCTCCAGTATGCACAGTTCGCGACAGAGAGCCCACTACGCCAAGATCGATAAACGGCTCGAGAAGAATCCCGGAGTATGCCGCAGCCATTTCTAGAGAATGGTCAGTGTCTGCCCTTCGCTTCTTGCTTTCGCGGACGATCCTGTTCTGCATCGCTCGCAGCAGTGCTGGCAAAGTGATCTGATCAGGACCCCTCCACGCTTCTCCCCCTTGTTGTTTATTTACGAAGCTACTCTCGCGAGTCTTTCCTTGTCCAGCTAATGTGCCACGCATATAGTAGTACTTGTGAGGAAGTTGAAGATGTTGACTGTAGCACTCTAGAACAGTTGCCGCGGACTCCGCCCTGAGCTTCCCATAGTTGAAGTTCAGTTGGTTGTCGAAGTATTCAGGCATCGAGAAAGAGGCTGATCGAAGAAGAGCTACAGATTTGAGCGGCGCGCCTAGCATGTAGATGTTGACGGAAGCAGTCGTGACAAGATTTCCAGAATCTGGATCCGTTAGTATTTCAAGACCTATCGAGGTCGGGTTTGTAGACCACAGTCGAGCGTATTCGACAGGCGCGCTCCCTCCGTCTGGAGGGGCGGCAGCGTCGACCATTTTCGTCTCCAGAAAAGAAGCAAGGTAATGCTCAGCCAAGAAAGAAAGACTCTACCGTATGAGAAGCGCGAGGGCCTGTCTACGAAGGCTTTGGAGTCAGTGAGGCACAAAAGCGATTAGCTCGAGGCTAGCGAAGAGCGAAAGTTGTAGGCTCAAAATACGAAGCGCCGATGCTCACTGCGAGACGAAGCGCAAGCCGATAGAGAGAGCGCGAGATCCACTAGCGAAGAAGAACGATCACAGAAAGCGCGACCAAGTTGTTGAACAAGACACTCTCGCGGCAGCACTCGTCTCATTTGCATACTCCTGCCCCAAGTGGTTCAAATTTCCAATAACATGTAGGGTACATTTTGTCTGTGTGTGGCTGTGTTTGACTGTGTGGTGCATTAAGTGTTCATTTAAAAAAAGCAACTGTCCCCGGATGGTAGTGGTCATCAGATAAGTGAAAGGCTTGACTCAGTACTCCAAGGAAAAAAAACGAAACGTCATGTGTTGTCGCAAGTGGAACAGAACGCTACATGCTCGAAAAAAACTTACAGCATTCTTCTCCCCAATGATACCAAAAAAGACTAGGCATGTCAACATCCTGAACCACAAGCAACAACCTTCTTGGTGCGTAGATTACACCACGACACCACCCATCTCCCCACCAGAGAGTCTCCACATGTGGAAAAGACATTACAAGTCTTTCGGGTCAATTCCACCTTCCTGACCATGAGCTTGCAGCACCTCCTCACCGTTCTGGCCCATCTGTCGCTCATACTGCTCCTGCACCATCTGCTGGTGCTCCGCAGCTGCAGTTTCAGCTTCGTCCTCCTCATCCGCAACCACGAATCCATCCAGTCGGAACGAGCCTGGAGGCGTGCGAGCCACCTCATCGCGGTGTTGAAGCGCATCCAAGTCCTGGGTGGTGGTGTTCTTGGAGGTGCCCTTGGCGCGCTTCGCTGCTGGAGGAGTGTCCTGCGAATTCAGATCCTCTTCCTTCAGCAGGTGCCGGAACTTGCCTCGAGACGGAGGACCGTGCGACGCGACGACACTGGGGTCCGACAGGTTGGAAGCATGGCTCTTCGCGGTGTTGTCAGGCTGTCTTGCGCGAAGGCCTTGCTGTCCTTGACGTGCCATGTTTCGAAGCATGACCTGCCGAGCAGCTTGCGCCGCCTGTTGTTGGTTGACCTGCGGACCACCGTTCCCCGCCTGCAGCATCTGGTGGTAGACGCCGTTCTGCTGTCCTACACGCACATCTACCCCCAGCGGCGGTCGCTGAGGAGTGAAAACCGGCTGGCAGACCCGACTGAACGAAGCGTTACTGCTCGCAGCGGGAGTATCTTGATCTCCTGGGTGGCCGCCTAGAGCCGAGCGCTGATAGGATGACGCATGTCCGCTAAAAGGCGCTCCCACGAGCATCTCGTTGCCTGGTCGTGCTAGATCCGGCGGAACGTACTGACCCTGGACGTTTCGCATTACGTTATCGTAATCCGGAATGCGAGAACGAGCACGCTGGTAGGCCGCGCGATGACCTGCGTCCTCAATGAAAGGCCCACTCCCACCCTGCTGCATTCCCACGGCGGACGAAGACGATGACATTGATGGCCAGCTACTACCTGATAGAAATTCTGATAAGGGTGGATTTAGATTAAAGACGAAAAAGAGCTTCACGTGTGAGCAGGTATTTAAATAATCTAAAAAGTATAGTACTGCTGCTGGATGATGTTCCAACTCGAGAACCCGCCGTCTGTTGACCCCGTGCAAAAGCATCCATTGAAACAGCAGGCCGCGTCTGGCGTACATATGGTTGAGGATGCATGATCTCCTGAGCTTGTTGCGCGATCGCTTCGCGACTCTGCTGCAATCTATTGGAAGAGCTCGACGAAGAGGTTCCCCGTCGGTTAGCGAAGTTGGGGTCCGCGCCTGTAGTTAGAAAAGCGAAGCGATAGAATAGCCGAAGGCGAACAAGTAGTGCATTCTGGTAGGATCTGAGATGCTTTCTCCATCATTGAAGATATCTATACCATTCCGAAGCAACCCACGAGAAGCTTCATCAGCACCAGGAACGACGGCAGATGGACCAGCGGGCGCCGCAACAGGTGTTGACGCAGCAGAGCGCAAGCTCTTGATTTCCTCCTCCAGATGCAGTCTGACCTTGTTGAACTCCTCTTGCTGCTTGATCGCGTTCTCAGTCATCTTCTTCAACTCCCTCCTCATCTCCTGCTGAACGGCTTCAAACTCATCAGCTGCACTGGGTGAAGAAGCAGAAGAGCTTGCGGCGGACGAACCCGAAGGACGACATGGACGCCCAGAAGTATTTGGCGTCGCCGTCGCGTGACGATGGCCAGAAGACGCGCTGCTCTTCGACTGATTCCGCGACCCGGTGACCGCAGCGCTGCTTCTTCGAGCACCTTGTTTATGAGAAGAGAAAAGATTCAAACTTTTTAGAATCACGCTCAACACGAAGATGCCACTCCTTTAAATTTCTAAAAAGGACGTGAATCAATAATCAAGTCTGAGTCATCAATAAAAGTCTAAGTTAGGCACCAGCACCGGAAGATGAAGATGATGCCGCGGGCACTGGGCCGCCGCCTGACTGGTCGTCACCATCATTCTCGTTGTTGAAACGAAGGAGCCCCGCCATTCGTTCACCCTGACCTTCACCACGGTGGCCTCCTGGACTGCCCTGGGCATCAAATCCATTTGCGGCCCGATAGTCGTCGGGAAACGGATACGCCAGTATGTACTCCGTCCACAACGTATCCAGCTCCTCTGGCGCCATCGCAGGAATCTCGTCCAAATGCGTCATATCGAAGAGAAGCCGCCAGCAGCTGATGTCCGACAAGTTCTCAATGAGCAGCAGAAATTCAGCGCACTGTGGAAGGATAGGTTTTGTCTCATGAAAAAACGAGTATGAAGCTTCTCAGTGAAGTGCCCGTCTTTTGTATTGCTGCCACTTTTCTAAAAAGTCTAAAGATGCCCAAGTAAGTTCTTTCACCTCGTTTTCTGATAAAGCAAAGATAGATGACGTTACGAAATACCTCCGAAAGCGACATCTCGTGCGACGTCTCCACGTTGCCAGTCATCTTGTTGACAACGTTAAGTCCGTCGCGAGTATTCTTCGGAAAAGCGCGGAGCATAGCACGGCTCTGCCACTTGCAAAAAATGTAGATGCATATCGCCTTACGGCCGTTGCTCGTCGCCATCGCTAACAGCTCCCCAGTCTGTGCGATGTGTTTAAGATGTTATGACTTCGTTGCTTTTGCTAAATGGCAGCGAAGTATTGAATTTACGAAATTCAGGCTTCGCTTAATATAGCAAGTTCTTTCATGATGATACTGCCCTGAATTTTGTGCGTAAGTTGCGTATTATTGAACCGCAAGAAGCCTCATGAATTAGCGAAGAGTTCTCATGTTTATCGCCTAATGTCTGCCACTGTGACGAAGGAGAAAGCAAATCGATGTAGTACCGTGCGAACTTTTCCCGTAGCAACTAGGAAAAGCTTATCGATGTATCCGGTCTTACATTGATGCAAGGCTTTGGCAACTGGACCACCGCCAGGACGCTGAAGAGATGCAGCGTGGATAGACGACATACCCTCGATCTCCCGTTCCGTATATCGGCTTCCACGAGCATTGACGCCGCCGGCGGCACCACCGCCAAAGGAAACCACTGTGCCGCTCATCCTGATGGATCTCTCGCTTTGCTCATGAAAATCTATACTGAGTCTCAAGCTCATGGTCTATAGATCTTCGGTCATGCTTATAGAAGCAATGAGCTCCAAATAATTACGTTTGTCAAGAGTTGTAAAGGAGCGCCGTTTTTTAGTTTCATAGGGGTCCAAGTCATTTCGCCACTTTGTAGCATTTTCCTTTTCATTTTTTTAGGGGTGAACGTCAGCACTTTTCCTCGTTAAAGTTTCAACTTCTCTCACTCTCGTCTGTGCATGGTCGCTCGTCTGATTGCCATCACTTGCCTGTCATTCCACTAGAAACACCGTAGCGCTCAAAACCAGATCAAGACGTCCTTCCTCCGAAGAGGCCTCGCGCATTTGTCTCATGCTATAGTTAGCGGAAGTCAGTCACTTGAGTCAGCCTGGAGAGCGTGCGTCACCTCATCTACACCACATCCAAGAATTGAATTCGCGGAAAACTCCTCTTCAGGAGAGCTCGCACACCTTCAAAGCATGCGCAGGCCCTAGTGCACCGTCCACCAATCCACCCAGAAAGCATAAAGCCGGAGCAACGCTATTCGGAATAATTCAAAGAACATCGGGCGTGGCCTCGCCACGTGTGCGTAGTCTAGAGTGCGCACCCCTCTTCCCAACTCACAAGCGCGCCACACGGTTAAACTAGCGAGAGAAATAGCGAAACAACAAGAGAAACTTGAAACAGACAAGCACCAAGAGGCTAAAACACGCGAAGCACACCCAAGCGACACACCGCCGAGGAACTTCGAGGCACGCAGCCCCATGAGAGACACTAACAAAGGCGGCAGCGTTGCACCGTGAGACAAAACCCCGGGAATACAGACGAAGAAACACGACCCCAACAGATGAAGCCCCTGCCCCTTCCCCCGCAGATGCCCACGCCGATTCTGCAGCCGAAACACCCCCGGGGGAGGCATAAGCGCCACAGAAGCACCACGAGGGAACCACTTCGGCCGGCCCGACGAGGCTCCCCCCCGCCTGGTGCGAGAAAAAAAACGAACCCCGTCGGCCAGCCGACGGGGCTCCCGCTTCTCATGCGAGGAAAACAGAGAACCCGCCCCGCCGACCAATCTAGTCCCCCACTCTTCGCCGCCGACATCACTTCGCAGCGCAGGAGTCCCCCGGCTTTGTTCGCTTGGCCAAAGTGGTCCAAACTCTCACCCGAAGGAAAACACCCACCCCGATAATCTACAAGCCGGCCGCCTGCGCTCTCCATGCCGAGAGCCAGTGACCTCGGTGGGGAAACAAATCCGGCGCCCCTCTTGCATGCGCCTGGGGCCGACACCCCTCAGAAAAGACGGAACCCGCCCAGCCAGGCGGCGAAGGTCCTGCCAGACCTTGGACAAGAATGAAAAACCGAGCCCCCAAAGCAGCTAAACCCTCCACCCTTTTCACGTGGAAAAGCAGGACCCCTCCCACTACCCGAAGAGGCTCCCCCCATTCCGTGCATGGAAAAACGGGAACGCTGTGGCTCATTACACAAGCCCCCGAGCCCCGTCGCATGACGAGCAAAACCCCCAGAGCCAGCCAACGCAGTCCGGCACTTCCCTCGCATAAAAACCGAGGCCCCCCCAAGCAAGTCAACTAAGTCGCAGCCGTGCTTTTGTCCAAACTAAATTATTCCCGCTGGCCCTTGGCTGCGCTTATTACTTGCCCGCAAGGAACATGCAGAGCCCAATGGCCCAACCAAAAAGGCACCCCCTTCCCCCAGTGAAAAAGAAAAATCCAATTCGCCACGCGCTGGCGCTCCTTTGCTTCCCCGAGTGAAAACACAGCACCCCACTACCCGGCAAGTCACGCTCCCCCGTGTCCGCAGAAACAAAACACGGAACTGCTTCACCCGCCGGGCAGGTTCCTACTTTCATGAGATAAAAGGAGGAGAACCCAGTCGGCCGGCGCACGCAGCTCGCCACCGTCATCGCAAGAAAAGCACGAGCCCCCCCTGGTTGCTTTGCGAGTGCCTTCGCGCTGCTTGTCACGGCGAAACTGTTTCGCCAAGAAGCGCGAGGCATCTCACTTGGCGGCCAATCTAGTTCACTACTTTGCCACGCTGCCGGTGTCGTTTTTGGCTTTCTCACCGAAAACTACAAACAAAGCCAGCGCAGTCACCAGACCCCGGGCGGCCGCGGTGGTCGCCCAGTTTTTCAGGCAAAAAAAACGGCGGGCCATTTTCCCCGAAGAAAACCCAGCAACACTCTCCCGCCGTTGAACGGCGGCGAGGGAAAGGCGTGCCTTATTTTCGTACGCATCCAAGTGGTTCGGCTTTCTTCGGAATAAAAAAACGAAACCACCTGCGCGCCATCGTCGGGGCCCAAGCTGACAAAGTGGCCCCCGATTGTTCAGCCCATCAAACTCGCCGGGCTTTTTTCTCGGTGGATACACGTGGATCCAATGCCGCACTTCTATAAGAAGCCAGGCCAGCCAGTGAGCTACTACGCGCAGGCGCAAAAGTTTTGCCGACGGCTGCTCTACTCCCGTCACAATTTCACAGGCCGAACACCATAATAAAAAACAACACAAGAAACCAAAAAGAAAACTATACTGGGACACAGATGAACAAGGCGCGCAACGTTTTTTCCACTTCCTGCCCGTAGTTACTCCCAACTGCATACACATACCGCACAACCCTCCCAAGGAAAAAACAAAGATGCTAGACAAGCCTACTTTCCCACAAGAAACGCAGCAGTAGTTTACTAGTTTAGTTTTAGCCTCCTGACACTTTTGAAAATAAACTAGTAATGTTTCCTACATAAAAGGTATATTTTTATAAAATCAAAAAATACTAGGTCGCATAATTTTCAGGGATGCGGTGAAAGATGTATTTGCTACAGCCTTAATCCTAGCTTGCCTCGTCGGCTCGTCGTAGTTGCATGTAGGAATTAATATGACATAAAAATCAAGAACTACGAGGTGTATGTCGCAAAGGATTGGTTGGTCATGAAGTCTTCAGTGTTGAGATAGCATGTTTCTTCAGGAATAACTTACTAGTATGTGATCTCGATGTGATTTCCAAACTCATGCAATCATGAATGACAGCGCGACCGAGCACGAAGTGAGAGACTGTAGCAGGTCTTACCAAGAATATGCTCATGCTCTCAATACAACTGTCCTGTTTTTACGACGTCGATGCAGTCACGATCCTTATCTCGAGGAATTCAACAGCGCAGCATAAACCAACTCACACTCGTTCGACCTTCCATCAAAAGGACAAGCCCCTGTCCACAACTTTTCTACTCGTCATTGAACACTTCTTGACATGGTCCGCTGTGTCGCTCTGTTCTTGATATAATCCTCGAGAAGTTCTCATCTCAAGAAGCTCTAGTGCTAGCTACGACATGCTGCAAAATGCTTTTTTACTCCCGCTTCTCTTGGAGTTTTCCAGAATGAGTATCGATTTCCCCCCATATCTCTTAATAGAAAGCAATAGCAAACAACAGAAAGCCATTCATGGCAGTGACAATTTATTAAGGGACTGGTAGATTTTGGCAATAAACATACTTACTCCAAATCCTTGACATACAAGTGTGTTACTGAAAACTTATATCATTTACTGAGTCTTGATCTTTTACGTAATGTAAACATACTTCAAAATTAACACTCTTTATTTCCACTATGGTCGTTCTTTCTCTCTTTCTCCTCATCTAGAAGACTAGAAGACTCTTTTCCATTGCGGTTTTGGGCAAAAGCCCAGTTCCGTGGCAAGAGCGCCGCGAATTGCCTGGGAAGCGGGAGGCGCCCAAACCAGGGAGAAAAGGATGCGCAGCCCCCAAGTGAAGAGAAGACCGAGTCAGTGCCGATATTGTTCCTCTCCTTCTCCTCATCTAGAAGACTCTTTCCCATTGCTGTTCTTCCTCTTCTTCTTCGTCCCATTCCTCTTCCGATTCACTATCCTCAGCCGCATACTTCGCGAGGATCTCCCTATCGACCAAAAGCAACCGATATTGCAACGCAAGGTGGACTGTGAGTCCGAAAACTACGAGGACGCAGATTAGAGCAGGAGCAGGCAAGGCATGATCATGGTCGCCTAAACGATCATGCCAAACTGTCTCAAGAACATCAAATTCAATTTTTCTTCATCATGTTTTCAGATTTGTCGCTACTCACCAGATTCAACACAATAGCAATACTTACTCCAATCGTCCATAAACTAGCAATCACCATCGCTTCCATGGCAATTTCTCCCGCTGTTCCAGTCTCCTCGTAATCTGGCAACTCCGCTCTTGTTCCGTTAATAGCTTCTTCGCGAGCCGCGAGATAATTGTCGTCTGAAGGAGAATTTTGATGTGGGAGATTTTTTTTTGATGTGGGAGAATTTTGATGTGGTATGTAGTTACATACCGGTTTCATGTTGATAGTTGTGAATACAAGCAGGTCCTCCTCGAGATGTTGTAGTTTTCATATTTATTCATTGTACATCGATCAGATCAAAATGTTCAAGCACTCCTAGGAATCCGACAGCTTCTAAGTGGTTGTTCTACAGTAGTGACCCAAGAAGGTAAGAACCAGCCGTGTCAACGGAATACTCAATCATCACCTCCACACTTCGTCGTTCGTACATACAAGAGCAAAAAGATGCAATTATATTACCAACATAACAGCAAGTCTTCGCATGTTCGTTCAAACATGGGAGTCCATCCTTAGTGCAGGTCAACTTGTCGTCCCAGGTTGTCACAGCGGCGTCTGCTAAGTGTGTGTGGCATTTCTCCGCGTTGAAAAACTCTACACAGAGAGTGATTGCGCGACAACACTGAGTCTTATGTTCGTCTCTACAGGGTAGACGGCCTCCCCTGGTCACTTCTGGCGCCAAAGAGCAAGCTTCTTCTTGATTATTTGCAACAGGGACGTAGCCGATGTGGTTGTTGTAGAGAGCAATGCAGTGTGCTCCGGAAAAGATGCTCGAACATTCAGTTTCTGGTACACAGCATTCGTCGTAGCTGTTCCCTGGAGTGTCTGGCACCTTGGCTTTTGTAAAGCGTCCGGTTGTGGCGATATCGCTTTTCTGGCACTTTTCGTTCCTTGCCGTCGTGTGCGCATCTGTAATCGTGTGGCCACCTTGATCCTTGAAGAATTCACTACCGCAAGTCTGGATGCAAATGCGATAAAGCGTCGGTCCGCCGATTCCTGGCATTTTCATCATTGCTCCAATCTCCAAATTTGCAATCTCCTCACCCCCTGCGGTAGTCTGGACCGGATTTCGGTATTGGAACTTGTCCTCGGTGGGTAAGGCGGTGCGAGTTAGAGCTAGTACTACGTACTAGTCGCGTGCACTTCTAGCTTGTTGTACAAGGACTAGTGCGAGTTTTCATGAACAACTCCTAGTCCTTGTACAAGCTCGTGCACGGGAGCAATAGGCGTAACCTTCCCGCAGCATCCGCAAACTTGCTTTCCTCCTCTAGCTGCAATGAGCACCCCGCAAGCGTCACGTCCTTCAACAGTTTCGCTTGCTCAACAGTCCGCATAGGTACGCCACTTGCACTTGTGATGCTGAGACTTAGAGCCGTTCCTTCTGCACCGTCACTCACGGTGACATCTGCTCCCGGTGCTGCTGCGCTGGAAGGGTTTAGAGCAGCAAAGAGTGCGCCTTTCACTCCTGAGATACTGATACAGTCAAAGCGATCTGCTGGAAGTACGAAGTTTATCGGGCACCCTGGAAACCCACCTGCTCGTATACTTGGCAGCAAAGGCACCTGCGCTACTCGCAACACAGGTAGGTTTGAAGATGAAGTGGCGGTGGATTCACTAGTAGAAGAAGATGTTGCCTGTTGAGCCTCCAAGGAGCTTGAAGATATTGTAGAACTAGAAGAGGATGCTGATCCTCCTGCTCCTGTTGTTGTAGCCGCTATGACTTTCGTATTCCTTTGATAGTTCCAAAGTTCAAAGCTGCCTGGTGCCGTCACAGTAGCATGTATGTCTGTCGACGCAACGGCTTGCTCGCCAATAGCCTGCACTCGAAAGCCGCAATTTGTGTCTGGTCGCGTAGGTGTAGACTCGTACAGGTCCCGTCCGCGCATATCGTGCGGCGGTTCGGACATAGGAAGGAAAGCGAAGAAGGTCACCTGTTTATTCGTCGACGCTGGCTGTGAATCGGAGCCTTGGTGTAACTCGCACTTCGAAATGTAATCAGATACTCCGGAAGCAGAAGGGGTTGTCCTGTGGGTGAACAGGGGTTGTCCTGTGGGTGAACAGGGGTTGTCCTGTGAACAGGGGAGAAGAAGTACGAGCAATGGAAGAAATCCTGCACTCTGGGATTCCAAGACAACAAGAAACTAACAAACAATCTATGCATTGAGATCGAATGTCAAAAAGAAAATCTGCAGCACGTGAAAATCAGTTGTACCACCCCACATGATATGTGCAAGCTTGCCATGTTCTTCTCTTTCCTGAGACATGGTGCCCTTCTTCTTTCCACCTTTGCACGCATTTCGCGGCACAGTCGCTCCTATCCTCATAATGCCAATAAAATCGAGACCACGCTTTCTCATCGAGTATGAAAGAGGGTTATGTGGGCGAATAAGCACCTTAGAGTCTAATGAGATAAAGGCAATGTATTTTTGGACATGGGCACCAAGGCATTTCAACTACAAGTACAATAATAAAAGCCTACAACTTTTTGTTTTTGCTACTTAGCTTCTGCAGTACGTCTTCCTACAACAAGCATGGCCATAAAGAGAGTCTCTGATGAAGTCGGCGAAATCGTGTGATCAGCAAAGCTTGGTTTCCGATTTCTATGCCAATGCAATCCACATCCTACCTCTCTAAAACCATAGTCGCCCCAAGCATGCAATACTTCGACACTCTTCACTTCGTAGCCTGTTCCACTTGGAGGTGGAGGAGTGGTTGGTGCCCCTGTCGATGCAGCTGCTGGAGTGGGAGTCGTTCCACCTGGTGACGAGTTGTTGCTGGACGAGTTTGAGGAATCGTTACTTGAGATTGAACCGTCGGTCGAAGTGGCACTCGCGATGTGCGAAACTTCAACCAAGGAACTTCTCATCTTGGAGGAACTTCTCTCCTCTTTTTTACTTTTGTCCGCAGTCGCTGCTTCTCGCTCGCCCGCATCTCGAACTTGATCCTCTCCTTGCTTTTCAGCACCTCCTCCTTCGAGGTCCAAAAAAGACACCGCCGCAGCGACTTCTAAACTGGATGACGCAGATGACGCTGATTTCAAGCCACCCTTATTTTCCTCCAAGGCCTCTAGCGCCGCTGCCCCAATAGCTGTCGTATTAATGGCTACTCGACTTCCGGGAAAGAAATCTTCATGCGTAAAACACAAATGATGCTCTGTGACCGCGTTGTCATCTTTTTTTCTCAACTTGACTTTAACTAATTGCGCAAACCGGACTAGATTTAGACTAGAGGAGGTAGGCTCTTGGTGTTCATCGTCTCTCCCGTTCATTATGGCTCTCCCCCTTAGGACTAGGAGAGCCATAGCACCAAACGGTAACAAAAGCACCTTAACCTACCCTTAAGAGATCGTCCTGAGTTCTTGAAGCTCCGCTTGATATTCCATCTTCTACTAGTATCGTGGCATCCGAAACACTTGTGGAAGTAACCGTATTTCGCACTGTTCGTCTACATGCAGAAGCATCCATCTCGTCATGTACGACTATCCTCAAACCGCCACCTTTTCTTAGAAGGAGAGTGAAGATGCAAAGGAGCAGGAGTTTTTCACTGTCCTCTAAAATATGTTCTAGCTGGTGAGGAGGACAAGGATATCTGCTTGTGGGCACGAGGGTCCTCCCTAGTTGTAGGATACGATGAATCAAGTAATATTGGCTTCTTGTCGCAGCCTGCACGACCAGCTGGTCTACTTGACGTATCTTCAACAACAAGTATGTAATTGATAGCACATACTGACCAGTGACGACAAGTGAAAAACTACCTCCAGACTTCAAGCCTTAATCTTTCCTTCACCGTTCCTCCCGCGATCGGATCCGCAGTATCGCCATTCAGCACTGCAGCATTACCTCCAGGACCGTGGCTAGGGTCTATTCTGATGTCTTTCATATGTGGATCCGAAGCTGCCAAATCAAACGGCACATTGTATGCGGTTGTGTTTGATTCTGGTACGAGTGAAACTGCCGATGAACTACGTCGCACGGAACAAACAGCCGTATTTTGTGTTCTCGTTTCGTCTGGGATGAAGGCAGGCATGCTATTGGTCCCTACTTTTTGAGGCCGATAGAAGACAGCAAGTCTACTCGTTGCGCTTGCGATGACACTGCATCCAATTGGGTAGAAGGTCTGCAGCCTCTGCTGATCTTCTATACTTGCCTGCCCTCCTGGAGCGCAATAGTATGAGAGTGCCAGGGTGAAGACGAGCTTCTTCGACTTTGTTGCTCTATCTACTTCCTTCTAAGCAGGCAATTCAGTTCCGAAGTTTTCTATTTGTGGAAGAACAAGAAGAAAGGAAAAGTGGAAAGCTAAACTTATTGATACTCGCTTCGCGATTTTGAAAAAAAACTGTATCCTCATCCACATAGACATAACTGTATGGTCCCATTACCCGCAGCGGGACCCGGCTCAGGAATGCATGTATCGTCCTCGACGACGGCTGTCAAAGGAGCACCACTCGTGTCACACAATCTGTCTACTCCATTGCGACAGAGATGAACCACTGCCGCAAGACATTCGCGAGGTGACTCAATCACTTTCAATGTCTCAGCCGGAACGACTGAGGGATCCGCTCCACTACCGTTTTAATTAGGGAGAGAGCGGTCCACGACCACGCGTTACGCGATACAGTGAGCAGTTACACCTGCTCTCTAATTCACGTTCACGACTTGGACTTACTTTCTTCACCATAACTGCAACCCCCGTTATCCCCGAATCCACTGGCAAACTTCCATGGCAATTCACTTGCATCCCATTGGGATGCGACGCCGCGTCAGAAGCAACTCCCGCCCACACACTTGGTGCGGCATGGCGCGTGCTCCCTGTTGCCAACGCCTGTTGTTCAACAGCATGAAATGCCGCAGAATAACAAAAGGGCGCTTCAGAAGTCATGCACAAGTCCCAGGATGCTTTCTTTTGCCAGGCTGCTCTTGAAAATGACGATGAAGAACTGGTGCTATGGGCACTTCTAGGAGAAAACTTCTCGGAAAAGGATGACGGGTCTCCGAGAGGTGATACCACGATACTTTCTTGGTCGTCTTTGTGTAGATCACGATCTCTGTTTGCTTTCCAAACATCTCCTTGCCGTGCACTCCTTGATTGCGCCAGGCTCCTGCTAGATACACCAGGCTGTTGTACAACTTTGATGTCACCTCCTCGTTCAGCGGCATCGTCGTTTCCTAATTTTCCTCTCTTATACTCCACGGCACCTCCTCCATCCTCCCCGGCAGTGTGTAACTCTCGAACTGCAGGCGCTTCTGCTCCACTATCATCATCCAAAATTTCTCCCTGTTCATCGAGGCCTAGTCTGTCCCTATCAGCTACAACTACATGCTGTACTACTGGCACTTTGGTCGCAGTATTTTTCCCACGAGTAGCTGCATCTCGCCGTCGCCCAGCAGTGTTGTAGGACACACCCGCGAGTAGTTCCCATGAAGATAGCAGGCATGCCGCGCTCCTGCGCAGGAAAATAGCCTTGGCTCGAGACGACACCCTGCGCCTTCGGCGTCCCGTTGCACAGTCGTGGTTTTCTAACTTCAGCATATTCTTGGGCGTGGAAAAGCATGATCAGCGATACGGAATGGCGACGCCATCTTAGACTTAGCTCGTTGGAGACAACAAAGCCCCTGGCTCACGTGCCTTCTTCTCTGACGCGCCTGACGCGCAGGTATCTGATGACGATGATGTTACTCGACTCGGATTGGATCTACGGCTCGGATTACGCGCAGGTATCTATGCACTAGAATCTACAATCCAACTCGGGCGGACTCACTGCTCATCTTTTTTTCCTGTTTCGCTCTTGATTTTTCGAACAGGCATATAATCAAATTGGGATTGATACTCGTGACATTCAGCAGTGGCCTTTCTGCTTTCGCTGTGTTGTTGGAAAAAGGCTGGTGCTCGGCACGGTCTCACTATCTTCTGCGTTGATGATGAGTAATCCTGCAAATTTTATCATCATGTCAATGGTTTTCAGACTTGCCCACCCTACTATGCTCAAATGACAATGAGTAAGTGGATGTTGTAATGGATTGTCTTGATCTCGCGAGGAGGTCGATACAGCCCTCTGTGCGCGCTATTTACGGTCCCAACAAGAAGCCTCGCAAGTCCTGACATCGCGCCTGTGGTCTAGGGCCAGGGTCTACGGTGTATCGGCATCAAAAGACCATTCATCGTGCATCCCCTCAGGTATCATCGCCATGGGCACGTTCAGGCTCCTCCTCGTCCTCCTCATAAACATCTGTGAAGTCAGAATGGTAAAAATTGACGAGGAGCGCATATTCTTAGAAATGAAAATCTTCGTGTGATCCATGTGCTACCTTGCTCTCTCATAATTATGACAGAAGTTCTTTGAACTTAGTTCAAACGAAATACCATCCATTTCAGCTGCTTCTCCTTCTGCATGTTCGTCCTTCATCATCGGAGGGGCTCCAGCACGTAATTGGTACAGGAAGACGAACTCCACTAGTATGATCAGTGACGACCACACGATGACTAGAAGCAACACCGTATTGATCGGGTTCGCTGCTTTTTCCTTTCTAGTTGTGGCTGCTGCATCTTCACTGGAGGATTAGCGTTGCGGATTGGAAACTGAAAAGAGAAATCAAGGAAGCTTGCTTGTAGAGTTTACCAGGTCGCTAAGTCTCTAGATTGTCGTAGCCTTCTTGAAAACAAGATCAACATCAAGAATGAGAAAATCAAAAAATCTTAGGCCTTAATCAGAAGCTGATGCGCTAACGTCAGAAGTCACGTTCATGTGTGCCTGCTTCGTCACAAGTTTGGAACTCTCCACCTCACCCTTGTCAAGATGATGGCTACTGTAAGCATTACTGTTCTCTTGGTGAAGTTTTACTGCCTGTTCTTTTGGTAGCGGGGACTGCGAGTGATGTTCCTGCTCTACTTTTGCCTTGGTCGCTGGGGGCGTCAATATGATTTTGTCAACATTCATCTCGTCGTGTGCTAGTGGTCTTTTTAGTTGTGACCTTCTGGGGGAAGGAGGAGAAGCTGTAGTTTGTGTTTGATCACTTTCGATTTCGACCTTTGTCGGGGACGGCTTGCGCTCGGCGCTCGCTTTACTTTTAGAGGATGCACTTCGCCTTGTAGCACGACTAGTCCCACCAGCAACCCCAACGCCTGCTTCTGCGCTGCTGCTACTGGAAACTTCCCCATACGCGTCAAGTGCTTCTTTATCAGACATTTCGCTCCGAGTAGGTGCGTCTTCCTCCTCACCGTCAACCGGTACCTCAGACTCACTCGTTTCAACGAGGTCAAGCTGCTCATTTTCGTCTTCTTCCTCTTCTTGTGAATTTTGGTCGTCTAGTACTTGTTCATCTACTTTCGCGTCTTTCATTTTCCTGTTTGCGCTCCCCTCCGAGCGCAGGTAGACACCAGAGTTTGATGTCGCACTTGTTTCTGCCACTGCTGCTAGCGTCGCAAGACAACACCATGCAATTCGAATGGGCCTCAAAGTTGTTGCGGCTTGATGACCTTTGATCCGTCGATCAGAAGTCATCATCGCTTGATTATATCCAGCGGCCGCTTGTCCCGTCATCGGAAACGACATGAGGATGCTTTTTCTTGGAAATAATTTAGTCAACACAAATAACGGCACGTGCGTATCTTCTTCTTCCTGTTCCTACTAAGCGATATTAATATCGTTGTTTTGCTCCTCTTTTCTTGCACCTATCGTGTCATTCTCGGCCTCGAACGAGAGTGAAGGTAAGTAGACAGTCGACTTTGTATGCTTTGCCTCATTTTTGTCTTTTTGTTTATATTTCCTCTCTCTTGACAGTGCACCCACTGACGATAGAAGAAGCTTGCTTCTAGCAGAGCCATGGAATTGTAATCACGACCAAAATGGGAATGGGAAAGTTATGTTATGCGCGAGCAAGAGCATGTTCATGTTTTATGAGGGACTGGGGATGGGATTGAAAAGGGGAATCAATTGGGGTGCAGCGAGCCACTTGTCATTGTCTACTTTGTTTGTCAAGGTACCAAAAAGTACGGAATGGTTGGATGGAAATGGTTCATGCATCGGTTGTGCTGTGTAGGTACGTATGCATGCATAGGCATCATGGGTATATGACAACATACTGGAACTTGTACAAAAAAATTCTCAACACGGTGTTACAACATACTACAACTTCATTATCATCTATTTCAGCACAACTAGGTGCTGTGGGTCTACTCAACACTGTTTATGTTATTGCCCCCGACGTGTCTTCTTTATCCTCTGGCCAGGCTTCTTTAGATGAGGATCCCATCCTTCCACCATTTGCCGTGAATTCTGCCGCCTCCCTTGCTCCGGCACTTGCCGCTGTCGCGTTCCAGCCTAAAGTCGGAAGTCTCTTCTGTTCCTGCTCGAAGAACTGCTCTAAAAATTCCTTTCGTAAGAGTTTTGCAGTGTCGGTGGCTGCAATTAGAGACAAGAAAGCGGAACCTGATTACACAAGTGAAAGAAGTAGAAGAAGCCTTCCACCCCTCTCAAAACACCGCCATAATTTCTTGACTGCCCTTCTTGTCTTTTTTTCCTCCTTTAACGGATGCTCAAACGGAAATGGCTTGTCGTCCAGGTCCTCGTGTAGGTCCCACTGAAACTCGCTAGGAACGTCCAAAATCTCCATTTGCGCCCAACCGCCGACTGTTTTGTGGAAGGAATTGGTTCTTCCGTTGGTATTAGGTGGGATAGGGAGGCGAAAATAGACCTTGTTAACATGTATAAGAGACACAAGAACAAAGTTATACTGAACAAAGGGTGCAGCTGGAAAGTTTCCTTCTAAAAAGTAAGTAAGCAGTTGTACGTGCATCATTGTTCCTCTTTCTCGCCAATCGATCAGCTTCTTCTTCCGCCAACCGTTCTTCTTTCATCCTCTTTCGGTCTGCTTGATTTAGCCTCTCTTCAGTGGTCCATGGAATCATCTCAAACGATTTGGGATCTTTGAGTCCCTTGTTCGCCACTGGACTACAGACAGGAGAAGCACTACGTGCACGTGGTGACTTCACCTTCCTTTTCTCCTCCTGCAATACGACCTTACGCGTGCAATCGATACATCGGATGCCAACGTCCTTGGGAACGACGGCGTAGAGGGCCTGTGTGGAATGCAAGCGGGAGGTAGAGTAGGTGAGAAGAATCAAGAACGGTTACTTCGACCTACTCAACGAGGTCTTCAACGTCCTTCGTCTACATCCATCAAGGGAGAACCCAAAAAGAGGGACTGCGCGTAGCAAGTCTCGACATGGTACCTTGAGCCAAAATGGCTACGGTACACATTAAAGAAAGCGCGCGCTTTTGTCTTACTTCTACTTTTGGGCCCGCAATAGAACTTGCACTGCTTTCCCAGTTTGGATTTGCATGCATGCTACAGATTTGATTTAACTTTTTTGCTCAAGCACAAGTGTTATTAAGGAAGAATATGATCATAATATGTTGAAGATGGAGTACCGGTTTCCCATGTTGTTCGTCCACTCCATCGTTCGCAAGCTTCTCCAGATTCACATTCCGCTGTTGCAGATAGAAGCATTCCTCGTACACCTCTTTGACGTCTCTAGCCCACGCTGCTCGCATTCTCGACTCTAATTCGCGCAATCGACCTCGCCATTTCTCTCGCTCGTCTACCAGTCTGATGTTTCGATGCGCCAAGAACTCTGCATGAGCCATGTTGCGTGTTTCTCGCAATTGCACTGTCATCTCCGTCACTTCGTCTTGTAAGCGGGAATAGGCTTCCATATAGAGAGTCCACATTGCTGGATTTAAGTCGTCTCGGAAAGCTTCTAATTCCTTCACATAGAGATGCAGGAAACGGTTCTCTTGTTCCGCTTCTTGTTTTAGGCGTAAGTCGCGGATTCTCCCATTCAGCGATAGGACTTCCTTGGCCCAGTGGCGGAAACAGACTTTTTCGAGGTCTGGGCGGCTTCCAGGATTGATCAACACGCGAAGACGATAGAGAGCCTTTTCACCGAGCATGCGCATGCGCTTGTGGCGGTGGTTGACGACGGATTTCTCGGCTTGAGTTAGAAACAGGAGAAGATCATTCATGATTGTGTTGTTGTAAGTACCTTGTTACTTAGGGTTAGCTTAAATTTGTACTAGTGATTCCCTTCATAACTGCAATTGCAACCTGACATCTGCCACAGTTTTCATCCAGTGCTCACGCTCCTGCACGAGTCGCTTCTCCGAGTCGTCTAAAGCGTCTACGATCTTAGTAATGCGCACGTCCGTCTCCCAAGCACTTAAAATCTGTTGTCGCTGAATCTTCTTGACATCTTTGATGAAATAGGCTTCGAAGTTCTCGAGGGTAACTGAAAGAAGAGGTGGCGGTGGTGGTCGAATTGGATAATCTGATCTTGAGGTTAACGAGTAACAGTTGTCGTTGTGCTAACTGGATGAAAACTTGTTTGTAAGTAGAAAAAACTAGTTCAACGAAGTAGAAGATTGATTGTCAAATCAGATGGGCAGAAGTACGATCCAAATGTTTTCGCAAGTCATCGTGTTTTCCCTTCCATTTGACGACAGCCTTTTGCAGCAGTCTTCCTTTCATCTGCAGTTTACCCACTGCCTGTTCCAATGTGACGCATTTAGCCTTGTACTCCTCATGCTCTTTGAACTTGTTGATATGTTAGAGGGGTAGCTAGAGAATACGTATTTCTTGGTTGTGGTTCTTTTAAAAGCAGGCAGCAGCCCTTAAAAGTGCTGATTTTTTACCTGTATACATAGGTAATATCAGTCTGAAACTCAAATGATAATTCTGTCCTCTTTCCTTTCCATAATAGTAGTAATTCGTCAACCGGAACTGCTCCTCCATGATCTGCTGAAAGTACTTCTTTTCCTCAATTAGCTCTTTTATCCGTTCCTCTAAGCTCTTCACGTAGTTTTCGCGATCCAATTTTTCTTGGATCATACCTGGTGGTGTATAATTTCTTATATTAATAAGAAGATCATGTTGGTGTTATCATGCGCTAGTGCTTATAATGTGAAGAACAAGTTGTAGCACGAGGACTCACTAGCATCTATGGGGATATAAAGCGAAAGAATGAAAGATGGGAGAGAACAAGAAGAACCCTAAAACAGATTATAACTAGAGACTATATTACGTTTATGTTTATCGCTGAGCCTGTCCCCGAGTCCTTCCATATCGCCCATCAGGACTTGGTGGAAATCCTCGAATTGGTTCACCATATCCGAAAATCCAGTATGCACCTCCTGCCACAAAGCATTGCGCCGCTGCTCCTGGACTCGGATAAATTCATCATGGTTGTCCACATCCAACTTCTTCGGCATTTTCTTGCCTCCATCCCTCTCTTTGACGTTTTCGAGCCTTGCGGCTTTTTCTTTTTCGACAGTGACAAGATTGGCAGACGTTTCGTCTTCGAAAACGCGTCTGATTTCGTCGGGGTGGAAGGCGCCTTTTGGGATTAGAAGGAGTGGGTTGAACAAAAGGTACACTGCGACGGCCCCTTGAAGTAGGTCCTCATGAATCCTTCAACATCATGAGCATGCATTTGGTTGTAGTACTTTGCTGAAGATCATTCTGCCCAGCTACACTAGCAGTAACGCTACATTGTCTCTGCAAAATCATAACTCAATAATCAGATCCGCTGGTCTGTAAATTTCCATGCCACCCGCAACGTGGTTTTCGCGAAACATGGCTCGTATGTCAGGCCGTTCCCGCCTTCGGCCTTCCGCGATCCCTGTTCTGGCAGGAGAAGTCTGTGGGCCTCCGACATTTTTGCTGGGACGTGTGGAAGGTGCAGTCGTGGGACGCCGCAGCCGCTCACTGGGCGGCGACCCTGGAAGGGAATCATCAGGAGGGATTACACGAGGCATCTTCTTGTTCGTGCAGGAGCAGTTGCTGGAGGTTCTTCTACGTATCACAGGGTTGTAAGGTCTAGGTCGTCCAAGCCCACGGATGAATGATTGGCAGGTGACTGCGCTTCGAAAGATCTATCGACAACTGGATAAGAAGAACAAGAGTGTTCGTCGGCAACCGAATGTCGTCTAAAATGAAGGCGGTGGTTTAGATTGATGTTTTCTCAGGTTCCCCACATCTGAGTCTGGCGAATTCACTACACCTGCGCGGGTGTGCCCGCCAACATCGTTAATATGTCAAGCAAGTGGTGATCGCTTGCGCCCCCGCCGGCCGCCGCCACACCGTCAACATCTTCATCAATTGAAATTTCTGGAGGACGCGGGCGCAGGAAGCACCAGCAAAGAGAAAGGACGCCAGGCCTTCAGCCATGGTGGACTTGTTCCGCTGAAGATCATAATGAGCATAGAAGATGTGCATGGATGATTGAAAAAAATCCGGGGCGCCGAAAAGAGGAACTATGCGCGAGAGAAATGAAGCATTTTTTCAATGTTTGTGATTTGTGAATTACATAATATTCCGCCGGAGAAAACGTGATGAGTGAGCATCAAATGACTTCTATGACCGAACATTCCTTCGACTCACGTCTTTCTCGAACTTCGCCCTCCGAAACCGACAACAATCGCCGACACCGAAGCTGCGAGTCAAACCCGATCTTCCGAAACGGACTACAAATTCGTATGTTACACGTTCTTAGATCCCCTAAAACAGACTAATAGTTCGTCCTTAGATCTAGTAACACCACTCCAAAATAGCACTACAGATTTCGAGAGGTCCGCTGAAGTTCTTGGCCAACTCCGACTGCATCAATATCACTGGACTCTTGTTCTCACCGACATCTTCGAAGATGGGAAGGGATCAGCGTGCTTTTTCTTTGATCAAGCAGAGGACGCCAATCCGCTGAAGCTGTCGCGAGCAAGCGGCATCGATGCAGGTGGTAGCTGCTTTTGTATCGTGTTGCTCTTGTGATTTTGTCGATAATGTGACGCGTGAAAAAAAAATACTCAAATTTGGACGGTTCTATTTTCTGAGTGGGTAATATTTATAGAATCGCGAAGATGTCATGATGTTGAGTTTGGGTATGAAGTGGCAATCTATCAGATTCTTAGACTAATGAGTTGCGTTTTGCTTAAGTAGGTAAGTGCTCACCTACACTTTTATTTAAGTTTGAGATTGGTGACGCTAACGATCGCTAGTACTTACAGCTACGGAGATTGACCCGCCTTGAATTCAATCAATCGCGTTTGAGATTTATAGTTTGAGATTGGTAAGTAAGAGATGAGTAGTCGTGGTTTTATTCAACTAAGTACTCGAGACTTGTCTTCTATTTCAGTTTGAGATTGGTAGACAATAGCGTAGACATCCCATGATTAGGCTTCATATCTACTTATATCAGTTCTTCACAACGCCCCTCAGCTTTACTAGACCTACTACTACTACACTTGAACTTTTTGAGGTTGACGTTGAGATGGGGAGCATCTATTTTCACACTGGGCCGCTGTAGGCACTTCAAGATTGTCGAGGCGCTCCAATTTGCGTGAGCTTATCCCTCATCCAGTTAGCGCTGAGGTAGCTCAGCGTATCCGCTGCGTGCTTCTGGTCCAATATCCCGTGCATACTAAGAGTAGTCGATGTCATCTTTCGCAAATCGAGACCAAAATTTGCACTAGTGAATCCATCAGCCTCAGCGATGTTCGTTTCTTGACCGATGTCCAGGCGTTCCTTTGCGAAGGCAACAGGTGTGTACTGCAGCAACTCGGACAAGAGCGTGACTACATCGTCTTCGTTGTCCGTTGATTGAGCACTTAAAGCGCACAGAAACAGGCAGTTCAAACCGGACTTTGTGCGGTCCTGGTGGAGCGCATTGAAAATCTGGCGGTCCAGTGTACTCTCACGGAGAGCGGCATAGAAATCCGCAAGGCCGCGAAGGCAAATCTCCTGAAAGAGAGTGCGTCCAGTCGTTTTGTCCCTTTCTAGGAACTGCTCTAAGCGCAGCAACCTAGTTTCGAGATAGAGCTTCAACTTCGTCTTGAAAACCTCTAGCCTAGAATCTACGTCCTTTCGGGTTGTGAACGGCTTTTGCACCTGCATCCGAAGAGTTCGCAGAAAGTGTTCCACTTTCATTTGCTGCAGCTTGGTCATCGGTGCGAGCGGAGGAATCTGCGTCCGCGGGTCCGGATGTTTCTCGGTAAAGCCAGGGATTGAGTCCGGGTTGAACCTCTGGCTCTGCAGCTTTCCATCTACTTCATCTAGTGCATTGGTTTGTACTGTCGGTCTCTGTTGATGTAATTGGCCAGGAAACTGTAATGGGATCTCTTGTTGCTGTTCTACCGCGTTCGGATGGCCCATCAAAGTGCTTTGCGCGACCTGCCCTTCCTGCTGGTGCTGACCACCAGGAATCATACTAGACAAAGAAGTGATCATGCTATTCTTTGTCCTCTGCAGTGCCGCAACGCCTGATGCTGCCAGTGTCCCAGCAACACCCAAAAAACCACCAGGACCTGAAGAAGGTGGATTGTTTGTGGCCACTCCTGCTGGTCCAACACCAGACGAAGCAGGTACTTCTTCTTGTGGGTGGAAATTATTGCTGCTAAGCTTGTACTCCATTTGTTGTTGTACTTGCCCGAATCCGCTACCGAAGGCTGGCGCCTGCGAGTATGGTGGTGCAGGGCCTGGTTGAGGTTGCATTGAATTCGTCCCGAAGCCACAATTCGAAGGATGAAGGCCATTAAATCCGCTTGAAGGCTGCGCCACCTGGAGCTGGACCTGCTGCTGCTGAGGTAGAGCTAACTGGGGGCTTCCAAAGCCAGTTCCGGTACTAGTCGCATTCGGATTCCCTCCCAAACCTTGAGAGGGCGCCACGCCGCCAAATGCAAACTGCGAAGTTGTTGCTGGGCCACCAGCCGACGGCACACCAGTGAAACCGCACGTATTTCCGAAGCCCCCTGTTCCTGTATTTCCGAAGCCACCGGTATTACCGAAACCCGCCCGAGCAGCCTGAGGGACATTCATGCCTTGCGAAGGTGCTATCCCCCCGAAACCGAAGCCGCTACTAAAACCGCCCTGCTGTGTGGACGGACCGGCAAACCCTGCCTGCTGCTGCTGCTGCTGCTGAGGCACTGCGTTGAAACCGGTCTGTGAGAAAGCTCCTGCACCGAAGCCACCGTGCGATGGCGCTGTTGCGCCAAACCCACCCTGCGACACTGGCGCTGCACCAAAGCTGCCCGGCGATGACGCCGGTCCCCCATATCCACCCTGCGCTTGCGCGCCAAAGCCGCCCTGACACGGCGCTCCAAATCCGCCTTGCGATGCCGCTACCCCACCGAAGCCGCCTTGTGATGCTGCTACGCCGCCAAAGCCCCCTTGCGATGCTGCTACGCCGCCAAAGCCCCCTTGCGATGCCGCCACACCACCAAGGCCCCCTTGCGATGCCGCTACCCCACCAAAGCCCGTTCCTGGTGCCTGCACTGTACCAAAGCCCTGATGCATGCTGGTTGTGGTCGTCGTAGTTGTTGTGGTCGTCGTCGCAAACGCACCAAACATATTCGGCATAGTTCCCATTCCAGGTACTGATGACTGTGGAGGAGGAGATGAAGCAAAATCAGCCTCGCCGAAACCGGTATGAGGATTCTGCTGTTGTTGCTGTGCATCCTTAGCTGCGTTAAAAGAAGTGAAACTGTCCTTGTTTGATGAAGATGCAGTATCTTGTACTAACAGCGCCGTACCAATTTTCCCGACATCCTTATCGTCGACGCCGACAAATTTGTTAGCTCGTACTCCCCCCGCCTGTTGTAATCTTCGTATCGCAGACGAAGCAGACTCACTAGAACTAGAAGTAGAGTTCGGCAACGCTATCACAAACGCCACCACACCTAACTGTTTTGACAGAGTCTCGTACTTTGGAAAGCCGTGGTAGATTCGCACACCCTCTGAAATCTGATGGGTACCAGGCAAACAGCGTTCCAGACCCATTTTTTTCAGCATGGAACAAAAATCGTGAAAAAGATGTCGCTCGACAATTTCGACATCAACTTTTTCCGTCTTACTTTCCAGGCGTATAAACTGGCCAACCCTGACGTTCTTCAGTTGAGAGCTGTTGACACGGCCCTCCACGGTCTTCTCACCGGACTTAATCTTGTCCAGATAGTTTTGCTGGATTTTCAGTGTTGTAGTTATTCTGTCACTATCGACCAACCATGAAGCAGGAGGTGGAGCAGAGAACCCAGTAGTTGGTGGACCAGGAGCAGGAACAGAAGGTAAAGCGCCACTAGTAGATGTACCAACACAGGGACCTGCAACTGCTGCACCGAATGCCGTCACTGGACGACCTAGATATTGTCCTTGATCCGATGATGCTGAACCACCTTGATCCGATGATACTGGATGTTGTCGTGCTTGAGGCCGCGGAGGGGCTTGCTGCCGCAGCGAGGGAACACCGGCACTACTTAATGGTTGCCCTTCATGCGACACCGACGCAGCTTGTTGATCAGAGCCCACAACAGCACCACCTTGTTGCGCAGAAGCTCCTACAACACTGCCGCTGAAAAGTAGAGGGTCCATATCCAGCGAGGACAGTGGCAGGTTTGGCGAGAGTCCCGTAGTTGAAGAGTTTTTTTTAGCCAATCTACTTCGCATTTCTTCTATTGATTCGTTCACTTTCTGCTTCTTCGCTGGTGGCTGAAGGCCTAAATCTTCGAGGGTTTGCGGTTTTCGTTCTGGTGGGTTAGCCCTAGCGAGTAGTGCATCTAACTTTTTCTTATCGTCGATCGTGGATCGCGCAGGAACGTATGGATGTTGTTTTGCAGGGTGCGCTGAGGACGAAGAGGAGGGAAGGTCTAGAATGTGCTTAGAAGAGGAGGAACTACTAGCAGAGGCAGTTGTAGTGTTGTTGTTCACTGTAGCCGCGGCCGTGGTAACTGGGAGAGCAGCAGAAGGCGACACTGCTCCTGCTGTTACTACTGATGCATCCACCGCAGCCGCATTCGTTTTGGAAGCTTGAAACGCTGCGCTACTTCTTGTAGATGGTGAAGACCACGCGGCTCCTTCTGCGGCCTCCTCTTGTATACGATTTGGAAGAGGATCGGCCTCGTTCTCCGACACTTCTAGACAGGCCAAAGGCTGCAAGATCGCGTCCTTGCCGAACTCCTGTTCTATCTCAACATCATCTTCTTCTGTGAAAAAACGCATCAGATCTAGCTCCGATGGCATTCCCCCTCCTGCAGAAGCGTCGCCGATGTTGTACTTTTGACGGAGACATGCGTCTTGCGCTGCAGAGTACTCCTCCATTTCGCCTAGGTAGTCACAATTGCCGCGTGGTGGTGCACGCCAGGAAAGCCCGTCTTTCACAACAGGCTTCACGTTAAGCCAAGTTCGCGGTAACTTCTTGACTGGAATCATTTGTCGTGCTGAAAGAGCGACATTGCCAACTGCACAAGTTGTTGTGTTCGCGGGGCCATCATCAATTGTCATTAGGTGATCATCATTCTTGCTCTCTTGTGGGAGCTGCAGCACAGCGCGGTCTTTCACTTCTTCGTCGGCTCTATGAGTATTGGCTTCACGGTTATCATGCCTCAAGTTGGAAGAAGGCGAGGTCGCTACCTTCCCTTCCCATCCCAAAGCTCCTTTTTTCTGTTTCTTCTCACTCTTCTTCTTCGTCTTCTTCTCGCTTTTCTCTTTCTTCTGCTTTCGTTCTCGAGGTTCGTCGTCAGGTTCTGCCATCGGCATGAATACTGGGTCGACCTCTCCTCGTTCAAGATCGTCCGCAGAAGGCAAGATACCCGCTTCTCGCGCCTCTTTCATCCACTCTGCTTCATCTCCATTGTTTTGCTCATTGTTGTCTTTCTCAGTCTTTGCTGACTTTACTGAATCAGAGGAGTCAGAATCTGAGTCTGAGGATGAAGATTCATCTGTCGGAGCCTCTGAATCCGATGTCCAATCAGAATCGTTGTTGTCCTTCATCGCAGGTCCACCTTCATGATCTACTTTCTTAGATGTGTTTCTCTTTGTTGTGGTTGAGTCCTCTACCTGTGCAGCGGGTACTTCTGACGCTGGTCCTCCACCTATAGCTGCCGCAGCAGTTCCGCCTCCGGCAACAGCTCCTACCGCTGCTGTACTACTACAAGTTGATGAAGATGATGGCGCATTTCCAACTCCCATAGTTCTAGTTGTAGTTGGACCGTTCTTACATGGAAAAAGACGCTCCAACACTTCAGCTGGCACCTCTTCACCAGCATCGAGGAGTCGATTGAGCTCATCCTCATCCTGACGCTCCTGCGCAGATGCTGATATCGCAAGGTTCAGCACACTTTCTTGCTCACCTCGCCCTCCACCTCCTCCTGGCGTGATGTGACGATTAATACTGGTAGAACTACTACTCGTACCTGTTTCACCGGTTGCTTTTAGAAGTAAGTCTCCTGGAATATCATGGCCGAAGTCAAGTAAGCGTTCAATTTCCTTTTGCGCTTCCTCTTGTTCCCGAGTCCCAGGTCTAAGATTCTGCTCTCCTGCTCCCAGTCCTCCACCTACGTCTTGATTGTTTGCCATCGCCGAAGTATCCATCCGCAACGGTGCACTAAAGTCTGCGGTTAGCCATCGATCATTTGAGGCGTATTTGCCTCCTAAAGCCGCGCCTAATGGTCGTCCACCTGGTTCAGCGACTTGATGTCCTGCTGGTGCAGATGATGAAGATGAAGTGGCACTTGCAGGTGCAGCAGCTGCAGCGCTAGTGTTACTCATACCTGTATTTCGATTTGGTGCAGCTGGAAGATCTTCTATTGGAATTTCATCTTTCTTCCTCTCGACATTGGCAGAAGATGCCGCAGTAGTGTCCATCGGAGGCATCAGAAGACTTTGCTCACCCCACAGACTATCTGGCGGCGCGTCATCGATGACTAAGAACTCGTCCTCTCCTTCTGAGAAGTCAAAATCAGCTGTGCTATTTGCCTCCTCTATGGCTTGCCGACTCAAGCGCTCTAATTCAAATGCAACGACTCCGTGTGTTCTGCTGTCCTCCTTGAAGTTCGGGAAAGTGTGGTAAATGTCGACGGCGTCTCTGAGGGTGGCGACGTTCGGCAGACACTTCGAGATTTGCTTAGCGATCAACATGGCCCCGAAGTCGTTAAACTCTTCTCTCTTCTTGACTTTAACGTCGTAAAACTGTCCTTCACAGACGAAGCGAATGAAACAGCCAGCTTTCACGTCTTTATAAGCAGCTTTGTTGATGCGTCCTTCGACGGTTTTGGCACCTGCTTGGATGTAGTTCAGCCACCGTCGTTCGATGTGCAGTTGCGCTGTGATTTTCTCGTCCTTCAACAAGAGTCTCGGTCCAGGACCAGGAGAAGGAGCAACTGAACCTGGTCCAGGTCCACGTCCAGCGAAATTCTTACTAGAACTCCTATCAACTACACCAGTTCTTGTAGGTCCTAGAAGCCCTTTGCTCGTCACTGTGCCAGTAGTCCCAGTTGCGCTCTGTCGTGGTCCACTGAGAAGTCCACTGTTCGCACCCGTCGTAGAAGTAGCTGCATGGCTGCTTGACGACGATGTTCCTGGAGGTGCTGGTCGTGCGTTCAGAATGCTATTGTTGTTGATGTTTTTCTTCCTTGGTGGAAACTGTATGGAGCTTGCTAGAAGTAATTTCTCACCCTTTGCATCCTTCAAATCCGTGAGGACTACAGGTTCAGATGCTTTCTCTTTGTTCTCTGCCTCTTGTTCTTTTCGCTGATTTAGTAAAGCCGACAGTGCGTCACCAGCGGTGATGTTCTGTTGCTTTAATAACGAATCTGCATCCTGAGCAGCTGCCGCAGCCCCGGAAGATGATGATGCGGAGCCTCCACGTGCTGCGCCTGCGACTGCTACTGTTGCAGATGATGAAGATGATGAGTTTTGATTTTGTTGCCCGACCCTTGCTCCTCCACCAGCAGCAGCGCGAAGGTTTTGTCTTAGTAATTCGGCTCCCTGCCTTTGCCGCTTTTCGTTTTCTTCGGCCAAAATGTCGTCCATATTGACACTCGCGTCACTATCGTAGTCACTGCCTGTACCCTGTTCATTCTTAGTCTTCTTGTTCTTGCCATTTTTCCCCTTGTTGTTAGCTCCTTCATCATCGGTGTCCAGACTCAGCACTTGTCTTTGCTCCTCGATTTCTTCTTCGTGCCGCACTAAGTCCTGTAACAAGTGGAGCTCCACTGTCATGCCTTTGGCGCGACCCATCTGGAATAGCCTCTTGAGAATGCCCCTCTGTAGCATGTTCTCCATCTGTCTGCGGACAGAAGCCAAGCCCTCAGGCCCATTCAACCACGGCCGCCCGTCGTTTACTAGCTCCTTGTGGGCGTCGAGCCAGCTGTTCCACTCCACGTCGCACTCATATTGGGCCTCGAGAACTTCGAAGAAGTCTTGAAACGCCCTTAAAACGTTAACAGTCGTCGGAAGTTTGATCTCGACAGCATTGCTGTGACTGCGTCCTCTAGCACTTCTTTGTGGATCTTCGAGGTCCATTACTTCTATTTGACTACTTCCTAGAAGCTTCTTTCCACCGCCAGCACCTCCAATTGGTCCAGAAGCGGCAGCACTACTCGAGCCGACGCGTAAGGGTGTGGCGACACGATGATCACCAGCCATTTGGCTAGCACCTGGAGAAGTGGCATCTAGATCTACTTGCATGCTACTCATTTGGTCGGCGTCTACTTCTTCAACCTCCATCAAACTGCTTCCACGCCTTCTCTTCGACTGTCCTACAGCAGTGGCTGCCGCTGTCGCATCACTTCCCATCGCTTTCAACATGTAGCACAGAGTACTGACCGCCTTCGACTCGATTTGGACGCCCACAATTGAAGTTACATCCTCGTCGTCCTGTAACGATGAGACGGATGCACGCACTAGCTTCATCTTCGACATCGAAGCACGGCCTGTCAAGCTACGACTATTTGAAGCTGACCCGCAGAAGATCTCCATGAGGGGATCTGAACTGCTTGCCGGACCACTACTACTAGCAGAGCTGCTGTTTCCATCCTTATCTTTTCCAGCCAAAATTCCACTTATCATGTTCCAAACCTCCAAAAACGCACCATTTAGAATGTGAACGCGCCGCTGTCGCATGCCCTCCTGGCAGCTGCCAACGTTGTTGCATCGGTGTCCGCGCTGCAAGTGCGAGCATGTTGTCAAAGAGGCGTCGTGCTGTTTGTGCCACAACCGTTTGAGTTCCTCAAAGCGAAGTATCTTTTCCCCGTTTTGGGTAATTGCGGTTGTATGTAAATAATTCTGCTGTTGAGCAGCAGCAGGAGCACTGGCGGCCCGCGCCTCTACTCCTACGGCAGACGCAGACGAAGATGATGAAGCCCCTGCACCGGCAACATTGTTTGCATCTGGCGCAGCACTGCTGTTATTGTTCGCACTTGCTGCAGCTGCACTAAACGATGCGCTGTTGATGATGTATCGCTGAACATCGTCCCCAGGAAAGGCGATTTGGTAGAACCCTGCGCCACTGTTTAGCACTTTCTCCAATGTGATACGACTATGCATGGTCCATGTGCGCTGAACTCCTCGATGCGGCAACCACAGCTCATAAGCACAACGCCTAAAGTCGAACTTCGCGAGTACTATTTCCTTCACATTTCTCGTATTCACAGGTTGAAAATAGTAAAACCCTTCATGTCGCAAGAACCGGAGACGTCGTTTCAAAGCATTAAATCGCTGCTCCCTCGTAAACTGCCGGATCGCCTGCTGTCTAACCGTCATACCATTGTATCCGCGCGCGGGAGCCCTTGCGTACGGCCCGATCTCGTATTTCTGCTGAAATTCCGCCACCTCTTTCTCTACCCGCGCTCGCCGTGGCAGAATTTCCTCCAAGAACTTTCTCCAAACAACGTCCCACAAAATCCCGCGATCTAACTTGAGAGTGGTCAAAACTGTCTTAGCCCAGTGGTAGTTTTTGTCGGCAAACAGCGACTCCTCTTCGTCGACATAGGCGCGCTCGTACTTGTTTGCGTTGATCTGCATAATCTTTCCCGGGTTGTACTGATCCGCCTCTTTATCGATGCGAATCAAGTCGTCGTAGATTGCTTCGAAAATTTTGAAAACGCGGTCTTGCATCTCGAAATTCAGCATCAGCAATCGGTTGAGAAATCGATTGACGCTATTGGACTCCTCTAGCTCCGCTTGATGCAGGTTGGCGATAGATTTCGAGTCTGCGTTGGCTTTGTTGAAGAGGTCTAGCAGAGACAACGCTTGATGCGTCTCTGTGTGCCATTCATTGTTGTACCAGTCAAACTCGTCGTAGATGCGTTCCCGTCGTTCCTCTGACGGCGCTGTTCGCAAATCGTCTAAAAGGCATCCCAGTGCGCGTTTCCCGTAGGCATTGTTGATGTCGAAGCTGTCCAAGCACTCATCCACGCCGCCCATCGTGCTGTGCCGGTCTCCCTTCGTCACCGCGCCCATCAACTTCATGCGCCTCGAGATACTACTGACAAAGCGGATTTCGCCTTGGATGGGCGTGATGACAATCTGAAACCTCGGCTGGTAGTATTGGTTACTTCTATGAATGCGGCCAAATTGCTGGATCGCTTTGTCGGCGCCCCAAGGCAGTTCGATGGTGATCATCCTCCTTCGTCGAAACTCGAAATCAGCGCCGGCGTCTCTCGGTGGTCGCCTCTCACAATGCAACGAAATGCCAGTCGAGCCCGCCTCGGTGATCACTGCGATGCGCTTTTTCCCTGATTGAAACAAAAACTGCTCTGCGATGTTCAAAGCGGCAGAACCGGTTGGCAAACGACGCGAGCCACCTCCAAGACCAGCGTCTCCAACTCCAGCGCCATCTATAGAAATCCCAGCCTGCTCTAAGGTGATGTCAGCTGAAAGGTCATTCAAAAGACCTTGTTCTTCTCGCTTAGCCTTCTTCTTGTCCACAGCACGCAAACCACGAGCTCCGCCTCCACCAGCTCCACCTGCTGCTTTGTTCCTGGTACCTGCCCGCATTCTCTGTGCATACTCGTCGGCCGAGACGCTGACACCAGAAAAGAAAGGGTTAGCGGAAGATGATGATGAGGACGCACCACCGCCACCATTTGGTGGGGCCGCCAGTTGTTGTGCAGCTGCAGCACCCGAAGATGACGATGATGAAGACGACGCTCCTCCAACAGAAGGGCCAACCGCTGGCACACCCAGCTCCTGCTTCACATTCGGGACGTCGACTGCTCTGCCCGTTAGTGGGTCCGCAGCCGTTCGCAGCTCGTAGCGAATTTGGCCAGTTTTCACGTCCCGGGTCATTCGTTTCGTCCGTCCACTTATCTCCGCTACTTTGGCCGGCCCGCCACACTTCTCGATTAAATGATCTAGGGCATTTGCTGGCAACAAGTGCGCAAAGTCGTCTAGTTTCTTCTTCAAGCGCTCCTTCCGCGTCTTCGCCTCATAGTGAAACGGCGGCACAAGAAAAAAAGTATCCAGCGCGTAGTCTAAGGCTAGTCTGGGACCAGACAGCAACTCCGCAACGTCCGGACTATTGTCATCTGCGCATCCTGCTCTGTTGTGGTTGTTCCTAGAACTACTAGAAGAAGGAACGTTAGCATTCAGCAACTCGATCTCAGATTTCTTCACGCCATCTTCGTCACCGCCATCACCTCCGTTCAGGTAGTCCTGAATTCTACTTTCGCCGGTCGTCCACAGCGATACCACGACTTGCTCATTCGCAGCCATTGCTTCGTCGATCAAGTCGACAGTTTTGCTAACCTTGAAACAAACCAGCAAGTGCTTGTAAAATCGTTGCTGAAAGGACCAGAACTGACGCCACAGCTCACGCGTTGCCTTTTCCCTTCCCGGTAAAGCAGGCTCAACATCTGGACTATTCTTGTTCCTCTTTCCACCGGCAGCTCGGGATTTGGCTTTGGCCTTCGCTCGGCCTGCACCGCGTCGGACAGCAGTATCACTCTCGGCCTCAGACTCCTCGTCAGTGTCTAAATCCATTAGGTCGTCGACATCGCCTTTGCGACCTGGTGGTAGAAATTTATCCACATTGTGTCATGACGTATGACTTGCGTATAATGCTATGAGTCAAGTAGATGTTGAGTGTGCGCGAAATGCAACAGTTAGCATCTTCGACTTAAATCAAGTGGAGTTCGTGGAAAGCATGAGTACTTACATAGGTACTTACCAACTTTTGTCACCGCAACGGTGTAGAGCGCTTTGATTTCCGGTTCCGTCAAAAAGTACGCAAATTCCTCCTTCATCATTCGCACCAGCTCACTACAGCTGTCGTAGACCTTTTGGTGTGCATCAGTTAGTTCCATAGGAATCTGGGAGAATTCGCACCCGCAATACGACAACCCTCGACAGCTCATCACGCCATACGCTTTTAAGTTAATCGCTACTACTTCCATAGCCGTAACGCCACCGGACGAAATGCTCTGCGAAAATTCGTTGAAGGTCTTGAAAACTTTGCCCTCACCCCAGAGACCGAGGCGGCTCATGTACCCCATGTTTGCGACTTCGGTTGCGGCAGTCGCGGAAGCATAGACGACTTTGGCATTTCGACAATAGAGCTCTTGCCAGTCACGGACTGCGAGACCGATTTTGCTGCTTCCGGCAGTATGTGTTGAGCCATCTCGCTTTTTCTTCACCACAAGATGCTTTGCTTTGTGCGCCTCATCAAAAGCAAGAATTCCTAGACCTGGCAAAGGCCCGCGCTTGGTCCTTCTTTGGGCTATTTGAGCATTGCTCTGAGCCCTATTAGTTGTGTTCTTATTCTTTTTACTCTTCTTACCTCCACCACCAGCACCAACACCATCCTCAAACAAGTCGTCGCTTTCACAGAGTGCAAGTTCTTCTCGCATGCCACCTGGAGACAGCTCTTCCATAACCCGCCTCCGCTTGTTCTCATTAAACGCATTGTTCTTGCTGTTCATGGAAGAGATGTCAGCCCCTGGTAAAACTTCTCCACCGGTGATGGACTTCACTTCTCCGACGAAATCCGCGGCCTCTCCCTGAGTGAACCAATGCAGCAAAGGGACGACCTCTTTCTTCACGTCTCTACTTAGAACTCACTACAAATGATCCATCTTTTCCCCCATCTGTGATTGTGTAGTCCATTTTTCTTCTTACTTACAACTTGAATATTACAGCCTAGTACACCTACAGATCGATGGATGGAACAAAAAAAGACGGATTCTAAGTGAAGCCTTAATCTAGCTAGCTTATTGTACGTGAGAAAAACGATGCCGTCAATTCCCTCAAAATCCAACGTATCCAAAAGCGGACAGCGCTCACCCTTTCGCAATTCGGTATTAGAAGAGGATGGAACTGGAAGATTCAACACCGACTAGTTAGACCACCTGTTAGTGCTAATGATCGCGACCGCAAATGAAACTAGAAAGATGAAGGCTCATTTGCAATTCCATTTTTAGTCTCAGCACGAGCTCGAGCTGAACCACCAATCGTAATATCAAACGAGCATTTCTTGCGAATGACCGCGCCCAAGTCCTTGTGTATGGGATTGTTGCGCTGTAGTCGATCAATCCACTCTGGTAACGACATCACCGGAATATGCCCATGCTCTAAATCGCGCAAATCTCTACGCGCGTCCTCTAGCAACTGCGCTGTGGCGGAGACCCAGATGTGCCTGAAAAAAATGATAGAATGGCTAGTCTCTCAGATTAGATCCAAGGGAAAAGACTTCGGTGCACCCATCGTTCACTTTCTGTTTGCGTCATTCCTTTCGAACTGAGACAATAATTGAATCACTAGAAACGTGTAGTGCCTTTTAATCCCCAGGTGCCAATTATGGATAATCAGTGCTGAAATCACGCGCCCCTTTCCACAGCCCGTACCGTCCCCCAGAAGGTAAGCGTTCATTCTCGGACACTTGCGTGCGCTTCGCGCATCATCCAGTCGCATCGCTGCAAAGGTAATGGTCTCCAACTGTTGTGAACTGAGTAACCCTCTTTCAATCAGGATCCACGGTATACGTAGCTCGAAGGAAGGACGCACCTGTGGACCGTGGAAGACAATAGCAGAGAGGAAGGGATGGAGTTGCTGGATGTACTTCTAGATGGAAGGCGATCAAGATAATATGCTGAAGTAGTTACTCCGTCTGTCCCTTGCCAGAGACGAAAGCGCCCCTTTGCCTTTAAGGGAAAAAAAATAATAAAAATCAAATCATGGCCCTTGTAGTACTTCAATTTCAAAAAACGTGACTCAATCTTCATCACAAAAGAAATCTTGTTCTTCGAAGTGCTATTTGTACCCTTGGCAAACTGACGTTTGCTATGGCCAAAGGTTCAGATACAGGCGACGGATGCGGTAAGGCTTTGAGAGCCAGGCTTTGTGAATACTGCACAAACTGCATTTCCGAATTCTTGCCTACTTGAAATTCCTCCTCAACTTTCCGATCTGCTTCTTTCTTCTGTCGATCCCCACCAGGCTTTTTCCTCTTTGGGCCTAGTACTTAGAAGAGGGTGGGGGCTGGGGCAATATCTATATCCTCGTCCTTTTATTAGTAACGTGAAAGCGTGACCGTAAGATGAGTGGCAGAGCTGAGCAGGTAACACTAGAGTCTCGCTGTGTAGAAGAAGACGAGGAAGATCGACATTCCTACTATTTTTCCAGCCATAATCTTCATGCGCATCATCGATATCGTCATCATCGTCATCGAGGTTGATCAAGATATCTTGGCCTAGCGCTTCCGCAATCGCAACATCCACTGACTTCCTACGTTGTTTTACACGCGGAGAACCATGGCCACCTGCGGTTGTGGCTCCACTTTCCAGCTTTTGATGTCGGTTTTTATCATCTACTCCGGAAGTACCACCGACACCAGTAGTAGAACTTCTACGCTTGTTGCCTAGTATAGCGGAACTTCTACGCTTAGATGTTCCCTGGTCTCCGTTCTCTCCAGACTTAGACGAGCCTTCGAAGGGATTGCGGTCTTCTTTCAGGTTCTTCGCGCGGCAACTCTCGAGATAGTGTCGAATATTTAAGCTCGAGACGCGTCCAGGCCGTCCAGGATACACCCACGGCGTGTCGGCACGAGGAATTAGAGATGTTTCTTTCGGGTAGTGACTAGTATTAAGGCTACATCAGAGGGAAGGCGAAGGGTTTCAATTGATATTCATCTACTTGATGCCTATCAAGCTTCAGACGTTTTCATCTGCAAAACTCTACTCATACATAGTCCAGCTTCGTGCTAAGGAAAGCTATGTATGATATTACTCATTTCTTGAAGCGAAGTCATGAGCCTTAACTGTGGCAACACTGGCAGTGCCTGGATCCGCAAAAGCTCAAATGTATCTTCAACATCCTCGAAGAGAAGCGGCATCTTCGCTGGAGGTTCATCTTGTTCGGCATCGCCATCGGCACCTTCTCCCTTATTATTTCTCGCCGCATTCAGATCGAAGTTTTCCGCTACTTTCCTATTGAAGTCGCGGACGAAGGATAGTCGCTGTGCATCATCATCATTGCCTGGCGCCGCTGCCACGGATCCTTCCTCGTTCTCGAAGTCAACAAAGTGTCCCAACTCTAGATCCAAGACATGAAGTTGTTGTCCGTCGAAGCATAGGGCCTGATCCGCTCCAAGCATCAGCTGCTGAAATTGTTTCCGCAAAGTGTCCACATTGCCGGACTCCTGGACCTCCAGGGCAGCCAAAAGATCGTCCTTCACGGGCATTTTTTGTTCTAGAAGTGCTTAATGTTAATCATAATACTCTCGCCCGAGGGTAACAACATCAAGGAGGTAAATCAAAATCTAAATTCATACTTACAGTATAGTGAAGCTGCTGGTACTGTTGAAGTTGATCTTGATGTGCTGGTGTTGTAGGTGTACAACTAAAGTCTAATACAACAACAAGAACTGGTGCAACTACATCTAGTACTCTTGTACTTGTATCCTCACGTAGTGTGGGATGCCTATGGGAAGCAGGCCTTTTGTTCTACATTTTGTTCTTGTGTGTCAGTCAGTAAAGAATTTCTTCATGTATTTTTCTGCGCATCAAAGAAGTGACCTTATATGGTGCGTTTTTAGCAGGTACACCTTGCTGAATCCTTTTACACTGCTTCAATCCTTGCCTCGTACCATGAACTTGCTTTGTGTCTGACGAGTATCATTCATCCGGAAATCAAGATCGAACAGCGGCCAATACCAGCGGCAATGTCAATCAACAACGATATTCAAATGTCGAACAACCGCGCGAAAGACCGCGAGAGTCGAGCCTGCTTCTCGGTGTCTGCGTCGATATCATCATCTTCCACTTCCTGAACCGCAGCTTGTGCAACGAAATTGTCGACATCATATACATAGCTTTCACATACTACATCGAAGAGGAAGTTTTAGAATTTTATGTGTATCGACCCTTCGACTTGAAATCCTTAGCTTAATGATGCGAATCTATTCGGCAGTCTGCTCCCTTCGGCTTGAAATCCTACTTACCTTTTTTAATAAGTACTTGTGATGTCCCTATCATAAGTAGAACGACTGCCGTAGAACGTAGTTGTACAAGAAACTAGACTACCACTAGCTGCATGAAAGAAGATAGTGATAGAAAGAACGATGATAACAAAATGAATCAAAAGCAACAGAAAATGGTAGAACATAGACAAAACATTTTCATCTCTAGGTCAAAAAATTTTGATATCAACAGGAAGGCACTTTTTACCGACTCTCAATTCAACAGAATACCGCGTGGCTTACGGCAAGCTCAACCTCAAACCGAAGAGCATTATTAATCTCAGACTCAAGAACAACATGAGCAGCATGATCTTTTTTTACATGCAACTCTTGTCACGTTGAGCTGGTCATATTGCATCGAGAAACACAACCGATGTATCGAAGAGACTGACGTGGATCTACTTTGCTTGATCAACAGATGTCCTCGAGGATGTGCCTTAAATACTTAAATTAATTTCTCATTGGAATTTTCATCGATCTTTATACTCTCCAGACAAGAGATAGAGAAGTAACAGACGACTAGCGAAGAATGGTCATCAGCTGAAATTGCTTACACCCACAATATCGATATCCGTTGTTGTAAGAACTTAATTCTTCCACTTCCATGAAAATTTTTCAGACGCGAAGAGAAATGTCCTCTGTAGTCAGCGTCATCATGTCATGGAACTACCTCTTCTCACATTATAACGTCATAGAGGCCTTTCAGCCACCCTGTACCTTCTAAATAGAAGAGCAGAGATAGACCCTCCATATTCAGATATTCATCATCATCTCTCGTTAGTTCTTGATCCTCGTCCTCCCTCGTCCGTAAAAAGAAGTAAGCGTGGTCTGTTTCACGAACAAAAAACTTTTGTTTTCAATTTTCAATGTTCGAGATATTCGGTCTTTGTAAACCAACTAACACAGACAAGCACGAACTTCATCAAGGTTATTTGGCAACATCGCTCCTTCTTGCAGATCCTCAGTAGTAGTAGTAGTGTACCCATTTTTCGAGGGGTATTTAATTGATAAAAAAAAGCCCATCTTCTTCCTTTTACCTCTAGAAGTGTCATCGCGTCAGCTCTTGCGTCAGTAATGACATGTAGATCACCACTTTTTCAAAGATAACAATTGTGATGATACTCGCAGGATCTACATAACTCAGTCTCGAGCAGGAGGACGACCGTGATTATAGTTCTTAGAAGTCAACACTCCTTGTTAGATATGTGTACGTATACTTATATATACTATAAGCTAGATAGATAATTCTAATTCATTATGCTACTACTTGAGTCATGCAGGAGATTCAAAGTTGAGAGGTCTTCTACCTAAGTAACCCTATCTCCGCTTGTATATTATTTCCAAAGTCTATCGCTATTGGTTCTTTTTTTGCTAACCTACGGACGCCCCCCTTCTTGTTGAGCAAAGTGCTTCCACAAGCGGAACATGATGAAGGTCGCCACGAACACTCTTATGCCATGTTGTATGAACAGGAGCAGACGCGCAAAAAATATACTTACAATGAACGAACTTTAGCTCTATCGGCCTTGAGCACTAGCCTAAATAACCAGCACGAGCGCAGACCTATCGATATGGGGCCGAATTGCAATCACCGTGGAAAAGAGTCAGTGAATATTTGCATCACAACCATGCACAGCACCAATACCCATCACCTATGTATTGGGAGTTGGATTTTCGTAGTAGAACTACCTCTGCCTACCAATCATCACCACATTATCACTTACTTTCCAAGTTCTTCATCTATCTAAGTACCATCAGACCCAGAACCATCCCCGAAGAATGAACCATGACCAAGTAAGAATCAAAATTTGTAACGATCTTCGCGAAAACAATTGTTGAAAATTCATAATACAGACGAGCAACTTTTTTATCAGCACCAATTTTAGCATAGTCGAGAAGTCGCCTGATAAATCACTTAGTTCTTTAGGAGCAGAAATTTTCCTTATAGATCGGGATGAGTGGTCAGATCATTCATCATCATCTAAAAGTAAAAAAGACCACCCAGAACCCGCTAGATATTTCGGGAAGGACTCGAGAGTCCTTCCCTTATATCCCGAAGGATATGTTACCCGGATATATGCCCCGTGCCAAAACATGTCAGGATAATGGCTAAGAAAAAGTACCTCCAAGCCAGTCTATTATTAAAGGGTCAGCCTAAACTTAGCCGCCCGATCGCTTTGCATTGCCGCGCAACCAGATCACCAAACACTTGCACATAGGCGCCTTTTATCATCAATCTAAGTAACTTCGTAGGCGTAGCCTGATCCTTACTAACAGAGAAATGCCTTGGCTCAATCATCTTCCCATCTGCTCGGCGGTAGGGTCGTGGATCAACCCCCCTCAAGGACCAGGGCAGATCACTGTGTTAGGAATTTCTCTGGTAGTCCTTCTGAAGCCTTGATGAGCCGTCTCTTTGATTGTTCAGATTCATCATCTACCGAGCAGGTAATGAAGATGATGAACTACTTTAATTTATTCAGTATCTGCATTAATGATGTGTAAGTACTATGCACATGTCCAACGTTTTCACAAAAAGAAGTAGACTCTTGCTCTTCCATGATCCTTACTTCCAAAGTAGGCAGCTAAGTAGGAGTGGTTGTTGTACTTCTGATATTGCAGCAGAAGCAGTTCGTAGTGGGCACTGCTGCGCATCCGTCGACCCACCTCCTGGACTGGGAGACTTGTTCTTGCACGACCACAATGAACGTCCTCCTGATCTTGCCTATGCAAGAAATGCATCTACTAGATCTACACTGCTTTCTCTTGGTCATAGTCGAATGTGAGTCTCTCGAGATCGTTGAGCTCTGCCTCCAAATTGAGAAACAAGAGTGCAGCTGCAGGCTGCTCTTTTACCTCATCTTTCGTAGCAACTTTTGTCCAACCCCAGCCACGCGCCTCCTCCGCTTGTCCAAGCAACGAATACAATGCAATGATGTTGGACTTCACTTCACCGACAGCGGTGACATCTTCGTCAACACGATCGCCCTTAGGATGACCGTCCTCAACCGAAGATGTGGCAGCTTCTAAAACCTTCATCGCCTGTCGCATGACAGCTCTGAAGTCTTCCAAGTAGTGCTTCTTGGACGCCTTCTGAAACAAAGTTTGTAGAATTTCCACGCTGTGCATTCGTTCAAGAAATTCCTTGTCTTGCTCTTTCTGAGTTGGAGGAGTAGTGCAACTACGAGTCTCCTTCTGGGTAACATCCGCAACAACCTCGTAGTCATCCTCAACGTCTTCACAAGAAGAAGCAAGATCATCTTCAACAATAGTAAAATCTGCCTCCTCTTCATCAATCAAGCGTTCTAAGCCTAGATCTCTGGCGAGTTCTCTGCGGAGCGCGTATGAAGATGCTGAAGTAGAAGTCGGAGCTCTTGTTGCTGGGCTGCTGGTGCTAGTCACGAGAACGGTATGTAAGATGTCTCTTACAATAGCTGCATCGATGTCCATCACGATGTCCTTGCTCGTCCTATCAGTGTCTGGAGTAAGAGACTCATCTTCTTGCATTCTCTTCCGATACTCCTTCTTCAACACTGGATTGCGGTTTACGAGCTCTAAAAGAGTCAAATCGGTCAAGAATTTCAACGCAATTGAGATCTGCTTCCCCGCCTTGTCTAGTTCGGGAAGAAGTAGAACAGCGCTACGAGCTTCCTGCATGACTCTACTTGTTTCATCTTCAGCTTCAAGTGTACTACTAGCCTCGGTCTCCGTGTCCTTGAGGACCTTGTATCCTGTTGTAAAGTGAGCGTAAGATGAGAACAAGCACTTCTCTTGTTGGTCCTCTTGCTCACGCGGTCCAACACGTCCACCAAAGTAAAGGTCCGTGAGCGGAAGGGCCATGTTCACAATAGGATTGTTGAAGAAGTGTTGGTCCTCTGTTGCCTGCTTCATCTCTAGTCCGGTTGATGGAGCCTTTTTTTCACTTAGTTTCATGAAATTCGCTTCCTTGCAATCTTGCAGAGTGCCGCTCCATTCTGCACTTTGGTAGGCCTCATCCATGATCGCAATCCCTTTCTCCACGTCTTGTTTTGTGGGAAGTTCACCTGTGGTTCTTGATGAGATGAAGATCCTTGATGAGTCAGATTTTTGAAACAAGTAGATGCCGACACTACACCTCTTGGCCTTGATTATCTCATCAGCCCAATATACATTCCACCGATGCCCCTGATCGTTCTTCTCTCACATCCTCTTACTTATTCTCTTTCCACATATAATCAGAAGATGAAGTAAATGTAAATTCTACACCCTTGTTCTACTACGAAATAAAACGTGGTGCAAATCTTCTAAGTATATACCTTGTTCCACCACGAAGTAGAATTGGACGGTAACTGTGATGGGCTCTTTACTGTTTCTGACAGGATTGTCGATGTCCATCTTCTTCATGGGTCCTGCTTCCTTACCGTACGAAAGTCGTGCAGCGTACGAAGTCGTTGTTCTTGCCTGTTGTTCTGTACTAGGTGTAGAACCTCCAAGTAGGGTCTGCTCGTGTTCGACAGCTGAGTCAGGACCTGAAGCTGAAGAAGCAAGACTCGGCTGATCTTGCTGTTGTGGGAGTAGAGACGACAGACCTTCTTGGCTCATGGCGGGAGAAACATCTTCAAAGTAGAGTGCTGGAAGATCTTGTTCGTATAAACCGGAATTGAAGCCCTGGCCCATCATGCCGAGGTTGAGATCGCCCCCTTCGTATAATTGGCTAGCATCGAAACCGCGCATCACTGGTGGCTCCTTGTAAAAGTCAGCATACATCCACGGGTAAGAAATCGAGGCGTTCATACCATATCCGCTACTGTCTCCCAAATCTGAGAACATCGCTCCAGGCTGACCTCCATATAGTCCTCCTGTAAGATCAGCATCAGATAGGTTATACGGGTTAAACGCATTCTTCTTCCCTTCTAGCATCTCGAGCGATCCTTGGCTCCCGTAATACGGCACAGGATCAGGAATGTTGTAAGGGTTGCCTAGAGGAGCAAGACTCCCGTATCCAGGAGATAATGTGCTGTCTTGTTCAATGGCCTTCGTCTTTAGAGGAGGTTCGATGTCCTTCATCTTCAGTGGTATCTGCATAGTCATCAGTCGATTGAAGCCCTCTCCCATGCCCTTAGTTCCGATCACCTTCGCGACTCCCTTCCCCCTCTTCTTGGCCCGCATCTTCTCCTCTTCTGTTTCATGCTGTTCTTTCTCTACTCCGTGCTTCGCATCTTCCTCCAGGTTCATGTAGGTGTTTATCCACTTCGACTTCCCACACTGTAGCTCATTATCATCAACCTCCGATGTCGTAAACGGGTTGTAGTTGAACTTGTGAAGATAGTGTGTTTGTACTGCTTCTGTGCTGTTGGCTTGAACAAAGAGGCCTTGAGAAGTACTCAACAACACTAGATTTTTCGGCTCCTTCGTATTTCTAGTCTGATAGTTGTAGCTTTTCGGCGTGATCTCAAGCGACTCCCTTTTTGGGATAAAGACAGCTTGAAATCGCATGGAAATCGGCTCATCTGGGTCCACGAGCATGCTGCCAAATTCAAAGACTTGATCTTGATGTTCTTCAAGAGTGATGTCTTCTTCATCTACACCCTCTAGCACTTCTTCTTTTTCTTCGTTGAAAGGATAGATGCCGAATGGATATTCCTCAACTTTGTGTTTGTCGTTCATCTTACTTTCTACTTCTGGCTCAACAGAGTCTGCGTCATCGTCCTCCTTAGCAGGATTAGACGACCCCCTAGTGCAACAACTCTTGGCACCCTTCGCAGATGTTGCTGAAGTCTTTTTCATTATAGCGTATTGAGCATATTGATTCATGTTCTTCAGCACGTCTTCGAAGGTTTTAGACTCTAGTAATGCTTCCCGACTGTTATTCATTTCCACCTCAGATTCTTCAACTACTGTACCAAGAAGAGAGTGACCTCCTCCTAATTCAGCTTGTTTGTGGTTCCCCGTGATGAGTTTCAAGTCTCTTGCTCTGACGATCGCAATTTTCTCGTTGAAATTTTCTGGGCGAAGGATGAGGAAATTGTTCTTGCCCTCCTCATCGGCTAACCACGCGTCCGAAATGTTAGGCCCGAAGCTAGAACCTTGCGTGCGAACGTTGTCATTCCAGGCTCTGTGGACCGCAATGTACTTCGTACTTCTAGGACTTTTTCTTGCTCGATTGATCGACCTCAAATGTTCGCGCAATTTCTCATCAAAATCGTATTGGGCCACTGGAGGCTTTATCTTCTCTAGTACCTTCTTACTGCTAGCAGGAGACGACGAGCATAGACTGTCGGAAGAATCTCCTACAGAACCCAATAACCCGAAGGATCCCAGTGATTTGAATGTGGCAGTAGTAGATGCAGCACTAGAAGTAGGAGTAGGAGTTCCCTGGAAAGACGTGGGAGTTGAAGAAGATGCCTGACCTTGTTTAGCAGCTGTAGTAGTTAACCCGGCAGAAGTAGGAGAAGTAGGAGTTGACCCAGAAACTTTAACTTCTCCAGCAGAACTTTTATAATTAGTAGGACGACAAGGACTGCAGTTGCCATCAAAGAGGGTGAGACTTGTGGGGCTCTGGACTGCGGGCTCGACAGGCGCAATCGACAAGAACTTCTCAAGCACCTCAGGCGGAGATGAAGAGTCTCTTCCACTTCCTCTTCCGATCTTAAGCCACGACGCTGCCGAAACCAAAGACGGCAGAGCCAGCAGGTGCCCGACGGCATGAAATCGTCGCTGCATACTTTTTTTTGACCTCGACATCTTTATTTACTTTACTTTACTTCGTTTAAATTTAATTATAATAAGATTTGCTATTTCTTCTTTTAATTAAGTATAATAAAATGAGAATGACGAGCAAGTACTTCTATTTGTTTCACTTTCAAGTAGGAGAGTGATCTTTTTTCAACTTTTACGGTAGAACAAACATGGGTGCTACTTCTAAGAGGGGAGAAGATGCAAGTGGAAGTACAAACAAATAGATGCAGTATCTCTCCGGATTTAAATTCCTTGAAGACGAGGAAGTAGTGGATTGATCCATAGCTGGTTGGGTAGCTAAATGATAAATGTATTTCTTTTGTGGTAAAGAAAATGCAGTACAGAGAGACGCAAATAGAAATTTTCTCTTCGTTGTAAAAAGAAGACTCGAACAACAAGAAAACGCAAGAAGTTCAAAAGCCTTGAAGAAGGGTTCGCTAGAGCTCAGATGCAACGACAAAGGGCTATATGTGCAGAGAACGAAGTCCTTAGACTGATTACTCTGCTCGTTTTCCTGTCCAAGTCTATGTTCTTGGCAGGAGTCAAAAAAGTAAGTAACTCATCTTCAACAAGATCACGATCACCATCACAATACTCCTTACTAAGTACTCCCTTTTGTTGTTCATGTGGATGTCACTCAATTTCAGTAGAAAAAGTGCACTACAAGTAGATGATCTATTCCTCTTTGAAGTCTTTGGTGTTGATTTTCATTCCATCAATGAATTTGAAGTCAGAGATTAGACCGAATGGCACTGATTCTATTTTTGTCAGAATCCACTAGCTCTCTCTTATTTCTGCCTTGGTCAACCTTCAACATGAACATGTGCATCAGACTCAATCTGAAATATAATTTGGAATATAATTTGGCGATTTTCATTTTTCTTAACTCTGCGTTCCATCAATTTGCTGGCTCTCCTCTGTTCCATTTTTCATTTTGCACATCTCTGCAGACTAGCTACACGGATCTTTCTTATAACCTTTTCAGCGGGAGCATGGTAAAACAACTTCCAAGTAAGTGCTTCCGCTCAAACATTGTGAGTTTGAAACAGCGCGTAGAATGTGGAATCTGTCTCCGTGTAGAAGGATACAACTCCAAGGAATATGTTCCTGTGTATAAAGCGTATCCGTGTAGTAGTAGTAGTAGTAAACCCATTCTAGGGGTACATACATCTTATTTCTTCAAGGGTGGGTATGAAGGGTATGAAGATCCACAGATGGCAGAGAGGTGGATTGATATGGGTCCCCAATTCCTTAGGTTGTGAGGGAGAGCATCTAGTAGAGGGGGTAGAGGATGAATCGTGGGCATGCTGATGGTCAACCGTGTGTGATGTGTAGTCCTCAGTGTCCACCTGCTTCATTCGACGGCTGTCAATAATATGTTGATCAATTAATACTTCATCGGCTTTGTACTTGCAGTTATATATTGTTCTTTAGAACAACAACAACGTGATCAGATTCAGAATAGCTTCCACCATAGAATAAACAGAATGAAGATTCCAATGCCACCAAGCACCGCGTACTGTCTAAACAACGCTTGCAGCGAGAGCATCTTAGCATTGTCCCGAAAACTTTTGCTATGATCCCGCAAACTTGACGCTTTCGCCCCAACGCGTTCTAGCTTCTCACCCTTCTCGATTAAATCATCTAAGTTCTGCCGCATCACGCTCTGGACCTGAGAGTGTGTGGAGTATGTGAGATTGAGAATGTCACATTAAGGTATAAATTTGGATGTAGAAGTCCTGTGGATCTGGATGGAAGAAGAAAAGTTATCTCCTCGGGTCTCTGACTTGAACCTGAACGATTGCGCTAATATCATGACTCATTTATAATTTGCGAGGACTTGAACCTGAACGATTGCGCTAATATCAACATGACTCATTATTTATTATTTGCGAGGAAGAGAGAGAGTGAAGTACCTCAACTAAGCTGTCGCTGAGTTTTTGTAAGCTGCTATTGCTCTTCGGATCCCTATACTCCTTTTGCTTCCGCTGTATTGTCCTCTCGAACTTGATGAAGTAGTACGGCTTGTCGATGCACTCTATTCTGCTTCTGTAATCTACAGAGTGCGTGCCAAACTCTCGCTTTAGCTCCTCTAGAAAGAGCCGGTATATCTCCTCGAGAAAGGCAAAGGCTAACTTCTTCGGATAATCCTGGAGAGGGAGTTTTTAGAAACCTTCTGGAGCCAAGTGAATTATCCCAGCAACTTCGCGGAAACTTCGCCACTTTATTTAGAGGTGGTAGGTTTTTGGTGTTCGTTGATCTCGCTTGTTATGGCTGTCCCCCTTAAGAAAGAGAGCCATAACAACCGGTAACAAAAGCACCTCTAGGCTACCCTTGGACTTTTGTGACTTTTCGGAAGTGTCTGGGAAGTTTCCGCGAAGTTGCTCACGTGGTCGATCCAAACAAAGGAAACCATGCAAATTTATTCTGCCAATGCCAATCCTTAAATACATATAGGAATTACGCAGCAACAGCAACCAGCACTAGAAAATAGCTATACCTGCCCCGTGAGCACCATGAAGCACACGCCATCGTCTATTCTGTAGTGAAATTGGTATCCTCCTGCGACATCCACTGTACACCTATCAGGCCCTGAGTTTATCCGTTTTCTCAGCAGTTTTGCCTGTTGTTTCAACTGTGACACTCCGTGCATCGCTGATGATTCCCAGGTCTCGACGAGCACCAGGCCGTCTACCACACGAGAGATGAATACTAAATCCATCTTGATTTCTTTTTGGTGTGGACGATTTCGATAAGGTTAATGTGGACGGACACGGATTATTTCAATTAAATGAGAGGAACTAGTACTTACTAGTCAAACGGCTTCAGGGGGAACTAGTTCAGGTGGTTCAGGAAAGTTGTAGTAAGCACTTTGATGTTCGCGCACTAGCGCTTGCTTCTAGTTGGTGTGGACGGACACGGATTCAATTATGAGAGGAACTAGTACTAGTAGTCAGAGAACGGCTTTAGGAGGAACTAGTTGTAGTTCAGGAGGATGATGTGAACTCTATTTGAATGTGTACTTAGCTTGATGTTGCGGAAGAAGATGTCGTTCTAACTAGCAGTAGCACTCTCTTTGGAGTTGAATTTGTGATGGCGTGGCAACGCGTGGCAACGTGTTCGAGAGCAAATTTTTAGTCCGTCTCCGTGTTGTTCATACATGAAAATGGAAATCAAATGTCCTGCTCTTGCTAGAACGGCTTGTTAATGCTTAGAATCGTTTACTTCGGATAAGCGACGTCTTCTCTTGGAGGCAGCAAAGGATTGAACGTCAACAACCACGAACGAACGTCAACAGCCAACGAACGTTAACAACGAGTCAGTATGGCGGTCTCGTCCTGTAGTCATTCTTTGGCTATGATGATCATAACATATGATATTGATATGTTGTTGTTGTTCGTCGTGTAGCTACTTAGTTTACCATGTAAAAACTAATTACCTTTACCATTCTTGCGACCTAGTATCAAAATCGATACTTCAAGAAACCGTGTCCTACTTGATGATTTGTGCTACTTATACTTCTTCTACTCCTAGTCCTCCACCTAAGTAGGCGTTCTCTCAAAGTAGGAGATGGGCATCTCTAACTTGAACGAAACGATACAAATTATAACTGATGTTGAGTCTACTTCTACAAATTTTTGCATGGGATGCACTCAATGTCACTCTAACAGGGATAGTAAATATGTGGAAAAGAAACGAAACCAGCCGAGCATCGATCATCAAGGGAGGGGTATTAGCACAAAAAAAGGGGTGAAAGTAACTGCCTCTCAAAAAATATGTATGATGATGACCTGATCGTTTGTCTTTTGTTGAAAATTACGACTTTCACCAGAAAACCTCTACCTCAAATGAAAATGAAATGACTATTCTCCTCACTACTAGAACAACCCTTACCGGTGGTTGCCCTCCACGAACGCTTTAGAAGTACCTAGGTATCACTGTTGAACACGAACACGACGCACGATGCCGTAGTTGTATTTTCTAACGCCGCGAAGTGGAAATCACACGAGCATTTTCGGAGCGTTTTTTTCGAAATTTGGATTCGGTGGATGCAAGAGTTCTTCTAACAGTGTGCAATGGACATGTATATAAAAGGGTGATGCGATGAACATGAAAATTCTTCTTGTTGAGCCTTATCGACTCATTTGAATTCACAGGAATTGGAGGAGGACATCTTCAACAATCGATTGCACACCAGTTCCTTTGAATCTACAACATCATGTTAAGTTTTTCTAGCTATTTTCACTGCTGGTGTCTTCTCTGCGCTGGTGCTGCTCTTGTACCTATTGGTCGTGCTCGTATGCGCATCCTGATACTTATGCGGATTCTTGCAGCACTCATAAATTAACATGTGTTCTTGTGATAGAGCGTGGTGTTTGCTTTTGGTAACAACTGCAACTGGTATAGGTAAGTATTTAGTCTAAAAATCATCATATTTCTTGTTTCTTTGGTAGCAACGTGGACGCGAAGGCGACAACACCCCTTGATGCCTTAATTCGCATCTGTATCTGATGCTAACTCTTCTGATTGACAATGATGTGATTGTGAGCATGTTGTTGATGTAGGAGTTTGATTATGTTTCTTCGCCAGAAATTGAAATCGTAAGCCACATGATATTCTCGTCAACATGGAGCATCTACTAGTTCATCTAAGATGAGTACCAAAGTGTCGTCAGGTTCAGCTTCAGTCTTCCCTGAATCCACCTCCAACAACAACAACGACCGTCTACTATGTGTATAAGTATAATAACAATAAGTCGTTGACTCTAACTACCTACTAAGTGAGGAGTCGCATCAAGCCTCCACCTAGCGGCGACCGCGGGAGTCTTTTCCCCGTCGTCGAGAGTCGCGACGACCACGAGAGTCCCGTCGACCACCGCGCGATCGCCCGCGTCCCCCTTCGCGGTTATACGCCATATTCCGCTTACCTCGTGTCGCCAGACACAGAGTCACCCGCTGACCATCGAGAGAGATCTGGTATTTGGTCGTGGACGTGGATGGTACTTTGTAATTGAGGAGTACGAAGGGTAGTTGCATGATGTTGGTGATAGTTAGACTAAAAGTATTAATAGTCTGGTGTGGTCTACCATTAAATCATTTTCTTCTTCAGCAATGAGGCATTGCAATCTTCTTGTTCTTCATCTTTTCATAGATCATAGTTTGAGATTCTTCCATCAAGTAGGTGAAGATGGTGTAGCAACAGCAAGAGGGGCAACTTACTACTTTTTCATAATTAATTGAAGTACATCAGCCTCTGACGCATCCCTGGCTTCGTCTTCATGTTCGAAACGGACGAAGGCAAAATCCTTGTTCTCTCCTGAGCGAAAGTCACGCGGGATGTATCTGTAGGTCGTGATCGAGTGTTGTAGGAAATCAAATTGAGATTCTTCGAAACGACCTAAGAAATTCTGAATACACAAAATCCTAGACAGTTCTACTTCCTTCCAAATCTACGAAGAAGATCCTGAAAATACACATCCTGCACGGCTCCGAACTTGCGAAAAGCATCTTCAATCTCCCCTGACCTGACGTACTTTGAGATGCCGTCGATTTTGATGGAGTACAAGTCCTCCATGCGAAGACCGTTTTTGCGGTACGCCATTTTTTTCGATGTAGATATGAGTGTTCAGGAAAACTTTATCTCGCTGTACTTATTTGTAGATAGTCGTGGTAATCAGAACAATTACGTTTACGAAGATTTTTACCTGGACAGTACGTAGTAGAATTGCTTTCTTGAAAGTAGTAGAATTATTTTGACAATGACAATTTTACTAGTTCTAAGTAAGTACTTACTTGTTGAGTAGAAGTTGTGACAACGTCAACGTCTGTGCGTGTAGAGCAGTTACTAATCGACCTGTTCATAAATTAGCGAGAGGGATATTAACAAGTGTCAACAAGTGTGGGCGTCTAGGACATCCAAAACAGAAGTTTCCGGATTGTATCTGAAACTCAAGTGGTAGTTTTTTTACCACAACCAAACAAGATTCATGAGTATTTATATGAAGATCCTGGAAGAAATGGCAGCTTCAGCAATATTTCTCAAGAAAATAGAGGCAGCTTCACCTTCAGCAGACAGCCAGGACTTATGCAGCAAGCCACAAGACAACTCACAAGGCAGAGAGACGCAAACTCGTTCGGAAAGGATCACACAGGAGTAATGCATGTTGTAATCACGATTGCCGCAGATACGACCTTTGAATAATTTGAAACTGGACAACAGCTCCCTTGTTAGTCTGAAACGGAAACTGAGAAGACAATCGCTTCGACAATAGCTTCTACTTGCGGATCCTTTCTTCTGTGGTTCTGCTCATGTCTTCGCCACTTCCGCATAAAGAACGAGGAGAAATCAATAGGAAGTCTGTACTCTTGAAGATCATAGGCTCTTTCTTGTCGTGCAAGAAGATTTAGCAAGCAACTTGAACTTTTCTGAAAAAAATCAAGGAGGTACTAAGATGTCTTCACTCACCTCTTGAAACGGCCTCAGCGTTTTTAGCTGAGGAGCATGACGGACCGCTTATTTCTTCGGGGTAATAAAGATCTTTCTGTTTCTAGTTCTTCCAGAAATATTAAGAACACTCGAGTGACTTACGATTACCAAAAGATACAAAGTCGAGTCTCCTGGTCTGAAAGCTCGTTGTCATCATTGATCACTCCATGGCATGGTGGCAATGTCCTCAGTTCTTACCGTCTTCTCCTGATCATGTAGTTCGTGTCATACAACTACGTAGTGAGTCTTCTGATGCAGTCGTTGTAATACAACTGCATGTTCTTGTGAGGATGATCTTGATTTAATGTAATAGTTATCCCTTCCATCTTTAAAAATCTACCCTCATGTACGCTGTTGGAAAATCCTCATCTAAAATCTCCCCTAATGATGTTGGAGGGTCCATCTTTAGTCTCCCCTAATGATGTTGGAAAGCTGTAGGGTAAGAGCAAGTTGTGCCAAGGTAAAATTCAAATTGATGATAACATCAACGTGAATGATTCTCAACATGAATGATCCACCTTCCCTGGTGTCTTTACTCTACTTCTTCTACTCAATCTCAAATCTGGCCCATGTTTTACTTTTAGGCTGAGGTTTTAGTTTTTGTACCACAGATCTTAAACTGATCTGAGTCCCACCTCGGCATATGATTGAATGAATGGAACTCAATATAGAAAGAAAGAACTAACAGTAAAAAAACCCACGTTCTTCTTGTCCTCGAATATATAATTCATACGTCTAAGTAATATGCCACTTCTCATATTAGAGCTACCCTGAACCCAGGATCCACGTGGCAATGGGTTCTTTTGAGCCTAACATCGCCTCCCCTCGAAGCAGTTCTTATCTTTATTTAGATAAGTATCTTATTTTGTTCTTCCTAGACCGGTTGTCACGAACATTGAATATTTCCGCCTCTTGCTTCCGATAAGTTAGTTGCATTAAGTGGACCCTCGTCTAGTAGTGCTGGTAGTGGTACCAAGTACATGATACATAGACATACTAGAAGTACAAGCACATAGACGTCCGACATGAACAAGCTCAGTAATTGTACTTTATCAACTTCTAATATCTTCTACAAAGTATTTGATTTAGTACAGCAAGTTGAAGTTGTACCCATACGTCACGCAAACCCTTTCAGGCCATTGATTGACTTATTAATGTATCTTCCATTCGCGGGGTATAGCTTCTTTAATTATGGGTGCACGTTTCTATAAAAAAATTTCTTGCTTCCCTTCTACTTGTTGCATCTACTCATTTCCATGATTGGGATTCGTCCACTTTACTTAGATTTTTCCCAAAGTAGCAGAGGCCCGGTTGGAGTCGAGCTGCTCTCGCCAAAAAATTCAAACTCTTTCTCGTTCTGTTCCTTTTCAGAATGTTGCTGTTTTTCCAGAAACTTGCGCCTATCCGCAGCAAACCATCCAATTGTATTTTTCAACGCCTGCTCGTCGTACCGCTCGGAGGTGTCACACTTGATCTGCTCATCGCGAAAGCGCCGCAGTTTCATCAAGGCAGCCCACTTACCCAGACTTATTTGATGCGCACGGCGTGAACCGAACCCGAGAAAGCTCGGTACGTTAGCTTTCCACTCGTGCAGGTTTGCCGCTTCTTCGAACTTTTCGAAACGTTCCACCCGCAAGGGGACCTCAGGACGCATGTACGCATCATTCTTACATTTGTCTTTGTACAGCGAGTAGGCACTTGTCCCTTTTCCGTTGGCATCTACTTTGTCCACAGACTCCTGGATCAGCTTGCGCATCAGCGCACGGTTGGCATCCGCCGGATGTTTCACTTCCTCCAATTTCTCCACGTCGTAACCTTCGAAGATCTTTAGTACACGGAAGGAAAGCTTCCGAGCCCGGCTGAGCACTTCGGGATGGTACGGAATCGTGCTTGCCGCAGCACTGATCGCTTTGTCGCTGATCAGGCCGCAAAGCTCTTTTTTCAACTCTTGGCAGCCAGGAGCTGGCTCACACACGGGGATTGCGTTCACGCAGGAAAGCAGGCTAGCAGACAGAACGCACTGTGCCGCAAAAAAACGCTTGAAGACGGTCATCATCATAAATGCGTTTTTTGCAAATAGCTTGTCTTCGCTGTAGTCAATTTCAATAAAGTATGATCTTCGAGCAAGTCGATCAAGAAAAGAAGAAGCTTCAGTCTGAGAGTCGACGAGCCGGTGACCTATATTTCGATAAATCTTTATTTTCTTGGGAGGTCGAGGTGCTGCAAATATTACCGTTACCGTTTGGAGATTGATTATAGGCGCGGAAAATTAGTTGAGCGGGATAAAGATGCGATTTGAGGTCAAAACAATAACAAAGAACTCAGTTGAATACTGCTTAGTTGAACGAGATAAAAATGTGATTCGAGGTCAGAGCACAGAAGAGATCAAATGCTAGCAAAGTTAGCAGTTGAGTCGTGGGAGGGATAAAATAGCGATATATTTATTGCGATTTATAAAAACACTAGTCAAAAGTTGTTGGTCACTAGTGCTTGGAAGTTTTCGAGTTTGCGGCTCTTTGTAAGTTTTCCTGATCTAACATAAGAGAAAGAGAATGTTTTGTAGCTGATGGATGTGGATCATGTGGTTGTGGTAATAGAAGAACAAGAATAACAAACCTAAAGGTCTTTCCTCGTCGTTCATTGACGTCTTCATCGTCGTGATCATTTTTAGTACAAAAATGATGATCTCTAGTCTTTGGTCTTGCTCATGATCTTTTGATCCTCCTTAGCCTGATCTTCCGATATAGTGTGGTAATCGATTTGTCCTCTGATCTCGATGAATTTTCTGATCTTGATCTCTCCGTTTGATCCTGATATTTTTTGACTCATCTTTTTGACCTCTTTTCACCATTTAATCCTGCTTGTGGTTGTGATCCTCTTTGACCATAACTTTGGTCTTAAAGGGCTCGAACTTCGTGACACAAACACCAGAAACTATTTTTGGCGAAGATGACTGCTAAAAGTAAAAAATGGCAACCCATAGCAATAGTTCTTGTACTTCTCGTCGCCTAAAAATAGTTCTTGCCTTAAGCAGACCAAGACGTGATCAAATCCTCATGGTCTAAAAATGGTCCTCGTCCTCACGGAACAACTTCTAAAAAATCCGATCATTGTTTGCTCCTATTGTTAGTGAAAAAAAACAGAAACAAAAACAAGAAAACAATATACTAGCATCTATCATCAGTGTCATTGTCATTCCTCAATGACAGGAGGATGACTATGTTTTAGATACGGTAGGTATCATTGATGTTGACAATACATGATAGAGGCATCAAGCAACGCAACTTAGTCCAAACAATTCAAGAATGTGAAAAACATCCCAGTTTACTATCCCTTCCTCAATATCATCTTCACAGCGTCAGCAAGTTTCTTGGTTTCTGCATCTATTGGACCAAAAGACACTAACCTCACATCCAGCGGCATGTGGTGGAACTTCTTCACCGCTTGCAGAATCGCATCATTGATCCACCGGGTCTTGTTTCCGAAAACTCCACCTCCTGGAGATTAGAAGAACGAATAATTCCAGGAGGTGGAGTTAAGCTCCTGAAGATTCAAGCACATGAAGAGCCAATAATTCCGAACTCGGAGTTGAAGTTGAGCTATGATCTTGTAGTTGGTTCATGTTCATCGGGATGAAAAATAGAAGCACCGTCTTCTTCTCATGGTATCAATTCATTTCCTTCAAGCTACTTCTCAACCTCAACTCATTCTCATATGAATTCTCATATCGCCATAAATCGATGTTAGGAAGAGACAAGCGGAGCCGCTTTTCCACTCGTGGCGGCGAGCAGTTTCGAGTGCTGTGTAGAACGTTGCCTCGTAGCAGGCTTCAAGAACGATCCTCGCTAGCGGTTCCCACTGAGCTGGCCGCGATCTGGAATGATTGTACGCAACGGCACATCCAGAACAAAGCGCATGCGTTACCATCCAAGGAGATGTTTTTTTGGATCCTCTATCGAGGCAGGGGGTATTCAATTTTCCACTCACACTGGCGCTTTTTGATCTTATTGACATTGACGTCGTACTATCCTCTCCTAGTAAATAAGCAGCACGCTGCAACCCCCAGTCCCCGCAACTTGTCACCTGGGTATCAGCGTGCACCCCAATGCGGAGAAGGCTTTTACACGTTTCCCTGTCCAACGAGTCCCAAGGTACCGAATCCAGACCAGATCTTAGAAAAAACTAAAACACGACGAAAAGAAAATACTTATTCATGGATGCCATGTGGTCTCTGCATGTTGACTCGAGAAATCTGATGGCGTCGATGTTCTTGAGGAAGTAGACGCATATCCTGAAGATATTGATTATACCTTAATATCTTCTGCTGGTCTCATCTACGAATAGACAGCACAAACTGTGGTGGAGCACCTAACAACTAGAATAGAGATACTAGACTGCACAGCTACAAGAACTTTAATAAAGTTATATTAACGCAGTGTCGTCGTAACTCGCCAGTTGCTTTCGTGTACCCTGCAATCACTTCCCAAGGAGGTTTAGGGTGCTCAACAGAATCCTTCTTTCTCTTCGAAGACGCCATGCTTTTCACAACGTAGTCTGTAACATCCGCAAGATTGTTGATCTGATTATTGCGAGATTGTCCGGTGAAATAGTTCCGCACTAGCATCGCAGGCCCAGTGCAAAGACAACAGGCTGGTCCCTGAGTGTGGTCAAATGCCCATCGCGTGACGCCCTGCTCTGGAAGAATGAAGAGGTAAAGATGAGGGGATAGAAGAGAAGTACTACTTCTAGTAATATTTTGGACGCAGCACTACAACTGCAGCATCATAGCAATGGTACTTGTGTCATTTATGTAAGTACTTATAGTATAGATAGTCTTAAGCCTAGGCGTACTCAGCTACTTACTGGGTTAACTTTATAAAGTTGTTAAACAAGAAATTGAAATGTCAGAATTCATTTTGAAAAAAACGCGCTTCATAAGATATCCTCCCATGTCGATTTGCTCCAAGCAGTTGAACTGGCTTGCCACCTGAAACGTTGCAAGTTTGTTGCCGGGAAAGATCTGAAAGTCGTGCAATGCCGATACATCTTGTTGTGGCATTATCGAAAAACGCAGCCTCGATTTATTGTGTTGCTGTTCGGCAGAGGCAGCGTTTGTGTTGCTGTTCGTGTTCTCTTCTTTTTCAGGCTCATCATTATCATCTTCCACAATAATGAGGCTTTCCAAGTCATTTCTGGCTCTCAACTCCGCAAGGCTTGGGCGCGAAAACCGACCAGCTCGATAAGTGCGCTTCTCACCATCTGGTGGATAACTCGTTAAAACCACTTCCTCATCCTCAAAGACTTCTGCTCTGGTCGAAGTGGTTTCAGTTCTAGTATAATGCGTACTAGGGTCATGAGATTGAGAATCATTCTTGATGGCATTGGCTCCATTGGCATTGGCTCCTCCAGTTGTTCCAGTATTAAGCGTATGGTCATCCTCTACTGGATTTTTCTTCTTCGGTTGCTCTCCACCATGATCTTCACCAGGTATCACGACCTCCTTCGGCTTTGCTTCCGCAGCAACAGCAATATTCTTGGCTTCATCAACTATATCATTCACTTTTATTACATCGTCAACTCCACGGATTTCCACATCTTCGCTAACATAGCCTCGGATCGAAAAAGCCTGCTCTTGCACTGTTCGCCAGTCTTTCGGTTCCGGAAATCCGAAGACCAGTTTGAACCAATCTGTTTCCGCAACTGGCCACTTCTTCTTTACGGGAGGGGGAGGAGCAGTCTTCATTTTTTTACTCATGGTAGAGAGTACTAGACTTCGCCTTTTTACTGGTTCTGCTCTTGGTGGACCACTCGAACTTTGTGTACTAGTAGATATTTATTATCATTATTGCCTATTATGATGTTCGCGCGCAACCCTCCCGCATCGCACGCGACGCGCTCGCGAGCGCCCTTACCATCTGTCACTCAGGACGTTGATGTAAGGGCTCAAAAGTTATTATGGATCATTATATATAAGTATAAATGCGTATTATAATCTTGTAATTTTTGGTATAAAAATCGTAACTAAGGAATATCGTCTAGACAAAGGTGATGCTAGATGTAGATCTAGACAATTGGAATATTAATAAGTGTCAGCAGCAGCACCCTGGGCTTAACAGGCTGTAGACTATGACACAGGTAGTATATCTTGATTAGCTCACCAGCCCAATATACATTCCACCGATACCCATGATCATTCTTCTATCTCATCCTCTTACTTATTCTCTTTCCAGAAAGATGATGCTAGATGTAGATGTAGATCTAGACAATTGGATTTGGAATATTCAATGGAATTGAGAGGGCAAGTTCGAAGATCTTGACCTCTTGTATGCTTCGCCCCACGACCGAGAGTAGGTCTCGTCTAGTCCATTTCCAGGTGGCTGAATGTCTGCAACGTAGGCCTGGGCGTTTGACAGTCCACCGTATTCTATGCCCACCTGCATAGATCGATGATGTAATCTCTGAGGCCAAGCGTTTCAGTTTGCTGTTCGTAACAATGAATGAGAAAGACAGATCGCCGTGATCCCGACAAATTTCAAGTAGGAATTTTATTAAGAAACAAGGTTAAGGGACAATTCGTAAAATGACATCGTCTCTATCAATCTATGTGTAGTGCGCAAGATTAGCAATGAATGCAACTACAAACAGAGCCCTTAGCTTCACGCGTTCTTAGTACTAACTAACATCATCCGGCATTTCCGAGCTGCTCAGTGAAAAGGTTGGTGGAATAAATGCTCTCCCTGCTCCTGCCTAGGGTACTCGAGTTGCCTTTACTATTGAGGACACAGGCTGACGATGGCGTTACCTTCAATCCATCGTTTCAAGTCAGTAAGCATCTCGTCCCCAATCAAAGTAGGTGTCGGTCTTTTCACACCAACTTTTGAGCGCTTGTGCCCAGTCGACCAGTACAAACACAATTTGGCAGGCCTCGGCTGGTTCCGCTCCTGATCGAGCACTGGCGCGAGTTGCAACTTCATCACCCTTTCCTGTTTTCCATCCGACCGCCTGATCATCATCATGGTCCTTCTTGTTCTCGAGTTTGAGTTCCTCATTCACCTGCGGATGCGACTCAGCCAAATTCTTCTTATCCGAATTGGCATTACTGGGGGTGCGATTCGCTCTCAACATGCACAGAGCCGGAGAAGAAAAGTTTTTGTTCGCTAGAACAGCCTTTGCGGCGTAGGCAATGGGACACGTCGGAAGCCGTTTTTCTTTCACACTGAGGAGGATCTGCGCCGCGCCGGTTTTCACAAGCTCCAGCAGCGACGCGTGATCATGTTCTTTTGATTCATGATCTATTTGACCCTGCTCTGTCGTGGTCTTTGCTCGCTTGTCACATAGAAGGTGGGCTCCTGCTACTGGGTTGCGATCTTCTTCTTCGTCCGAAGGACAGAAGTAACGAGAAAGCATGTCCCGCAGATGCACGTGCAGATTCTCCACTGACGTCTTATTCAGAACTTTCTCAGCATTTCGCTCTTTGCGATACGAGTGCAGTACTAGGCGCCTAGAACCGTAGTCCCAGTCATCGGGCTCTTCTATACGTGTCCGCTGAAGTCCCCCAATAGTGCTGGCAACACCCAGGCCCATTCTCATGGTGTAATTATAAGCGGCAGCAGAACTGCTTCGTTCTTCAGTTATCGTCAGGAGAGCGTCACACAAAAGCAAGCCGGGCAAGGCCACAGAGTTTGCCACGAAGCAACGCAGCGTGTCCTTCTCTAAAGAAGACAACGAGGAACGCCACTTTCCGCGCGCGTGGACCATGCGCTCAAACATATCGCGTCCGGACAAGCAAAACCAGTCTTCGCAACGGTCGGTGTCATCTGGAAGCTCTACCCCACTGCCTAGTGCACCAAAGTCCACCCCGTATGCCAGCCATCCGTCTAAATCGCGCGTGTCGTACACGGTCATAGTCGAGACGACCTGCTCCTTTCCGACAACATCACCATCAGTGGCCGCTAGGGATCCATCGATATTCTTTTTCTTGGTCTCATCTTCTAGGTTGACGCGCTGCTTGGCGGCTGCACTCGTCGCAATCTCAGCCCTCTTTTCCTTTCTTCCCGTTGCGTCCTTGTCGTCGGACGAAAGGTGGTCCTTATCCTCCTCGTCAGACGAGGAATAATAGTCGCCGTATGAATCTTCGCTACTCGTTTCATCCTGTATTGCCATTTCCTCTGGGCTAGGTTCAATTTTGCGGTAGTTAACCTTCGTGTGTACATGGCGATCAAGATCCAAGAAAGTACGAAGCACGCACGCGAGCTGCTGAAAGGCGAATTCGCCAGCGGCAACATACCTCGTCTCAAATTGATTGTGGAAGAAAGTACAGTTTCTTAGCCGCGGAGGTCCTCCAAGGGACTCCGGTGTATCCCAACACGGAAGTTTGTGCCGGTAGCTCATGATTGTGTTCGCTACATTCTCCAGGGCGTTGTGCAGAAGCATAGCGCGAGTCCCCGGATCACCTGGAAAAGCGCCGGATCGCAGCGCATCTTCGCGCAACATGAGCCGGAGGAGTGCTTGGGCTTCGACGGCCGGAAGCGTTGCAGCATGTGGTCGATATTCATCGAAGGTTTCTCCTTGACGACCTTTAGCATTCGCATTCTTTCTGTTACTGTTCTTTATCTGTCTTTGCCTTGTTCTTTTAGTAGGTGGAAGTTCATCCTCTTGATCGTCCTGTTGAGGCAGATTTTTCACCAAGCGAAAGAACATCAATGATCCGTCTTCCTCGTCTTCAGACAAGAATTTTCGCGCCTGGAGTCGCTGTTGCCACGCTGCGTTGTTTTCGACCGCTAGGTACCTGGCCTGAGAGCCAGCCATCTTCTGAATCTCTTCACAAAAAATAGCCGCTGCTTTCCGAGACATATCCTCTAGAGCGAATTCATTTTTGGCAAGATCGTTACAACCCCTTGACCCTGCGTCGTCAAAACTACGCTTCTTCGAGATGATCACACTTACAGCAGCTTCCAGCTCCGTCTCGGCTACAGAATAGATTCTGTCTTCTATCTCATGATCTTCCCAGTCTGGTTGCCTGACAATCGCTACCAGACCACATCCGGATGTAAGAGTTCGACGATCCGCTACGTGCTCTAGGTCTTGACATCCCTCAGGCCACTCATGCTCCCGGCCCGTAAAGAAGTCGTGGTACTTGTCTAAGTCGACCGCCTTGGTCCGCAGAAAACCAGTCGCAAGTCGTTCCATCGACAGCTCCCCTTCTCGTGGATGCCAAGCTTCTGCATCCATTTTATTTTTCCGCGCTATGTAGCCGTGAACACCGTCCGACAAGTCGGCAACAGGAGCTAGGACTCCCGAGTGGTGAAGACGCCATGACAAACGATCAATCAGCCAATCTATGAAGCGCAGCTCTGTCGCTAGGAGCAACTGCGTCGCGTAGACGTCAAATACGGCTGTCAGCAAACCCACCTCCAGTGCGGTTCTCACACCTTGAAGCCACAACTGGTCATCGCGACTACTCAGCGGCCAGACGCGTCTCACCGCCTTAGATCCTCCTTCCTCCTCGGCCGGTGTATCAATACTGGTGTCGCCACTCTTCCGTTTCGCTCGTTTCGTTTTTTTTTTTCCGCGCATAGCATCGTCAATACTGTCGCCGCTTTCGCGACGCATATCATCGTCGCTACTGTCGCCGCTTTCGCGACGCATATCATCGTCGCTACTGTCTCCGCTTTTGTTACGCATATCATCGTCACTACTGTCGCCGCTTTCGCGACGCATATCATCGTCATCTCTGCCGCTATTCTGTTTGCTGTGCATATCGAAGCGACCACCGTCGAATCCCTCACTGGGCGCCTTGTCCCACTTGCTGCGACGACGACGGCGACGACGCTCACGCGCAGCACGCTTTTCTTTGCGCTTGCGGTGGCGCTCTTTCCGCCGCAAGCGCTTCGCCGCACGATACTGCTTTACTAGCTTGGCCCGCATCGCGTCGCGGTGTTTTATTTCTTGCTTCTCCGCCTCTTCTTCCTCTCTTGTTAAAGGCTGCGTGCCTGTCACAAGCTTCAGATGCATGAAGGCTATGGAGGCGGCCTCAAGACGTCTGAATCGGTTACCGCGCAACTTTGGCGATAATGTGCAGTGTAAGCACTTCCGACTGCGCATCGAATCCGGATTCCACATGTAGTCATGCCTACTCTCATCACCGTCGCTCTCCCGTTCCCGAACTTGCAATAATTCGACGATGAATTCTTCGAGCGCGCCACGCAGAGCTTCCGTCTCTGTCGTGCGCTCGAAGAAATAGCGGCTCTTGTTCACTCTGGTGCACCTCTCGTCATCCTCTTGACGCTTCCGCATTTTCTCCTGAGAGAAGAATCGAGTTCCACCTTCTTCACTACTGGAGTAGTCAACAACATCGTGACGCCCGCATGCTGACAGCAGACACCATGTTACCTGCATCCAGTCGTCTGCACAATGTAAGAGCACGGTTTTGACGAAATCGGCTTTGCAACGAGTTGCAAGAGAACTTCGGTCAGCTGTATTGTTTTCCTTTCCGGTCCCAGTTTCCTCGGATGTCCCATCGAATACTGAACCTGGTCGAGTATCATGTTGTAAGAAGTTTCTGTTTGATGTTAGACCGATTAAAGTAAGAACGTGTTGTAGGAGGTGGTAAAGATGTAGTTCATGCTAAAGCTAATCATTCATTGTGAACTCTTGGACAGTCACTGCCACCGATTGATGTAATGAAAAAGCAAAAAATTAGGTTCGCGGCTCATGTAACAAAACATCTTCATCTTCTACTAGACCAGTAAAGTACCTGGACATCTTCAACATCTTCTACTAGACCGGTAAAGTACCTGCTTCGTCGACAGCGACAATGGCCCTTGAATGGAAAACCTTCTCCAGCGTCTCAAGGACATCTAGAAATTGATTCGGTCGGTCATGAAAATCCTTGTCACTGTAAGTTGCGTGGACACGTAGGGGTCGTCCATCGTCCATACCTGGGAGCCCTAGCAAGATTAGCGTAGTTTCGAGTACCATCACGACACTCTATCCAGCATAGTCTCGTTATTTGCTTGGAGGACGAATCACGAATGATTTCAGTTTTTTCTTCTTGCTCTTGGCACAGCACTTACGTATCCAGCAAGATCAGCTACTTAAATCGAGAAAAAATCTCAAATAAAAACTGTCCTTAACAGCAGCCTGCGGATGCGGTCAGCGGCGGCAGGAGATTGATGTGATTCTATTCCTGCGCGAAGGTGTTCCACCACAAGAAGGCAACGGAGTCGCTGTTCCAAAGTAGGAACAACATAGTTCGTCCAGTCAGAGGATTTCCGACAGCGACGGGCGAGGTCATGGGCACGCGATGTGGGAGTTAGCAATACACGATCTAAGAACCACCCGACCATGAGTTCTGAAATCTCAGTCCTCGCTGCAGCATAGGCCACTCCACTTGAACAAGATGTTGTTGAGCCGCTTGAGGCAGATGAAGCAGGCGTGCTGTTACGGAACATCACAAGAGGTGACTTCGAAGAGCTGGCGGCCGAAGAGGTGGTGTTCATCTCCGGACATGAAGTTGCATCGTCGACGAGTCCCGAGCAAAAGGCTGCCAGAGCCATTGCGTGCGCATCGCCCTCCACCGCGGTCGCCACAGGCTTCAAGTTTTTGTCATAAACGAGCGGACGGATGTCGGACAGGACGAAATCGCACCACTCGCGTAAGAGGAGCTTGTAAACTTCATCCTTCGACCATCCGTCAGTGGCCCAGTCGGGTGTTACCTCTGCACTGCGAAAAACCGTGCAGGTGTTGTCATCTTATGTTAGACAGAGTACCATACAGAGAGGGAGAGACCCGCACATTATGAAAATGTTGTTCTTGTTGTTGTATATGTGAGAAAAAGATCATTTAAGTGATTGGATCTTCATTGACTTTGACATGCAGTGATTCCATTCTTAACCACACTCGCGATTCTACCGGGACAGGGCCATCCGCATGACGAACGACACTTGGCTTGAAGCCGTTATAGAGCAGGTCACGAAAGGACTGACGAGATGTTTCAGCATGGTTTGCCTGTTCTTGATTGCCGTCCACAATTTTCGTTCTTACCACGTCAAAGACCGCTTGCAGCAAACGCGCGAGACGTCCCTGCCATTGTTGAAAGTCCCCCTGTCCCTGCTGATGAAGCAGGTCCTCACACCCAAGATCCTCAGCTCCGAACAGTCTCGCTCGAATGCGGTCCAGACGAACGCGCCCTTGGTCCCACACGAGGAGACGGATTATCTCGGACTTGTAGTTCTTCTTGGCCTCTAAGAGCTCCTCATTTTCTTCTTCAGATTGATCATCACCCATCACGTCGTTGTTGGAAGAAGCAACACGACTTGCGCTTCCCTTTTTTCGGAGAAGCTCCTTGTTTCGCATGACGCCACGATCACCGTGGCACAGGAGTAGCGTGTCGACGTAGAGAGCCTTACTCATTTTCCGTTTCCCGAGTCCGGACTCCCTAGGCACGTCCGGTATCGCCCAACCGAGTCCCATTCTATCACTATCGGCTTCGCTTTCAGTAAAAGGAGGATCTTCTTCTTCTTCAGGCGCCTCCGGATCTGCATAGTATTCGGGCACCGTGTCGATATCACCACCGATCCACAACGGGTGCTCCTGAGCGACCGCGTCCACGATTAGAGCGGCCCTAGAAAAGAGTTTCTTCAAGCAACATTCATTCAATTTTCGTCATTTCTTGCTCTTTGTCTTTTTCAAACTCCGTTATAGTTATTCAAAACTTCTCACGAACTAGTTTTACAACACCAACTTAATCTGTCCGAGAGGTGGATCCCGAAATGCATACTATAGGAAACAGCTCTCGTTAGGATCTGTTTTCTGTCTGTGCAGTACATGAATTGTCGACGTCCACATGACGAGTCTTAACAAATGCGCTATTACGACATCCCCAAGTAGACGCAAAACCTCCGTGAGGATCTCGCCTAACCAGGCCAGTATCTCAGGGTCGGCGAATATTTCGTCTGTCGGAAAGTGTCTTGCAGGTAACGCGCGGAATAGTTTTCGCTCAAAAGCCTCGCTTTTGTCCTCCTGAGGAAACACCATATCGCATGCGATGGCGTGCGCGGAAACTCCACTCTCGCGTCCGAGGTACGAGCAGTCAATTTTACCTCTCTTTGCGCTACAGTCTCCATTCCTGGGCGCTGGCAAGAGTGGCGGTTTCATCTCCTGGCTTTCTGCGACAGCTTGACTTTGTCCTGGGCGATCGGGTTCATCATGATCCTCTTGTTCGTCATCGTCCTCGTCTTCTTTCACTTCTTCTTCATCTTCGATGGGATCACCATAATTCCAGTTACTACTATCATCATCCTCATCGTCACTTGATGCGTTCGACGGGGTACGTGCGGCTCGCTCTGGCCACTCGAAGAAGTGGCGCAGTCTCTTGCGATTTTCTGCATGATGGTGCGCCAAGCTGGCCTTTTGACGTGCTTTGTGACTGGCATGTAAATCGCTATCGTCCGACAAACAATCATCCATGATTGCGTGCGCTTTTTCTTTCTTCATAAAGGTCTCTGGCAGCGGCGGAGGACCTTCATCATCACTCCAGAATCTTACCTCGCTTGATTTTCGCATTACTCGCACATCGGTGTTTCGATACTCATAGGGCAGCCCGCCCCCGCAGTAGTCATGATCATCGTGGTCGTCACTGTCACTATGTCCCTGACCAAGGTCGCTCTCGTAATCAGAGTAGCCTCCGCCCCCGAAACTGTCAAACCCATCGAAGCCATCGTCGTAACTACAGGAATAGAAAAGTCGATCTCGAAACTGTCGCCGCTCAGCTCGCTCCTCTTGCTTAGACGTCAACGACATTTGCATCTAGGCTGGAAGACTGAGGCCTACTAAAGCGGTCGTCGCTATAGAAAATTCGCCGCAGAGGAGAATCCTAGAAAAAGGATCTACTTAGCGACTACATGAACATTTATCATCTAAGTACTTGTCACTTTTGCTTGTCCTTCTATGAGGAAGAGTGCTAGATACGACATTTATGATGGCAAGTGAAGAGCCACGATGGAGGCCCCCTCTTAATCTCCTGTTTCTCTTTTCGTTGTAACCGACGTGCGACTGCAACGGAGCGCGGAGGCCCTTTGAGATCCTTTAGGCACGGAAAGCAGTGGCAGCCACGACACCGTTCGCGAGCCGCTTGGAATGCTTCTGACCAGTTACAGTTTGGTCCTTGGCAAGCCTGTAGATTGTCACTTGGAAGCTCTTGCCAGTCTTTTAGGAACGTCTTTCCCAGATGGATCCGCGTCAGGCTTCCCAGACGCGCCGCCAAGAGCTCACTGTTTTTCTCCACAATTTCACTGTTCGTCGCTCCTCCCTCCAGCTCTGAGGACGTCTTGTTTACAACTGCAGTCCTCGTAGCGTCGACTAGCCGCTTGTGGTCTACTTCACAAGAACAATTATCGTCAGGTTCTTGAGTAGATTTAATATTTGTGCTCGATGAAGATAGAGTTGCCTTAGCTTTTTTCACTCCGCCCCTGTCCGCCAATATGTGTACGCGAAAAGCAGCTGCGAAATCTTCACGACCTGCGAATTGCTCGATGAGGTCCAGACAACAACCGTCTAGTTTGTACGTCTCCAGTGGAAGTAAGGGTTGGAAAGCGATCCTCATATTTCGTTCTTGTCTACTTCGATTTCCGGTGTTTGAATTGATGTTCTTGGGTATATCATGCTTCTCAGATGTTGAAGTGAGCAGTCCTGATGCACCAAAACCACAACTTGTTGTAAAAAAGGTGCTACTAGTATGAAAGAAAAAAGTGCACTCACACTCAGAAAAAGTGGCTACTTTCCTACTTAAATCCTAGCCAATTTCTTGAGTGTGAGTGCACTTTTTCGCTTCATAATTAGTTTGTTGCGCTTGCGAGTCTTTTGGTGGCGTAGTAGCTGGCGAGTCTTTTGGTGGCAGGCCAACCAGGTAGAGAGTGTTAGAGCTTCCTGGAATCCATGATACTGAGTGTCATCCTGGGCGCGCTTTTCCCTTAGAGGAAGGCCCCAAGAGGCTTCTCAAGACGGACGATTACCTGAAGCCTTAAGAGTATGCAGCGGTATCTTCGGATCTAAAAGCGGTAGGAGTTCGCACAAAGACAGCGGCTCAATTGTCAAGTTCCGTGAAGCGTCGTCTAGCAAAACGTGCGCATTTTTTTGATAATCGTCAACATTCACAGGAGACGATGCACTTTGAGTTTGACGTTCCTGTTCTTGTGCTTGATGTCCCTGCATGTTGGTCGTACCCGTAGTCCTAGTCGTAGATAGGGGTTGTCCTTGCATGGTCGCAGGCATCATCCTAGAAGTTGTGGATGAAACTTCTGAGTCTTTCTTCTCTTCATGATTGGCAATGTGATCAATCTCCAAACCACGCTCCAAGAGGCGACACGCATTTGCAACCGCATCGTGCTGTCCATGCGAATTGTTCCCATCTCGTCCACTTGTTGTTGTAGATGTAGTTCTAGCACCCAACTGTAACTCATCTCCATCTCCACTAGTTCTAGCACCTAAGTCCCTAATCAAGCGACGCGGGACTGCCTTTGCAAGTGCGGGAACTATCTTCTGACGCCAGAGAGACTCAACCTTCTTCAAGCCCTCGTCTCTCGGTTCGATCACTGCAGCGGAGCACAATGCTTCTATTAACGCTTTATCCGACATTTTCATACTTATTTTATGATAATATGATGGCTATGGCAATAGAGATTTCAGAGATACTAGATCTAGAGATATCTTCACTTCGTCTTGAGAAATTGATCTTGATGTATATTCATGAATCCTTTCACTTCAAGGTCTACTTGGTGCGACAAAAATAAAAGTAGTTGCAGTAATGCTTCTACCTCATTCTTCATATACGAAAAACGCAACGAGTAGTCGTTATTTCTGCGGCTCATAGAAACAAAAGGCTTCCATAGTGCCTTCCTACTCCTTCGCCATTAACCATCGGCAGAAACCGAGGTCGCCGGTCTGCGTTTTAAGGCGTTGGAAGTCAAGTAGAATCTCAAGAGGGACAGAAACGCCAGCCACTGTCTACTCCAGAGTTTTTACGGGGAGCAGAGCGGTCAGGAGTCTCAAGGTTTACACTGCCGCGGCAAAAATTCTCAAGGTTCTGAGGCCGTGCCAGAGTTTTGCCTCACACTACAGAGTAGACGAAAAAGCGCAAAACCCTCCAGGCTTTCACATCAGGGTTGCGAACGCGATCGCCCGCCTCAAGGTTTTGCGTCTCAAGGTTTTGGCTGCTTGTCGATTTAAATCACTCGCGGCCCAAGATCTGCTTCGACCTCAAGGTTGCGATTGTGTGCCAAGGTTTGCCCCTCTCAGAGTTGCCAGCGCCAGACGGCTTGGAGAGCGACACGCGCGACGGACAGCGGTGGCAAATGGGCAAACCCTGGCTGCCCCTGTCTCCGGGTTTCTCAAGGTTTGCAAGTCAGATGGCAAGCCCTGGCTTTCTCAGGGATTCCCAAGTTTTGCAAATCAGGGGGCGGAAAGCCCGGCGGGCTTTCAGGGCAGAAAGCCGGCAAGCCAGCGTTTTCCCGAAGGTGACCGCGCCCACTGTTACGTACTGAGAGCCATGCACGGCACAAGCTGACCGCTAGCGCCCGGAATCCCGCGCGCGGTGCCCGATTTCGGCCGCTAGCGGCTTCCTAACCGTTGCGCCGCGGCTCCAAGGTCCTCCCGTATTCGCGCCCCCGATCCGGCGCAACGGCGGGAACGGCCGCCCCGCGCACCACCGGAGCACGACCAGAAACTCCCACCGGTCGCCTTCAGCGAAAAAGTTCCGCCCACCTGATTACGGGGGCAACGCATTCCGCGGCGCGGCCGTCACCAGCATTGCCTCCTCTCTCTCGTCCTAACACTTCGCCTTCACCTCTGAGCCCTCGTCGGGTCACGACTAGTACCTAGTTCTTGAAAGATAGCTTCAGCTCTCCCAGAACGTCGTCACCGATTGCAGGTCAAGGCCATTCAAAACGTAATGTTCTTGTTGGGTGAAGCGCTCGCGCTCGCTGCTCTTCTCAATGAAATAATACATCATAAGATAGATTTGTATTTGGAGACTTCAGAAAAAGTTTTCTGGCCACCAATAGGGGCGCAGTACGTTTCGCAATCAACAGAATGAGGGAGACAGCATGAAGGACTCACCACACGGCACACAGAAAGAAAACAAAGGAACTTGCTAAGCAACTACCAACCACCTACTACTTACTGCTAACGGACTACTAGACTCGCATCCCCTCAGGATACCTGCCTACCACCTACTCAAGTTAGTCACAGGAGCAGAAAGAGAACCCCATTTAAATAAATAACAGAGGCAACTAGGTAACGGTAAGAAGAAAGAAAGCTAATATTTCAAACAGACGCCCAGATTTGGATTTGGTTTTGGAGATTTCAGAAAAAAGCCTTCTGGCCACCAGTAGCGGCACAGTACGCTTCGCAATCAACAAACAGGAGGGAGACAGCATGAAGGACTCACCACACAGAATAGAAAAAAAGAGAACTCTCTTAGCAACCACCAGCCACCTACTGCTAACTGCTAACGGACTACCAGACGCGCATCACCTCAGGATACTTACCTACCACCTAATCAGGCTAGTCAAAGCAGAAGGAGAAGGACCTACTCATTAAATAGCAGACGCATATAGGCTACGGTAAGGAGAAAGAAAGCTGACATTTCAAACAGACACCCAGCAGGGCGGAAGCTCAAGAAGGATACACACTAAGATAAATAAGTATAGAAAAGGAAGAAGCAGGGCGGAAGCTCAGGAAGGACAAACACTAAGAAGAATAATTAAAGACGACACAGCTCAATATCACACTATCAAACTTTAGTAGGAAGAGACAGCTAGTACTAACTGGAAGCAGGGCAAATACTTGACACCACCAAGATTTCGGGACTAGTCAGTAAACACAAAGTCAATGGTTCAACGGAAGGACAGCGTTCACTTTGGACAACTAAGTAAGTGAGGAAATGAGTAAACGAGGGCAGCTGAGCCTGAGTCTGACGAGGGGAGACTAACTCAATATAGACTACTACCGAATACCGACTAGAAAAGTAGAAAAATAAGAAAGCGACAGCTCTTTTATTTTTTATTGACAGAGTTTCGTAAAGACAACACTTAAAAAGCCTGCACGGTACAGCGCTAATTTACTGACTTCCGGTTTCTGAAAGTTTTAATTCTACTCAAGTTTAGACTACTTACTTTTTCTAACTACTTTTGAGATTACGGGCACAAACGTCTTCAACGCTAGTTTTCCCTCATAACTTCTAAAACTACTTAGAGGAGCAACAGTATCTAACTCTCTACCAGCGAGGTTACCCGCTCTCTACTGTCCCACTAAGTGACGGCTCTACTCGCGAAAAGACTGAATGACTCCTAAGATGAAATCTTCTATTTCGACTACTGGATTCTCGGAGCATAAGAGGTTCAAAAGCAACAAGACTCACCTTTTTACAGGAGGGCTTGAAATCTGAATGGAAGATTGAGATATGTTTAACTCTTAAACCATATCTGAGTAATTCAATCTTGGAAAATACTCAAAGGGAAATTCCTGTATCTATTCTACCACTTGTCATCTCTTGCTCTATCTTTAAGATGGCAGAGTCGTGTCTACATTGGGAACTTCCATAGCAAAACCTCGCTAACTTGCAGCTCCTTACACTATAAACACCGCGGAGGAACTGACTATATACATGAGCAAAAATAACTAATCATGAAAGCATCCTTATGCTGCAAAAAGTTCTTGAAGATACTCCCTATCATTGTTCATTTCCAGTAAAGACACGATATCATTGTTCATTTCCAGTAAAGACACGATTGCATCTTGGGCCATTTCTACGCGGTTCACCTGCTCCATGGTATCCGTGTGTTTCCAACAAAGGGCATGCCGAGGAAAGAAACAGTGGGGGGACGAAGCTTATCGTCTAGCGTCAGCGCGTGCTTGCACATCCTATAGAACTCCACGTGGTAATTCACTTCGATCTCAAGTATTGAGTTGCTTCTACACCTTCTGCTGCTTGCGGGTGCCAATCCACCGATCACAGACGATCGCCAGACCGCGTCTATTTCTTTAGTCTTGCTGTCGATCTCATCACGAATCGATTTAGGGGCATTCCCTACTATGCGCTGACGCAATTCCAGGCATTTGTCGCTACCGCGCGCAGTGATATATGCATAGCTTTTGGGTTTTGGTGATCGACAACGCGGCGGAGCTCGTGTTCCTCGTGGTCCAACTCCTACGCCAGCCCTCTGTTGCTGATGTGTCGGCTTTTGATCGTCGTTCCTACGTGCTGTTGCTGGTGACGGTGAGTCGCAGCTGGGATCGTATTCCGCATGTTTAGGTCCGTAATCGCCGTCGTCTTCATCTACGGAAACTTTATAAAAAACGCCAACATCTGCGAGTAGCCGTTGACTGCCGCGTTTAATCAGAGTGTCTGGCCACCATCCGCTCACTGTTTCGATCTCCTCGATACGCTGCTTCACCTCTCCCTCTCGGAGCAGCTGCATCTTGCCGTCAAAAAGTTCCACTAGAATGCGCCCAAAGCTGGCAACGTCTGTCTTCTCGTTCCATTCTGCGCCAGTCACCACTTTCGGTGACCTGTGCGGTGCTGTGGATATTATCGCTCCGAAACGGGGCGTGGTGGTCCAAGTGGCTCCGACCATATCTATCACCTTGACTCGAGGAGGACACGGACGCCGATACGGACGCTCATACGGCTTCACTGGGCAATATTCTCGGCACACTCTAGGCGAAGGACTTTCAACCACACCAGCAAACTCCAAAAGAAGGCTCTCCGGCTTCAAATCCGTAAATGAACCAAATCAATGCTCGCAAAAAAAGCAAGCGCGCTCCAGACATCAGTTGCTATGCGATGAATATCCCACATATGATATAGAAACCGCGACACTCATTCAATTGCAGCACGCGACGCAGGCTTGGCCCATGGAGCTCAAATGCCATGCGCGAGCGCTGTTCCCCAGCAGGTGTCGCATGCAAAAAAAGGTCCCGTAGCCTAACAATACGCCGACATCCTTCCTGGGGGAAGGGGGCACCCTCGTTTCCTATCGTCAGGAGAGTATTTGCCTCCTCTAGCGCGTCCTCCGTGCGCCATTCTTTGCTCCTGATTACCTTGACCGCGCAGGTTTTACCCAGTTGCGCGCACACTCCTGCGCTGGCATCATCTTCTCTTTTATGGAGAAGGTTCCTAGGGTCGTCCGTTAGCGGTTTGAAGCTGGTGATTGAACTGCTTCCAAGAAGCGCGGCAACATCTCGCGAACGAGCGCGCTGTGCACTGTTCCGCATTCTGTCCCGCGGTCCTTCGTAGGTGCACTGAATGACACGCCCAAAAGTTCCCTCAGCAAGATATTTGTCAACACGCCAAGCCTGATCCTCACCTAGAAAGCGTTCCCTCCCGTAGTCCTCAAAGTGCACCACCCTGTCCGATCCCGAGCCTTTTGACTCACTCTCCTCGTGACTATCGCGTTCTGAATTGTGTGCTGCGCAACCGGTTTTGGTGGTGCTGTTTGTCTCAGCAGGAGGTCTTGGGGCCCTTGAGTCTGCCGATCTGGCATGCTCTGCAGGATGGGCGATCGAGTTGGCGCCAGCCATACTATGCGGTCCTGAGTCTTGGTGTTGGCCTCGCATCCTCGAAGAGTCCAGCTGTGAGCGTGAAGGCAACATGTGAATTTGTGGTGCTGCATGCAATCGAGCACGGCTTTGCAGGTCTGTTTCCCCTTCACGAAACCGTTGCGGCGAGCGTTCCCGCCAGCGACCGCCTACGCGTCTGCGCCCTCCGCCCTTGCCACCTCCTCTGTGATTGTCTCTTCTACCGTGACCTCCTGGACGCATCCTAGAGGTGTATCCTCCACCACGTCCCACATCGCCCCCGGTATACGTCGTGCCTGGTCCTCCGCCGCCTCTACGACCGCGACCCCCACCATGGTCATTCAGCGTCACGTTTTCTTCTCCACTCTGCTGCGGCGCCCCACATTGGCCATTCCCTGAGGAGCCTGCTCCAGGTGCAGACAGTTGGTCTGCATCCCGTGACCCCTCTCTACGATCTGCTCTGTTAGCGTCCTCTTGTTTCCAATACGCTCCCTTTTCTTCAGCTTGTCTGTCTTTCAAAGCTTTTTTCTCGGCTTCAGTCAGGAGCCTGATTCCCGTAGCTTGTAATCCATTCCGAGCATCCCTGGAACACCTGCTATCCGCTGGGGCAAGGATATTCGCCATGACCAGCTGTCCTGGTATCATGACCCTTTCTGGATCGCCCTGTACCTTGCTGCCATGGTAAAAGATTCCCTTATTTTTGTTCACTCCCGCGGGCATCCGGATGAAACCGAAATAACCATTCTTAGTAAACGAAACAAATGGCCTCCGCTTCCACACCATTCTCGCTTTTTTCAATTGGTCGTCTTTCTTTGGCCTCGCGTTCTCGAGCCTCCTTTTCACGTTCTCCCTGCTGCTCCCTTTCACGTGGTCGCCACTGCGATCGAGAACGGCCGCGCTTAGACCTTGGAGCCCGTGGCGGAGATCGTTTAGCGTCACGCGGTCGAGGCGCACGGGACCGGGAACGACCTCCTTTACGAAAAGGCGCGCGGGATGGTGAGCGACCCATGATTGCGAAATGCAAAGTGGTGGATGTCGAAAGGTGACTGCAAGAAGAACAACGGCAGGCGTCGTTGTACACAGAGAACGAGCACGAGAGAGGACGAGTATTTTTTTGTTCTTTGAAATTCCTGAAAATGTTGTTGGTAACAAATAAATGTTGCAAGACAGCGATGAAGATCAAGATGACTAACAATTCAATCAAGAATACAAAGTCACCAGTTGTATGAAGTAGAGCGATAAATACTTATGTTGACTGGGTATGACCTTCCGCGACTTCTCCTGAGGCTGAAGAAAGCCTACACTCCACGGCTGAAGATACGTTTTTGAATTAAATAGATTTCCACTTGCAGATCTTTCAAACTGTCAATTGCCACAACAAGACAACAACAATTAGGATGTTGGAACATTACAGCTTGTTAGAACAACGTGTTCCAGGAGAAGGAGGGATCTTCCACATGTTGTACTGGAACTGCTCCACCCACAACAGCCCATCCAGAGGGAGTATTCCAAAGTAGTTATAAGTCGTAATACCCGTTGTACAAGTTTCTCAATCTCATGCGCTTTCAATCCTCTCGCAAGTCAAAGTTTGGCAATCGATAGCTAGGTGCTGGTCTCGTAGTAAAAAACGCATTTCTTTGAAAAGCAATGAGGATCAATCATAATGAAAATTGCCAAAAGCAATTGCTCACCCTGACACTGCATGAGAATGAAGAAGAACATAAATTTGACGTTGTTGATACGTGATACGAAATGGCTGAATGACTATGAACGCTGGAGAAAGTAAGAAAGACTGAAAAGAATATCAACGAGGATAATGACTGATTAGAAATCTGCCTATTTTCAACTTCAAGAAGAGGTAAGATGTACCCTAAACCCATGTTGTTCTTGTTATTGAAGATCATAATAATCAGAAATGATTCTCGTCTAGTCGTCATTGAAAATCGTAAAATTGAGCGAAGCAAGACAGAACGAAGTTTCATCTTGGCTTATTATTATGATTACAAGAAACCGGGGTCGCCCCTTGGGCGACCCCTCCTTGATAGCAGCACAGTCACAGGCACAGAGTAGAAACATAAGAGAAAGCAAAAAAAAAAAGCGACTGAGGCACGGAGCGCCCGCCCCTTGGCCTTGGCGGCTGCCGTCGAGATGATGGAGAAGAACAAAGACCGAAGCAACCCACGGAACCCAGAACCCTGGCGCGCGGAATCAATTAGGCACGCCACGCCAATGAGACAGGCCCGGCGG